ACCCTAACCCTAACCCTAACCCTAACCCTAACCCTAACCCTAACCCTAACCCTAACCCTAACCCTAACCCTAACCCTAACCCTAACCCTAACCCTTCTGCAAGGGACCCCAGACATACCTTCTTCCCAGATGTGCCTTCTACTGCTGTGCAGGCGCAGACAGAGGCTGCAGGAGCAGGGATGTGCCTTCCTTGCAGGAGAGTCATGCAACGCAGCAGATCAGGGCCCATGCGCCATCCTCCTCTCCCTTGTTTGTATAGATCACCCTCCTGCTTGCACCAGTTGAGTAGTTTGTTCACCTCATGTCACAGGCGCTTCAAGCACAAGTGCTGTGTGCACAAGCATAGATGCTGTGTCCCAGCAGCTTGGGGTTGCTGCATGTCCCAGAGCAAGCAGGAGTGGACGGTGCTGCCCCTGTGGCACAGCGCTTGCGCATGGTCCTTGGTGGCCATTGGGGCAACAAGGCATCACCTAGGCAGCCCAGGCCTGGTGCTGACCCACATGGGGTGCTGTTGCATTCCCACGCCGCCGGAGCGTCGGCCGAGCCGCACACCCGACCTAGCCTCGCGCCTCCACCTCCCGCACCACCTCTCGCACCACCACCTGCCACGCTCCCGTTGCTCCCCGGGCCCGGCCGCCATGTCCTCAGACGCTTCCTCCTCTGCGCAGCCGGCGTCCGACGTGCAGCGCATCGAGGCCACGCGGGCATCGCTGCGCAATCTGCGCTCGCGCCTCGCAACCATCGACCGCGTGCGCGTGGCGCTCTCCGCAGTCGACGCCGGCGATGCGCTTCTCGTGCGTGCGCCGAGACGAGCCACATGCCTTCGCTGACACCATCTCGCTAGATTCCGCGCGGCTCCAAGGTGCTGATGCCCGCGCGGCCGGCGCAGGACGCGCGCGTGCGCATCGAGGAGGATGGCGTAGAGCGGGAGGTGTCGGCGGCGGAAGCGATCGCGACGCTGAGCGCTCGCAGGACCGGTGAGTGCCGCAGCAGTGGCAGAGTATCTGACGCTGACGCGGCGCAGGGCTGGAGCAGGAGATGACGCGCACGCGGCGGGAGCTGGACGGGCTGCTCCATGGATTTGCGCTGGAGAGGGAGCGTCCGGCGGCAGCGCCTGAGCCAGCGCCTTCCGCCTCGCCTAGCGCATCAGCAGCCGATCTGCCCTCGTCTGCCGCGGATCTGGCCACGCTGCTGCGCTCGTCGCAGCTTGGCGGCGTGCAAGCCGGCACAGAGGTCGACGAGCGCGGGCGCGTGCTCAACGAGGAGGGCTTGCCGTTTGTCGACGTCGTCGAGTCCGAAGCAGAAGCGCCCGTCGCGCCCAGCGCGGTGCAGCCGGCCACGCAGCCCGAGACCGCGATGGAGCGCGACGAGAAGAAGCGCTGGATGGATGAGGTATTTGCGCGGCTCGAGCGCGAGGAGACGCACGCCTCAGACGACGAGTCGGCGTCAGAAGGCGAGCCAGCCAAGTCATCAGACGACGACGAAGACGACGATGACGGCTCGCAGCCGGGCGACGCTGCGCCGAGCACGCCGCTGCCGTCGGCACAGCGCCCGGCGCCGCTGCGCTCCGTGCTCAAGCGCACCAACTCGGCCGCCTCGAGCGGCGTGGCCACGCCAACGCCGGGCTTCCAGCGCGGCTTCCTCAATCTCAACCCCAGCAGCCCCGGCCCGCAGCGCAGCAACGACCCGTTTCTCTTTGCCGCGGGCGTGCTGCCGACGCCTCAGACCGAGGCGCCGTCGCCCGCGCTGCCCGCTTCGGCGCCGACGTCTCCCGCGCCCAAGGGCCGCAAGATGCGCTTCCTGAACCTCAACCCGAGCAGCCCGGGCGCCGACGGCGTGTCGTCGCCTCTCGACGCGGCCGGCGCCTCGACTACGCCCATTGCCACATCTGCATCCGCCGAGATGGCGCGCGCCTCGTCGTCGCATGCACGCGAGTCAAGCACGTCCGCAGACGAAGACTCGACGCGGCTCACCCGCTCGCTCGAGCTGCCCGCGCGCCGCCGCAAGCAGGTGCGCATCAAGTCGCCCGCACGGCCCGCGACGTCGGACAGCCCCGAGCGGCGGCACTTTGCGCGTGGCGGCCGTCCGCTCGCTCCGCCCGTGCCATCGCGCATTGACGAAAGCGAGCGGAAAGATGCAGAGGAAGAGGCACAGAGGATCGTGGAGCTGCTCGGGCCGGGCGTCGCGCGCGGGCATCCGAATGCGCCGCCCGATCTCGACGCGTTGGAGCGTGCGAGGGCCGAAGACGAGCAGCAGCGGCTGCCACCACCGGTCCCGCCCCTGCCAAAGGGGCCGACGATGAAGGACGCAGTGGTGGAGCGCAAGCCCGCCGCCCAGCCGCTCATGCCGACCGCTGCGCCGTCGATGTTCAAGCGCGGTTTTCTGAACCGTTATGCAGCCGGGCCGTCCAAGGCTGCGCGAGAGCGGCAGCTGCCGGACGCGCCGCGGCGCTCACAGGGCATGTCGGCCCTCGAGCGCGCAGGACAGGTCGACGACGACGAAGAGGCCAAGGGCCGGGCGCCGCTGCCGCATGCACGGCCAAGCAAGGCGTTTGCAGAGCGGCTCGAGAAGCGGCGCGCCGGCGAGGCAGAGGCGCCAGAGGACGAGGAAGATGCGCAGCAAGGCCGCGTGCGCTTCGCTGCGCCACAAGCCATCGAGGACGATCCGGGCGATGTCTCACCGCCACCCGACGACGGCGATCCACCAGATGCCTCATCCGACGAGGCGTGGATGCTCTCGAGCGACGACGACTCGTCCATCGACCTCGACGCGCTTGCGCCCTCGTTCGACGCGCTCGTCGACGACCTGCACTCTGCCGAGCTGGCACGCGAGTACGAGCTCGCCAAGGCGGGCCTGGCCGAGGCGCGCGAGCGCGCGGCGCAGCGCATGCTGCTTGGCGGCAGCGACGCAATGGACGACACCGATGAGGAGGAAGACGGCACGGACATTGTGCCGCCAGAGCGGCAGGAGGGCGAGCGGGTCAGCCGCTTCAAGGCCTCGCGCGTCGCGCGCGCAGCCGGCTTCGCAGGCGGCCGGAGCAGGGAACTGAGCACGCCGAGCCGCGAGGAGCAGGACCGTCGCGCCGACGAGGTGGGTCACGAGCTCGCACACATGCTCGAGGACGCACAGAACGTCGGGCCGTCCGACGATGCGGACACCCACCCGCCGGCACGCGGACTCGGCGCGCCGCCGCCGCGCGTCGCAATGGTCATCCCGACGCTGGCGCCTGTGCGGTACCCCAAGAATGCACGCGAGCTGCTGCAGGGCGAGCGCCGCGGCCCCATCGACCTCGAGGGCGAGAGCGAAGACGAGGACGCGCTGCAGGGCGTCATGCGCGCGCGGCTCGAGGAGCAGGAGATGCGCGCCGGACTGCCGAGGGAGAGCCGCACAAAGGCGCAGGCCGGACCGCCAGAGGTGCGCCCGGCCGCTGCGCCGCTACCCGAGGCTGCGCCCGACGTCGCGCCTGCTGCAAGCGTCGAGCCTGCGTCCGAGCGTGTCGAGCCTGCGCCGAAGCGTGTCTCGCGCTTCAAGGCCGCGCGGCAGTCCGCCCGCGACGCCTGAGTCACCCTCCCACACATCATTTCACCCTCTGCTGCGCAATGCATGTGATGCACGTTCATTGCTGCTCTAGCGCGGCGACCGCCTTGAGCATCTCGGCGCCGATGACGGCGGCCTCGTCGAAGCGCGGCGCAAAGAACGCACTTGTGCTCTCGAAGCGCCACTGATACAGCTCAAAGTTGCCAAATCGCACCGCCTGCGCCCAGCCGCGCGCGGCGACGACAAACTCGGTGTCGTCGGCACGAAAGTCGTGGTCATGAATGGCCGCGCGCACCGACGCCCGCACGCGTGCCGGCGAGCGGAAGAGGTACTCGCACACGCCGATCCAGAGGCGGAAGATGGGCGTGGCGGCGAGGTCGAGGTGCGCGTACGGGTCGATGCGCAGCAGGTGCCAGCAGTCGACGATGGCGAGCAGCGCGAGGTGCGAGTTCGGCGGCGGCGCGGGCGCGGGCGCCGAGTCCTCGCCGACGGCCTTGCGTGCGACGAGGTGGAAGCGGTCGAGCAGGCGGTCGCTCATGAGGATCGGCTTGCGCTCGCGCGGCCCCTCGGCGTCGTCGCCGCGTGTGCGTGCGCCGCCCGCGCCCTCTTCGTCGTCCGCCCAGCCGAACACGCCGCGCCGCGCCTCGAACACACGCTGCAGCAGCGCCTCCTCGCGCTCGGCGACCATGAGCTTGAACATGGCCGTCGCGCTGTCGGCGTACTGCTGCACCTGCGTGCGCGCCGCGGGGTTCAGCAGCGCGAGCCCGGCGTACACGTGCCACTTGGCCGCGTAGATGCGCAGCATGATGTTGATCTTGACCGTTTCGATGCCGCCGGGGTACAGCCCCGTCTCCCAAGGGTACGCCTCGGAGCACCGCCAAGCCGTGCCCATCCTGCGGCACGTCAGCAGCAGCGGGACAAGTGGTGGTGCTACTCACGAGAGAAAGGCGGCGTGCGTGCAGGCCTGCGTGTTGGCCGTCACCGTGTCGTGGTCCTCGTACGAGAGGTACACGAAGCGGCTCTTGAAGCACGCCATGATGCGCTCGACGAGGCGCATCTTCTCGTCGGGCGCGCGATACTGGATCAGGACCTGCCAGAGTGTCAGCCCACGCCGAGGAGAGATGTGGAATGACTCACCAGCGGCTGGTCCGTCGGGTCGACGCGCGGGCCGTGCATCGAGTGGCACGAAATGATGTGCACGTCGTCGGGCAGGTGCTTGTCAAACGCTGCGCGCTCCGGCGCCTTGACGGACGTCTGGCCCGACACGATGGCGCCCTGCTTCGTCGCTGCGCCGCATCAGCCCAGTTCAGCAGTCGCCACTCCTGCGGTCGCTGCGGCGCCCCAGCCACCGCACTGGACACGTTGCGCTACTCACACGGCCCGTACAGCCCGACGACGGCGTCAATGTAGGCCGCCTCGACGCTGTAGATGATGAGGTCGGAGCGCCGCGAGACGTAGTGCCCGTCGCGCCAGACGGTGAGCGGCGAGTCTGCCGCAGCGTCAGCACGGCCAGGGTGCGCCGTGCGCAGCACTCACCCTTGAACTCCTCGGCCAGCTTTGCATAGTTCTCTTCCCGGTCGCACACGTTGACGCTGGCGCAGCCACTCAGCGCCGTGCCGCGCGTGGCCCTCCCCTGCCCCTCACTCACTGCTGCCAGCCGGCGTCGGCGAAGCGCTGCGCATACAGGCGGCCCATGTCGCCCATGCCGATGATGCCGATCTCGATGCGCGCCTGCTCTTCGGCGAGCGCAGACGACGACGCGGCGGCCATGTCGGACTGCGAGAGTGTGTGAGCGGTGCGAGGGTGTGGGAGTCACGAAGGAAGCGAGGCGGCGCGCGCTGCCGCGCCTTGGCGTCGTGGAGGCGCGCCGCGCGCCGCGATCTTCTCCCGCGGGAGTCGGCGCCGCACAGACACGGCCCGCTCTCATGCTCACTCCGGGCTCTGCACCGCTCAGACAAGGCACCGGCACTACCAACCACACGTGCGCAGTACAGCTATGCCATTGCGCCATCACTCCAGCTCGTCCATGCCCTCGCGCTCGCGCCGCTCGCGCGCCTCGCGGTCGCCAATCGCCGCGTCGCGCAGCATCTCCTCGACGTCGGGCGCGACGACAAACTTGCGGTGCAGCTCGCCGAGCGTCGTCGCCGTCGCGCTGCTGGCGTCGAGCACCATGAGCTGCTGCAGGAACGCCGCCTGCGAGCCGCCGGTGACCTGCAAGGCGTCAGCACCGCAGCGACCGAACTGCACAGTCCGCCTGGCTCACCTCCATCTGCACGTCGCCGAAGCGCAGCGCCACCTTGCCGTCCTTGAACACGTCCAGGCGGCCCACCTGGCCCTCGACGCGCCGCTCGCCCTCCTCCGTCTTGACCTCGGGCCGGTCCGCCGGGCCGCGCACGTCGGCGGCGAAGGCGACGCTGCGCTTGCCCTTCTCCTTCGGCGGCGACGACGAGAGCTCCGGCGCGGCTGCGGCAGAAGGCGCAGCGAAAGACGGAAAGAGGCCGGGAAACTGGAAGAGATAAAGAAGATTTTCTGGGCCGTCGCCCTGCAGCAACGTCAGCTTTGCAGCACACCACACTTGTGCCACACATCACACGCACCTCGTCGGCAGGCACAAAGTCGGCCAGCAGGTCGTCGGGCACCTCCTCCGTCTCCGAGTCGCTCAGGTCGAGCGCATCGGCGCCGCGCGCTTCTTCCTTGGGCGCCTCGTCCTCGTCCTCTCCGCTGCTGTCAGGAGCGAGGCCCTCGGGGTCGTCCTTGAGCGCCTCCTTCTCCTTGCCCTTCTTGGTGCCCTCCTTCGCCGGCTTGGCCCCTTTCGGCTTGGCGTCCTTCGGCTTCGCCTCCTTCTTGGCCTTCTCCTTCAGCCGCGGCAGCGCACGCGGCGCGAGCTCGTCGAGCGCGTGCACCTCGTCCATGTCGACGATCTCGACGCCGTCCTCGTTGTCCGAGTACGTCTCCTTCTCCTTGAACTCATCGGGGTCGCGGTAGCGCCCGCCCTCGGGCTTGACGTCGCCGCCGACGCCCGGCGGCGCGCCCGCCCACGACGGCCCGGCGCCGCGCGTGCCGCTCGTGCGCGAGCGCTCGGCCCGCGAGAGGGCGCCGGTGCCCTGGGCAAACGGACCGGTGGCGACCATCTCGACGGGCGCATACGCCGCCGCGCCGCCGCGCCCTCCGCCGCGCCCGCCACGCCCGCCGCGGTCCGAGCCGCGAAAGCCGTCGCCTCGCCCGCGTCCGCGAGAGGGGCCGGCGCTCGGCACGCTGTCCGTGGGCTCCTGCTTGACGGTGGCCCTGTGATGTGTGTGAGCAAGTGTGCCAGGGCCGCAATTTTCACAGCGGCGCCGGCGTCACCGGTGCGCGGTGTGGCCGGTGCATGCTGCCTGGCTCCTCACTCACTCGCGCGGCCGGCGCTGCGGCATCACGGGGCGGAAGATCATCTTCTGGCTGGCGCCGCGGCCGCGCGGCACCATGCTCTGCGTGCGTGGCTGCGGTGCAGGCGTGGCCGAGCCGGAGCCGATGCGCACCTCGCCCGGCGGGCCCGCGGCAGCCGAGCCCGACGCGCTGGGCGCCGAGGCGTTGGGCCCGGCGGCGAGGCCCTGGCCGGGCAGCGTCGACACGGCCTCGTCGAGGGCGACGCTGGGCGCGGGCGGCGGCGACGGCACGCGCGGCGGCGAGTCGTCCGAGTCGGGCGCTGTGGGTGCAGCTCGGCGGCGCGGCGGCATGGTGGGCGGGGTGCGGGTGTGGTGGAGGAGGAGCAGGCAGCAGCACGCCAAAAGCTGGCTGCCAGGCACGCATCTGTCGGCCGGGAGGCGCCAAGCCAGCAGCTCCCACGGAACGTGCGCCGCGGCCTCTCTCCGCCGCTGCTTCTTCTTCGCACACCACCACCACTCCGCACGTCGCCTGCACCGCCAGCATGTCCGCTCCCGGCACCGCCGACGCGCCCGACATCGCCTTCCTGCGCAAGCACCTCGTCTTCTACCCCGACTACCCCAAGAAGGGCGTCAACTTCGTCGACATCTTCCCGCTGCTGCGCACGCCGCTCGCGTTCGAGGGCCTCATCACGCATCTCCTCTCGCACATCTTCACCGTCACGCTGCCGCGCCTGCCCGACGGCCAGAAGATCGACGCCGTCGTCGGCCTCGACGCGCGCGGCTTCCTCTTCGGGCCCGTGCTGGCGCAGCGCCTCGGCGCCGCCTTTGTGCCCGTGCGCAAGGCCGGCAAGCTGCCGGGCACGTGCGAGCAGGCGACGTACGAGAAAGAGTACGGCACGGTGAGCAGCACGCACAGGGCGCCGCGCTTGCACGAGGCTGATGCCGGTGCAGGACGTGTTCGAGGCGCAGGCCGGCTCGCTGCCCGCCGGCGCCAACGTCATCGTCGTCGACGACCTCATCGCGACGGGCGGCAGCGCCAAGGCCGCCGGCGAGCTCGTCGCCAAGCTCGGCGGCAAGACGCTCGAGTACCTCTTCGTCGTCGACATTCCCTTCCTCCAGGGCGCGTCGAAGCTCGACGCGCCGTCGTACGCGTGAGTGACATGCACTGGCCGATGCGCACTGCGTCTGACACTCCACACAGCATGATCGATGTCGACTAGAGGCAATATATAAAGTCATGGTTCAGAGCGCGGGTAATGGTACAGCGCGACAACTAAAAGGGGCAGCTCGAAAGCGCGGGGGTGAGTGAAGTGAAGGCGGCGTGGCGGCGACGATGGCGGGATGGCGCCGATGGGAAGGTGGGTATAAGACGCCTAGGCGTTCTGCAGCTGGCCGCGCACGGCGCCGGCGACGAACTTTTCCGTGTGCGTGTCGACGGCGTAGCCCGCCGGGTTGGCGATGATCTCTTGCAGCGTGAAGCCCGAGGCGCTGCTCGTGTCCTTGCCCGTCTGCGCGTTGTTCGAGCCGGACGTGAAGGGGCCCTTGACGCACGCGCTCGAGTAGCGCTTGCTCTTGGACCACCACTTCGGCTGCGGGTCCTTGAAGGCGATCACCGGCGGGCCGGCCTGGCCGGCGGCGCTGCGGTGCGTGTGCGTCGACGTCTTGGCGAGCGAGTAGTACTCGCCGGTGACGCCGTTGAGGACAATGTCGTAGCAGAGGATGTTCTTGGCCTCATTGATGCGCAGCGTGTACTTGCCCGTCGCGCCCTCCTGGCCCGCGACGGCGGCGCCCTGCGGGTTGATGATCGTGCTCGACACGGCCTTGCCGGTGAACTTGTGCGAGAAGGAGCGCGGCTTCTTGACGGGCACCTCGGACGGCAACAGCTGCGCGCGGATGGCGCCGGCGGTGAAGGCCTCGGTGTGCGTGTCGGTGAAGAAGTTACCCGGGTTCTGCTCGAGCTGCTTGAGCGTGAAGCCCGACGCGGAGCCCGTGTCGGTGCCCGTGGGCGCGAGGCCCGTGCGGAAGGGGCCCTTGAGGCAGCCCTTGCTCTCGCGGATCTCCTCGCCGAGGTGGTTCTTGCGCGTGAACTGCGGGTTCGGGAACGCGATGCGCGGCGGGCCGTTCTGCCCGGCGGCCGCCTCGTGGATGTGCGTCGCCGTGGCGGCGGGCGAGTCGTACTCGCCCGTGACGCCGACGGTGCGGATGTCGTAGCAGATGATCTCCTTGTCCGAGTTGATGAAGTAGGCTGCGGGTGCGTCAGCGCGGGCCGCCGTGCTGGGGCCGCTCACGTCCACTGACAGAAGTGGCCGTAGGCGCCGGGCTGGCCGGGTGTCGCGACGTTCTGCTGGTTGACGACGTTGCCGGGGATCGGGCGGCCGTACACGGCGCTGGTAAAGTAGCTCGGCTGCTTGCACTTAGTGCCGATCTTGCCGCCGAAGTGCTTGCCGAGCAGGCCGGTGCGCTCCTCGAGCGGCGCCGAGGGCGCGGCAAAGGCGGCGGGTGCGAGTGCGAGGAGGGTGGCGGCGGCGGCGAACTTCATGGTGGGCTAGGAGCGGGAGAGGGAGATGTGGGCGGCGAGAGGGACGAGCCGGGGGCATGCTTATGTACCCTGCGAACCCGTGCGTGGTGCAGCGCTGCAGGAGCGCTGATCCGCGCCGGCGCCGGCGGCCCACGCTGGCGGAGCGCACGCAGCGTGCGGGTGCGGAGCGTCGTAGCCGGCGGAGCAGCCGCAGCGTAGTCATCGGCCCAGCCTGCAGAGCACTCGCATCGCAGGTGCGGCTCATCGCTGCGACGTGCTGCTGCGTGACGTCGCCCGAGGCAGATGCCAAGGCTCGGCCCTCGCGACGAGGGGCAGCGCCGGCGGGCGGAGGGGTCAGCATCGCAGCGTGCAGCGACGGCGCCCCGGGGCGAGCATCGCCGCTGCTCCGCCCTGCTGCGGCGCTCTCGCACCCTCCGCTGGTGCTCTGCGCACAGCGAGCAGCTCGGGGCTTGGCATCGCCCGCCGTGTGCTAGCGTGCGTGCCTGAGCCAGCGGCCCCGCGCTCCCGCCGCCGTGCTCCTCCGTCCGGAGGCCCTCGCGGCCCCTCGGCCCGCCGCTGCCGCAGCCGTTGCGCGAGGCCCGCCTCCTGACGCAGCACACGCCTGATGTTGCATCAGCACATGGGCCGCTGCGCAGATGCCCTGCAAGCTGCGGCTGCAGCTGCGCTGCGGTGCTGCGAGTGGTGTGTGGCCTCGTAGAGTGCTCCGAGTGCAGCGATGCAGTGTGAGTGCTCCGCTTCGAGATGGAGCCTCCGCTGCCGCCTCCGCCTCCGCCTCCGGGTGTCGGCGCGCGCCGATCAGGCCACTCGCCGAGCACGCACGCGCCCAGCGTCCGCCGCGTGCCAAGACCTGCGCGCGGCGGGGTCGCAAGCCGCGATCTCGCAGAAGGCGTGCGGCACACACTCTGCATGCTGCGCTGCTCCTCCAGGCGGCAGCATCCGCGCAGATGATGATGCATGCTCGCCAGCGGCGCAGAGCCTCCTTCTGCAACTCAGACACAGCCGCAGCATCACGCAAGCACCCGTCGTCGTCCGATGGCGCGGCAGCGTGGACGTGCCCAGGCAGCGTCTCGTAGGACAGGCGCCTTTTGCGGCTCGCAGCGCATCGCCCACATCAGGCCGCATGCGCAGGCTGTCCTTCCCACGCCGGCGCTGAGACCGTGCCGTCCAGCGCGCCAGCTCCACCACGCCCTGCCCTGCGCCGCCACACGCCATGGAGAGAAGGCTCGCAGGATGTGCGGGGTGCCGGTGCGAGGCGTGCGCCAGCTCAGCGTGCAGCACGTGGCCTCATCGGGCGGCCATCTCGCTGCGGCTGCCTGTGCTTGCCCCTCTCTACACTCTTACTGCACGCTGACATCGGCGTTAGGGCTCGCCGGCACGAGCAACGCGTGGATGATGCATCCGAGCGACGCCGCCGAGGTCCGGCTGGGCGCGCCGTGGATTGCTCTGCGAGGGGCTGCCAAGGCCGGCTTCGGCGACTGCTCGACGCGGGGATCGACGGGGTGCAGCTGTGCCCTCTCGGCCGTGAGCATGTGGCTGGAAGAGACGGCCCGCGGGGGATGTCGGCCGGGTGCAGCGAGGTGCCGCTGGGGTGCCCGCGAGGCGGAGCAGACGTGAGAGCGCCAAGCCTTTGCTCGCCCGCGCGGACCCGCGCAGGACGAGATCTGCCGCGCAGAGGCCGTTGAAGCGTGACGTGGGCGGCGCTGCTGCCGTGCCGCGCCGCCGCTTGGCGTGGGCGCCGCGTCCTTGCTTCTCTCCACCGCCCCGAGCGCGCACGTGCCGCCGACCAGACCCTGCGCTAGCCCCTCCTCCACACCACCGCACCGCGCACCCCTCGGCCGCTACCACCACCTCGCGGCGCTCGCAGCAGCATGCCGCTGCAGCTGTGGGCCGTCGACGTGAGCGGCCACGCGCGCGCGCTGCCCGACGCCGCCGCCGTCGCGCGCGCCCGGCTGCCGGCCAGCGAGGCCGAGGTGGTCGCGCGCTTCGTGCGCGCCATCGACCGGGCCCGTGAGTGCAGGCTGCGGCCGGTGCGCTGCATGTGTTGACCTGACCACCCAGGCAGCCTCGCCGGCAAGCTGCTGCTGCGGCTCGCGCTCTGCGAGGTCGAGCCGGCATGCGCCGCCGCCGGCTGGCAGGCGCTGCGCTTCGACAAGACACGCGAGGGCCGGCCCTTTCTGGTGCGTGCCGGTGTGAAGCGCACCTTCGCATCCACGCTGAGGCGCAGACAGGTTCACCCAGCCATGCCGCTCGACTTCAACATCTCGCACGACGGCGACTGGGTCGTGCTGGCGCTCCAGCGCGACGCCGCGAGCCGCGTGGGCGTCGACGTCATGGAGCTGGCGTTGCCGCACTTTGAGCGCGACGTGGCCAGCTTCGTCGAGACGATGGAGCTCGCACTCACGCCGCGCGAGACGGCCTGGGTCCTTGCGGCCACCACGGGCGCGGGCGGCTACGAGGCGCGGCAAGCCGAGGCGCTCCGACGCCTGTACGACCTCTGGACGCACAAGGAAGCCTACACCAAGGCACTCGGCCTCGGGCTCGGCTTCGACTTTGCGCGCCTCGAGCTGCGCCTCGGCGATGCACGCGAGCAGCGGAGCGTACGCTGCGCGCTCCTCTCCGACGGGAAAGAAGAGCCCCGCTTCGTCTTCACCGAGCTGCTGCTGCCGCCGGGCGCCGAGCGCGGCCAGGCGCCGCCGACGCCCGGCGAGGGCACCGGCCTGCCGAGCCAGCTCGTCGTCGCGCAGGGGCCGCTGCAAGAGGCGCACACGCAGGTCAGCCCGCCGGTCGCGCTGCAGGCGGCCAAGAACGCCGGCTGGCTGCGCATGACGACGCTAGGTGGGTTGCTCGAGGCGTCACGGGGTCATACAAATGTCACAGATGAGTCATGGGAAGGTATGAGGAGGGGCTAGCCGCAGCATGCGCCGCTGGAGGAGCCGTGCTGCTCGCGCAGTAGCACCGGACCGGCATGCTCATCTTCGTCCAGAGGCACGGCGAGGGTGTCCCAGGTGGCGAAAAAGTGGCCAAACAGCCCGCCGAGCACGATGGCGATGAGCAGGTACCCGTTGAAGGACATGGCCAGGAGCATGACGATGTACTGGGCGTGTGTCAGCGGCGCCGCAGCGGAGACTCGCACGGCACTCACCGCGCCGGCGAACTGCGTCGCATAGACCAGGCTGCGCACGGTCTGCTGCAGCACCGTCGGGCGGAAGCGGCGCGGGCCGGAGCGGCGCAGCGTGCGGGCGCCCGCCGAGCGGCGCGGCAGGCCGTAGAAGACGCTCTCGAGCCTGGCGAGCGCACCCGCTCCCGCCGGCGCGGCATTCAGCTCCGGCACAGCCGCCGCCTCGAGCGAGCCGCCGTCTTCCGTCTTGCCCGCGCTCTGACGGCGCTCGTCGCGGGTGTCCATGTTGCCCACGCGCTGCTCGTCGCGGCGGCGCGCCAGGGCGCTGGCGAGGATGTAGCGGTCCCACTCGCGGCCCCAGCGGCGCACCGACTCGACGAGCACGACGAGCAGGAACACGCCGATGCACGTGCCCGCGAACTGCGCCTCCGTCGAGATGCGCCACGACGACGTGAGGAAGCACGCGCCGATCGTCTGCCAGTTGCCGCTGCGAGAGGTCAGAGAGCGCCGAGGCTGGCGGCGTGGCACTCACAGCATGTGCATCGAGCACGCCATGGCGTCGCCGTCCATGTCCATGCCCATGTCGTCGTCGTGGCGGGCCTGCATGGCGACAAATGTGCAGTGGCGAGTGTGAGGCTGGACGAGAGATGCAAGCAGGCCCGGGCGTGGCCGAGGATGCCAACGTGGGCGAGGTCGATGAGGCCAGCGCCTCGGAGCCTTTCGCGGCGCCTTTCGAGCGCGGGGCGTGAGGCGCGGGCGCGTCGGCCGAGCTGGGCCGCGGCAGGCGTGGGAACAGCGGCGGGCAAGAGGCGGTGCCGATTTCGCCTTTCGCGCCTTCGCCTCGCCTCGGCCCTCTGCTCCGCTCCTCCACCATCCGCCGTGCCCACGCTTCGTCCGCCCACACACAGCGCCAGATCTCTGCCGCATCTTCACAATGCCTGCCGACTCTCGCTTCGATCTCTCTGTGTGGGACACGGCGGCCGCCGCCGCCAGCAAGAGCGCGGCCGAGGGCAGCACGCGCAAGAAGCGCAAGGCCGAGGTGCCGGAGCAGGCTGCCTCTGGCGGGCACAGCGACGACGACGAAGAGGCCGAGGATGGCGACGGTTTTGATGAGGGCTCTGAAGGAGGCACAGACGTGGGCACCGACGCCGGCGACGATCCCGAGGCGAGCAGCGGCAAGAAGACGGTCGCGCCGCTCTCGGCCAAGGAGCTGGCGGCGTTCGAGGCGCGCGAGCGCGCCCGCGGCCTCGTGTACATCTCGCGCATCCCTCCGGGCATGACGCCGGCCAAGGTGCGGCACCTGCTCTCGGGCTTTGGCGACGTGGAGCGCGTGTACCTGCAGGACGGCAGCGCACGCGGCAAGGAGAAGAGTGAGTGGCCAGCAGATGTACAGGGGCAGAGGCATAGGCTGACGCTACCCAGGCAAGCGCGCATCGGCGCACTACACCGAGGGCTGGGTCGAGTTCACGAGCAAAAAGGCGGCGCGCGCCACGGCCGCGCTGCTCAATGCGCAGCCGATCGGCGCCGCGATGGGCGGCTTCGGCGGCGGCGGCGGCGGCAGCAAGAAGAACGGCGGCACGCCCAAGAACGCACGGCGCTGGCGCGACGAGGTGTGGACGATGCGCTACCTGCCCGGCTTCAAGTGGGGCCGGCTGAGCGAGCAGATCGGTGAGCACCCTCTCTGGCTCAGGCCCTTTCTGGCCGGCGGCTGACGTCGCACAGCGCACGAGCGCGCCAGCCACACGTCGCGCCTGCGCGCCGAGCTGGCACAGAGCGCCAGCGAGAACAAGGACTACCTCGTCAAGGTCGAGCGTGCCCGCGTGGCGCGCGACAAGGAGGCCCGGCGCGCGGCGCGCCAGGCGGCCTCGGGCGACGGCGACGCCGCCGCCAAGCCAGCAGCCGACGAGCGGCGGAAACACACGTTCAAGCAGCGCGCCGCCGTGCGCTCCGACGTGCGCGACGCCGCCCCGGCGCAGTCGGAGGAGAAGAAGAAGGGCAGCGACGCTGGCGAGCGCGAGAAGCGGCGGAAGCTCGACGGCGTGCTGGGTGCCATCTTCTAATGACTGTATGCTGGCCTGCGTCGGAGCAAGAGATGTGTCAGTGGCAGAGTGTGTGCGCAGAATCTCGTGGTCGTGCGTAGCAGGACTTCGCCTGGCCAAGGGCAACGGCACGGTCGCCACGACGGGGCCCGCCAGCTTGCCGTGCCAATCTCGCAGCACGAGGCCTGGGCGCTGGCTGTCCCGATACTATGGATCCTGTGTGCATCACGGCCTCGCTGTCAGCCGTCACACCAAGACTCGTGCCGTATCACTGCTGCCGTAGCACGATCCATGCTCGCCCAGGGCGGGCTCGGCTGGGGAGCGTGGGAGCGGCACAGACGCACAAGCCACGCAGACGCGGCGCGCGGCGCGCAAAATGCCTTGTCCTGCCGCACCAGGCGCTTCTTCCACCACCACGATGATCTCGCCCGCCTCCTACCTGCTCGCCGCGGCACAGCGCCTCGACACGCCCGCCGTGCCGTTCAAGCCGCTCTGCCTGGCGCTCATTGGCACCGTGTACGCGCTCGAGCAGCTCCTCGCGCTGCGCCAGCTGCCGCTCTACAGCCGCACCGCGCCGCCCGCCGCGCTCGCCGCCCACGTCGACGCCGCCACGTTCGACAAGAGCCAGCGCTACGGCCGGCACAAGGCGCGCTATGCGCTCCTCGTCGCCGCCGTCAACACGGCGCTGACGCTGGGCTTCGTGTGGGGCAACGTGTATGCGTGGGCGTGGAGCACGGCGGCGACGGCGTGGGTGGGCACGCGCTGGGCCGGCCACGAGGTGAGCCGGGTGTGCCGCCGACCAGCGTCGCGTGCTGACGCTGCGCAGATCGCCACGACGGCGCTCTTCATCCCCATCGTCTCGCTGCTGCGCGACATTCCGACGCTGCCGCTGGCCTACTACCGCAACTTCCACCTCGAGGAGGCGCACGGCTTCAACAAGATGACGCGCAAGACGTTTGCGCTCGACTGGTTGAAGGAGACGACGCTCGGCTTTGCCATCATGCTGCCCGTCATCTCGGCGCTCATTGCGCTGATCCGCTGGGCGGGCGACAGCTTCGTCGGTGAGGCATGTGCTGCCCTGCCGATGCGATGCGCACTCACTCCTCTCAGCCTACACCGTCGCGTTCCTCTTCGCCTTCCAGATCACCGCCATGCTCCTCTACCCGACGCTCATCCAGCCGCTGTTCAACACACTCGTGCCGCTGCCCGAGGGCGCGCTGCGCGAGCGCATCGTCGCGCTCGCGTCGGCGCTCAAGTTCCCGCTCAGCAAGATCTACGTCATCGACGGCAGCACGCGCAGCAGCCACAGCAATGCGTACTTCTACGGCGTCGTGCCAGGCGGCAACAAGGTGGGTGACGAGTGTGAGAAAGCGCAGGACATGTGCTAAGCTCCATGCCGCAGCACATCGTCATCTTCGACACGCTCCTCGAGAAGTCGACGCCCGACGAGATCGAGGCGGTGCTCGCACACGAGCTGGGGTGAGTGTTTTGCACCGCCGCACACGGACAACCGCTCATCATTCGCAGACACTGGGCGCACTCCGACCCGCTCAAGCTGCTCCTGCTCAGCCAGGCGCAGATCATCTTCACCATCTCGCTCTTCACGCTCGCGATCCACAACCACGCGCTCTTCCGCGCGTTTGGCTTCAACGTCGCGCAGGGCGCGCACTTGCCCGTCGTCGTCGGCCTCGAGCTCTTCCAGCTCATGCTGGCGCCATGCGACGCGCTCAGTGAGTGCGGCCGTGCCTGTGCTTCGCCGCGCTGACACCCGCGCAGTCAAGTTCCTCGTCAACGCCTGCGTGCGCCGCATGGAGTATGCCGCCGATGCCTTGTGCGTGCTTCGCGTCGTCACTGCCACCTGCCGCTGACGCCAGCACAGCGCGCAAGGCCTGCCGCGCCCGCCGCCGACGCCCAGCGGCAAGAAGATCGCCGCGCCGCCGGCCGAGCCCGCTGCCGACGCCGCCGCAAAGAAGGACGGCTGGAAGGTGCCAGAGGGTCTCGCGCCCGACGCGGCCCAGGCCAAGATGCCGTACGCAGCGCTGCTGAGCCGCGCGCTCATCAAGCTGCACGTGCAAAAGTACGTGGGGCCTATTTCCAGCGCTCTGCACGATGCTGACCGCTGCCCAGCCTCTCGAGCATGCACCACGATGCGCTCTACTCGGCGTACCACTACTCGCACCCGACGCTCGCAGAGCGCCTGCGTGCGCTCGACGTACGCAAGAGCGAGTAGGCGCGCAGCGGAGAGGGCCCGTCCTCTGTGTGAGCGGCCGAGGCACGCATACAACGGGCATGCCAACGCGGTGCATGCGTCCTGCGCGACCCGGAATGAATGCCGTGTGCCCATCTGCGCGCGCTTCGCTCTGCCTCTGTCGGCGCGTTGTTTCTTATCCACTGAGCATTGCACCTGTGATCTACTCGTCGTCGGCCCCTTGCTTCGCCTCTGCCATAACCTTCGCCGCCGCCTCGCCGTGGTGCTCGTGGTTGACGACGTTGAACCACGGCAGCACGCCTGGGATGCCGCCGCATAAGCCGCACGCCTCGCCGCATCTCCTGCCGGCACTCACTGAACTTCAGCTGGCTCCATGCCGAGTTCCGGTGCGCCACGCCGCGCAGGTACGGGTCCAGGCCGGACTTGGACGGGTCCAGGCCCGCGGCCGAGGCGCCCTCCTCCTCTGCGCGTGCTGCCTCCGGCGCATTCTCAGTGAAGCCCCACAGGCGGACTGTGCGGGCGTGTTAGTGAATGGGCGATGACCTGTGTGAAGGCGCTGGGCGTGCAGCATCGCCAAGTGCCCTCCCTGCGCAGGCGCCTGCTGGAGTGCAGCGCGACACGCCGGTCCGTGCTGCGTATCGCTCAAGGCGACTGACAGGCAGCTCGCGATGGCTCGCCGCGGACCTATGCCGCTCCCCGCGCGCGAGCAGTCTAGCGGCATCACTGCGCATGCGCTCTGGCTATCCGCGATGCTCTTGCTGACGCCCTCCCCGCCCTCCTGTGCCGGCCTTTCAAGCAGGCGATACTCACAGCTGCTGCGCTGGTACGCCAGCAGGAAGCCACCGCCGACACCGAGCAGTGTGGCGAGGCGCAGGACGCTGCGCGAGCCGCGCGCCGGGCGCGTGGGGTCGAACATCTCTGCGAAGCGTCGCGTCAGCTCGGAGTCCTGGGTGATGCCATCGAGGCGGCGACGAGCGCAGCAGAGGCGACTTTGACTGCGCTTCCATACCAAAGCTCGGGCATGGCCCGAACGCACGCCTAGGCGAGCCGGAAGGCAATGCAGGTCGGCACAGCAGTGCTCTGCGTCCTCCTTTGAGCTCGCATGCCGGCCTGCGCACGGGCCGTGCGTGCCAGACAGGCAACATCGCGGGTGCACGGAGAGCACAACAGCATTCGCCATCTGCCCGAGCGATCTGCGCCCATGCGCCATGCTGTGCCGCAGACGAGAGTCCCAGCAGCACGCCGAGCAGGCGTCGCGCTTCTGCATCTTCATTGCAGGCGCTGTCTGTCTGCCAGGCGTGCCCTCCGCGCAGGCGCGTGTGCTGCCGCTGCGGACATCACACCTCTGCTGCGTGGCCACTCACCCATGGCGTAGATGGCGCCGGGGAACGCGCCCGCGGCGCCGGCCCAGACGAGGTGATCGCTGGGGCGCATGTACGAGACGACGCGGCGGAAGTGCGGGTCGGTGTCGAGCACCGGGAACTGCGGCGAGGCCGCTGCGGAGCGCGTGGTCAGCAGGGCGGCGGCACGGGCGCGCGGCGGCGGCACGCACGCATGATGGGCGGCTCGGAGCGGGTGTGGTGGGGTGCGGAGGGCAGGTGCGATGCGGTGTCGAGGTTGCGGTCGCGACAGCGTGCGCTGGGCGGCGACGGCGCGCGTGCGACTGGCGCATTCGCACGCCCGCGCGCGGGCCTTGTCGCTGGAGCGCATCCACCGCGCCGCCACCTGCACGTGCGCCCGCCAAGCACCGCCTCGTCGCGCGCGCTGGTGCGGGGTGCGGGAGCAGCATCCGCGCTCCGTCCGTGCAGCGCCGAGCGCGCCTCGCCTCCACCCGCCCGCCGTCCTGCTTCGCTCCCTCACACTCCCACACCCGCAGCCATGAAGGGCGCGCTCAAGGTGCGCTGTGCCGCGCTGCACCTGCCTCGCCGCCGCTGACCCCCGTGCCAGTTCGCCAAGCGCACGCCGCACCTGCTCACCGCAAAGGTCGGCCGCGCCAACACCACCGTCGACGCCGAGTTCGTCGAGCTCGCCAACCGCTTCGCCGTGCTCGAAAAGGGCGCCGAGCGCCTCGTCAAGGATGTCGAGGCGTGGACGGGCGCCGTGAAGAGTAAGTAAGAGTGCGGGGTGCGGACGCGTGGTGGAGCGTGGTGGCGGCATGCTGCTGCATCGCGTCCGGCCAGCGAGGCGATCTTGCCGTAGTGGGCTTGCCGCTATCTTGCGCGCTGTGCATCTCCTACCTCTGCACAGCACATCGTCTGGCCTGCTGACACGCCGCAGGCATGCTGCTCTCCTCGTCCGGCTTCTCCTCGCACTTCGCCGCGCTGTTTGCCCTCGACACGTCGGCCTCGTCGCACGCACGCGCCGCCGCGACGGCACAGAACCTGCCGCAGTTCGACGCGCACCTCGCCGAGCTGCGTGAGACACTCACGCCCGAGGTCGAGCTCGTCGAGAGCCGCGTGCTGGCGCCGGCGCGCGAGTACGTCGCCATTGCCAAGGCGCTGCGCAAGAACGTGACGAAGCGCGACCACAAGGTGAGTGCGCAGAGCGTGGGGGCGGGCAGAACGGGGCAGCGCAGGAGAGGAGCGCGGGCAAGCGCCGCTGTAGGGCAGTCGAGGGCGCAGCGGTATCGCCGCATGCCCCTGCCGCGCATCCATCTGACACTCCGCCGCAGCTCGTCGACTACGACCGGCACTCGGCCGCATACACCAAGCTCCGCGACAAGAAGGAAAAGTCGCTCAAGGACGAGCAGAGCCTCTTCAAGGCCGAGCAGGACTTCGAGACGGCCGCCGCCGACTACGAGTTCTACAACAACGCCATGAAGGAGGAAATGCCGCGCTTCTTTGAGATGAGCGCGCGCTTCGTCGGCCCGCTGTGGAACGGCTTCTACTACATGCAGTGCGTGGTGGAGGCTTCGCTTGTGCCGTGGCCGTGCTGACGCCGTGCAGGCTCAACATCTTCTACCTCACGCTCGACAAGCTGCAGGTGTTCGCCGACGGCAAGTACGACATCTCCGCCACGGCCACGCCCAGCATCGAGGAGGCGTATGTCAACGCGCTCGACGACGCCAGCGAGCGCCTCGAGGCGCTGAGCATCCGCAAGCCGGCTGCGCACAGCGGTGCGTCGCCGCCGCGCTGCTCAATGCCGGCCCAGCTGACATTGTCCTGCAGCGCGCGTGCTGGCGACCAACCCGAACCGCTCCGCCTCGCTCTCCTCGCGCACGTCACTGTCCGCCAATGCGCCGTCGCGCACGGGCACACTCGGCAGCGCTCCTGCCGCCGCCGCACCGCCCGCATACAGTGCCGGTGCCGCGTCACCCGTCGGCGGCAAGCGCGCCCCGCCGCCGCCGCCGCCGACGTCGAAGAAGCCGGGCGGCAAGCAGGTCGAGTACGTCACAGCGCTGTACGACTACGCCGCGACGGCCGAGGGCGACCTGAGCTTCCAGCAGGGCGACCGGATAGGTGCGTGCCGGCCGGGTGCGTTATGCAGCGCTGGACACTGACGCCCGCTCAGAGGTCGTGGAGCGCACCGCGTCGACGGAGGACTGGTGGACCGGCCGGCTGAACGGCGTGCAGGGCGTCTTCCCAGGGTGAGTCTGCGCGGCGCAGGGGCGTGAGGTTCGCTGCTGACACGCGCGCAGCAACTACGTGCGAGACTAGACGTAGTCGCCGAAATCTGTCACTCCCCATGCTCCAGATTCCGCTCTGCCCGTCCCTTCGCCTTCTCTGCCCTCGCTGTACATGCCGAATTACCATATATTGCTGAACACGAGAGACGCGTGACACCGAGAGCGAGAAGGTGGCGCGCTCGGAGCGCCGCAGTTGCAGAGCGTCGCAACGGAGTGTCGCGGCGCTGCGCAGAGGGGCCGAGCGATGGAGACGCGCGACGAAGATGGCCCGCTGGGCCAGAAGAGATCGCAGAACAGCGGCGAGGTGCGCCGGCACTAGCCCATGCTGCCGAGCACCTTCATGGCGAGCGCCTTGAGCACCTCGGCGCGCTGGCCGGCGCTGAGGTTGACAAAGACCTCGCCGACGCTCCTGCCCTTGGCATCGCGGATCTGCAGACGGGTTAGCCGCTGCACGGCGAACAGAGAGGTGAGGCGTACTCACTGCACCGAGGCGGTTGCCGAGCAGCGCGCCGCCGAGGAGGCCGGGCACGTTGCCGAGGATGAAGCCGAGGCCGGCGCCGGACGCCGAGCCGACCCACTGCAGGCAAGAGGAGAGTCAACGGCAGTGCTTACCATTGCACACGCCAGCACGCACCTTCCACACGGGCGCCACGCGGTGCACCTCGGGACGCAGCAGCTCCTCAAAGACGTTGCCAAAGACGTGCTCGGCTGGAGAAAGGGTCAGCAGATGCAGCACTGACGTGTTCAGCACCACGCACCCTGCGGCTGGCCCGTGCCCGCCTCGCTCGCCGGCGCGCTGCTGCCGCCCGGCGCGCCGCGGAAGAAGCCCTCGAACCAGCGGGCGCTGCTGCTCTGCTCCGTCTCGGCCTTCTCCCAGTCGGCGCTGCCGGGAAAGGCGCCGCCCCAGGCACGCGTGCCGCGCACGGCGTCGTACTCGCTGCGGCGCGCCTTGTCGCTGAGCACGTAGTAGGCGTCGGCGACGCTCTGGAAGCGCGCCGTGTAGCGCGCGCGCTCGGCGGGCGACGCGGCCGGGAAGCGGTCGGGGTGCGAGGCGAGCGAGGCGCGCTTGTAGGCCGACTTGATCTCCTCGCCCGACGCAGTGGCGCTGACGCCGAGGATGGCGTAGTAGTCGGGCGGGGCGTCGGACATGGCGCGTGGTGGCGTGGGTGGTGGTGGTGGTGAGGCAGGCGTGAATCGAATGCGGCCGCATCGGGCCATGCAGCGGGCGCGCTGCTGCGCGCGCAGCAGGTGGAGGCGGGGCGGCGCAGCGGCTGGCAAGACGCCGCACCTCTCCCATCCTCTCCTCTCCTCTCCTCTCCTCTCCGCACCTCATCACGCCCGCCATGGCCCAGCACTCCGTCTCGCTCTCCGAGGGCACCACGCACCGCGTCACCGTCACGCTTCTCCCGCCGCCCGGCTCAGACGCGCCGCCGCATCTCGTCGCCGACAGCGCACGGGCGCCCGAGGCGTGCGTCGCAGCGCACCACGCTCACTGCATCTGCTCACGCGCGCCCACAGCGTCGTGACGCTGCACGAGGCCGGCGCCAAGGCCTACCCGGACCGCTACTACTTCGGCGCCGCCGCGCTCGCCGGAGTACCACTCACACCGGCGCCCGGCACGCCGGCGAGCGCCTTTGCGCCGGCGCAGGGCAAGACGTCCTTCTGCCCGTACAAGGGCACGGCGCGCTACCACGACGTCGGCCACGCCGCACCCGCCGCCGCCTGGTCGTACCCCGACGGCGCGCACGGCATGCAGCGCATCGCCGACAAGGTCTGCTTCTGGACCATGGGCGCCGGCGCGCGCCTCCAGCTGCGCGTCGATGGCCAGCTGCGCGACGACTAGGCCAGGCAGCGCAGCGCTGAGAGCGCAGGGCAGGACAGAGCAGGCAGGGCACGGCTGAGGGCGAAGGGCAGGACAGAGCAGGCGGGGCACGGCGATAGTGGCATTGTACATTAGCTTAGTGTGCGAGAGACGGTCCAGTCTAGAGCGGAGCATGGGCGAGGCGGCAGGCGTCCTACGGCTTGTACATGTCCTCGACGAAGCGCGAGATGATGAGCCGCTGGATCTGCGACGTGCCCTCGTACAGCTCAAAGACTGCAGGTCGGGGTCAGCGGCGCGCACGGCAGCGATGTGGCAGACGGGCACTCACTCTTGGCGTCACGGTACCTGAAGGGGAAGGAGCCATGTCAGCGCTGTGCTGCCCGACACCGCTCGACACTACTCACAGCTTCTCCACCGGGCTCTCCGAGTTGAAGCCCATGCCGCCAAAGATCTGCACGGCGTCGTTGGCGTTCTGCACCGCCGAGCGCGAGGCAATGCACTTGGCAATGGACGCGTGGTAGCTGTTGCGCTTGCCCGCGTCCTTCATCCACGCCGCCTTCCACGTCAGGTTGCGCGACGCCTCGACGGCCATGGCCATGTCGGCGAGCATGAACGCCACCGCCTGGTGCTTGATGATCTGCTGGCCCATCGTCTTGCGCTCGTGCGCCCACTTGGCCGCCTCGGTGAGCGCGCGCTGCGCCAGGCCCGTCGCCGCCGCGGCAATGAGCGGGCGCGTAATGTCAAAGGCGCCCATTGCCGTCTTGAAGCCGTCGCCCGGGCGGCCGAGTACGTTCTCGAGCGGCACCTCGACGTCCTCAAACGTAATCATGCGCGTGTCCGAGCAGCGCTGCCCCATGTTCTTCTCCTTCTTGCCCTTGATGATGCCCGGCGCGTCGCCGTCGACGACGAAGCCCGTCATGCTCTTGGCGCCCTTGGCGCTCGGGTCCGTCTTGGCCAGCACAAAGTACCAGTTGGCGTGCCCGCCGTTCTGCGCCGAGGGATGAGCAGCTGTGCGACTGCTGGCGGCACGCGCGCGCTCACCGTGATCCACATCTTCGTGCCGTTGAGAATGTACTTGTCGCCCTTCCTCTCGGCGCGCGTCGTGATGCTCGCCACGTCGGAGCCCGCGCCCGGCTCAGTCTGCGCGGCCGTCAGCCGCCGTGCTGCGCATCAGCTCGCGCTGCCACTCACGACACAGTACGCCGCCACGAGCGGCTCCTCCGTCATGCGGCCCAGGTACTTCATCTTCGTCTCGTGGCTCGCGGCGACGAGCAGCGGCGCCTCGGCCAGGCCGTTGGCCTCGATGGCCGTCTGGATGCCCGAGCAGCCAAAGGCCAGCTCCTCGGAGATCAGCGCGCCCTCGACGAGGCCGAGGCCCGGGCCGCCGTACTCCTCGGGAATGTGCGTGTTGCTGCGGAGAGGCATGAGCGAGAGCACAGAAGGGCAAGGGGCCGGAGTGGCAGCATACATCCCGATGCAGCAGTGTGGCGCCTGCTTTGCAGAGCCTCACAGCGCCTGGCATCGCAGTGCAGCACTCCGTCGGGCCAGCCACCAGCGCAGGCGCAGGAGCCCGCGCTCTGCATCATCTGGCGTGTTCATCTGCACTCACACAAGGCCGGCGGCGTGCGCCTTCTTGATGACCTCCCACGGGTACTCCATCGTCTCGTCGTGGTGGCGCGCGACGGGGATGATGTTGTCGGCGGTGAAGCGGCGTGCCAGCTCTGCGCGGGCGGGACAGGGTCAGCACGGCAGCACGCGTCCACCTCGCCTGGCCCTTGACGCACCCTGGTACGCCTCCTGGTCCTCCGAGAGGCCGAAGCACGGGCCGGTCATGGGCGCCTCGACGACGCTCGAGTAGCGGCGCGCGGCGGCGGCGAGGCGCGGCACGGCGCGCGGCGCGGCGGCGGAGCGCAGGACGGGCAGGGCGCGGAAGAGGGACATGCTTGCGGCCGAGGGTGGTGGTGGGAGCGGAGAGGTGGTGCAGCTTGAGTGCTGCTGCTGTTGGCGCGGCGCTGTTGATCGCTCCTTCGCGAGCCCCTGCGGCGTGCCATCATGCCGCGCCATGCCCGAGGCCGCCGCCGCCGCCTCGCAGGACGCGAGCCACGCCCAGCGGCTGCCTGCTGGTGCTGTGCTGACCTCGCGCCCCTTTCCCCGCGCCGCCCGGCCCGCTGCGCGCCTCTCGCGCCGGGCCGGCCGTGGCGGGCGGGCTGCGCCTGCTGCCGCTGTGAAAGCGCGCTACCGCTACGCCGCGGCTCTGCGCGCTGCCGCAGCCTGTCACCGCGCTGCGCTGACAGCATTGCATGCTCGCTGCCGCAGCACATCCCCTGGTCACCTCACAGCCTCAGCACGCGCACAATCGCACCGCTTTGCTGCTCAATAAGAATATTGCCTTACATGCCGCAGCTATGGGCTGGCTCTCGCGGCGGCCTGCCTGCTGTGCCGGCGGTGAGCGTGGCTCAGTCACGTAGCGGAAGCGGCGCCACGCATGTTCGCGCTTCACTCTTCACACACCTTCAACGCTCTGCCAACACCTGCTTTGTCAGGAGCGGCGGATGCTGCATACCACCACCTCGTTACGGCAGACCTCAACGGCACATTCCTCACTCCGCGCAGCTCGCAGAACAGATAGTCTATGCGATGTAATTACGGCGCGGCCCGCCCGTGCAACCTGTGCAAGGTCTTGGGCAGCTTTCTGCCGCACTGCAGCGTCCATGGTCCACGACGCCGGATAAGCTCGCGACCATCGAGCGGCATCCATCAGTCCCAAAAGCCTCGAAGCCGTCGAGGAAGCTTGGACACTGCTTCCGGCTCGCGAAGCAGGCACGGCATGCAGTGCACGAGCGATGCATGAAGCTGCTTCGAAAGCACATGCCTCCAGGCATGCTGCAATGAAGCGCGACCTGCAAGGACGAGTCTTGCATCAGACTTGGGCGACGAGCGCAGCGGAGAGTGCTTGTCGAGGTGTCACCTGTAGAACGCACACCGCGACGCTCTCATCGTCTGCTCCGCGCCTAGAGGCCAAGCACGACCTTCCGGTCGCGCCAATCGCGCCGAGAGTCGCGCTAACGAGCCGCCACAGCGTGGAACAGACGGGCAACGCCATGACGGCTCCGTCAGGCATCGATACTCGCGCGCGCGCGGGTGAGAAGCAGAGGGGCTGCAAAGCTCGTCCAGCGCCACTCCTCGCCTTTCCCACCTCGCGGCTTCTCTGCCTCCCTCCCCGGCTTCAGACACACCGCGCAGCAGCCTCACCACATGTGTGCACGGCTACTTGTCGATGCCGGCCTTTGCGCGCTGCTCCTTCTGCGCCTCCTCGCGCTTCACGGCCTCGGTGCACTCCCACAGACGCTTGAGCACGGGCGTGCACGCGCTCGCCAGCTCGTCGTCGGCGGCGCCGCGGTTGGCCGCGAGGCACTCGTCGTAGGCGCGCACGGCGCCGGCGCAGCGCGCCTTGACGGCGGACAGCAGCGGCACGGCCTCGGCGGCGCAGGCCGAGAGCGCCGTCTTGTAGGCGGCACACTCCTGCGGCGCGCGCTCGCGGTTCGCCAGCAGGCAGCGCTGGTACGTGTCTGACGTGCGAGGGTCAGCGATGCACAGCACGGCAGCGCATGCCACGCACCGAGCTGCTGCGAGCAGTGCGCCGCCACGCGTTCCATCGTGTCCTCCATGTTGGGCTGGGCGAGGGGGTGAGGGAGCGGAGGAGGGCCGATGTGGAGCAGGCGCGAAGCTTGACACAGCAGAGGAAGCGCGTCGCGGGACTCGGGAGTCGCGGCACCTTTTTGGCGCGCCGAGAGGCAAGCAAGTCTCCTCTCCCTCTCCTCTCCCCTCTCCATCATGTCCGACATCTACCTCTGCGCCGCGCTGGCGCTCGACGCCCTCGCTCAGCGCTCAACCTCGATCCACGCCGTCTGCGCTGCTGTGCTTGCGGCGCACAGCAAGGCTACGGCAGACGCAGCGAGCACACGCCGCCCCGTCGATGCGCGCCGCCTCACGGCCCTCGTCGCCAACACGCTCTCCTTCCGCAAGCCGCTCACCGCCATCCTCGCCAGCGCAAAGACGCTGCAACTCGAGGCGGCCGCCTTCCGCATCGCGCCGCCGCGCACGCACGCCTCGGCCAAGGGCAAGGAGCGGCAGCCCGACGGCGAGGACGGGGCCGCGACGCCGGCCGTGCCCACGCCGCACTCGCTCGCCCTCGTGCTGCTGCATGACATTCTGCTCTCGTCAACACGGCCGTCCGCCTCGGTCAACTGGCCGCCACGAGCGGCGCTCGAGCGACACCTCACGCGCCTCAAGTCCGAGCTGGCACGCCTGCGCGCCAAGGCCGGCGCCGCGTCGCTCGAGGAGCTGCGCGACCCCGAGGAGCGCCGGCAGCGCACCCTCGCCGCCCGCTGCCCGCGCTGGGTGCGTGTCAATGGCCGCAGGATGGCCCGCGCCCAGGCGGTGGAGCTGCTGGCCCAGCAGGGCTGGAGCGAGACGCACGACGAGGTGCTGCGAAAGGGGTGCGTAGCAGCGCCGAGTGCTGCACCCGCGTGCTGACCGCCGCCGCAGCAAGCACTTCCTCGTCACGCCGCACCTGCCCGACGTGCTCGCCTTTGCCGGCAGCTCGACGTCGCAGCTGCTTGCGCATCCGCTGTATCAGGACGGCACGTTCATCCTGCAGGACCTGGCCTCGTGCTTTCCTGCATCCGTGCTGCTGGACCAGGACGCTGCCGCGCCGCTCATCTGCGACGGCGAGCCGCTGCATGTCATCGATGCCACGGCCGCACCGGGCAACAAGACGGGCCATCTCTCCGCGCTCTTGGCTAGCTCTGCTGCACATGCGTCGTCCAAGGTGCGCAGCCAGCACAGGTACCCTGGAGATGCGCTCACACTCCGACAGGTGTCGGCCTTTGAGCTGGCGCCGAACCGCTTCCGCACGCTCGTCTCGCAGCTCTCTCGCGCAGGCGCACTGGCGCCGACGTCGGTGCACCTGCTCAAGAGCGGGCCTGGACGGGGCAAGCCGAAGCCTGACGCAGCCGCCAAGCTGGCTGGCGCCGTCTCGCCGCGCCTGGCCGACTTTCTCGCCACGGACCCGCTCGACGACGAGTGGCAGGACGTGCGCGGCATGCTGCTCGACCCCAGTTGCAGCGGCAGCGGCATCGTTGGGCGCATGGAGGTCGCAGACGGTGAGTTGAGTGCCGTCGTTGTCCGCTCGCGACTGACCCTCTCTATCAGCCGAGCAAGAAGAGGAGACATCCTCGGAGGAGACGCAGGCCACGCGTCTGGCCAGCCTTGCCGCCTTCCAGCTCTCCATGATCGACCACGCGCTGCAGTGTGAGGCGCAGCTGATGTCCGGCTTGAGTGCTTCGCTGACGCCGTGCAGTCCCTAACCTGCGTCGGCTGGTCTACTCGACGTGCTCCATCCATGCCGAGGAGAACGAGCGCGTGGCGATTGCGGCGCTGGCGCTGCCTCGTGCCGGAGGCTGGCGGCTTGCGCCTCGCAGCGAGGTCGTACCGACATGGCCGGGACGCGGCCGTCCGGAGGAGTGCGGTGGCAACACGGGTACGTGCAGCAGCACCATACGCTGACTGCCACGGGCTGACGACGCTGCACAGCCTACGCCGAAGGCATGATCCGCTGCGACCCCGGCGGCTCGGTCGACGTGGCGCCGGGCGAGGTGCACGTTGGCGCGACGAACGGCTTCTTCGTCGCCTGCTTTGTGCGCGGCGAGGCGGACGACGCAGCGAGCGACGCCGAGCCTGCCGTAGCCGAGGCGGCACTCACGGGCAAGCGCAAGCGCAACAAGGAGAAGAAGCTCAAGCAGAAGAAGCGCAAGCGAGAGGCGGAGGCCGCGAAAGACGAGCCGCCGCCAACGGAGGCCAAGCCGAAGCGCCGCGCTCCTGCGTGAAGCATTAGCCGTACCTTGATGAGCGACGCTCCGCCCACCGTTCCGTCGTCAAGGACTCTATCGCCCATCTCGAGCGGCCTTTGACAGCTCGAGCGTCATTGCCGCACGCCGTCGAGCACATACGGCACGTGAGATGGCGTCAGGCGGGCGGGGACCTGCTGCTCGGTCCCTCGCCCGTCTCTCTCGCCCTCACCCGTCTCTCTTCGAAGTATCGCGCACAAGGGCTCTCGCCGGTGCCGCACGCAATGCCAAGCCTGCATCGTGCACCGCGGATCAGCAGCGTGACGCTGCTGCTGGACAGCTGCGCGGCCTTGGCTGGGCGGCATGCAGGGCCCACACCTCCTGCGCCGCATAGCGCGACGTCAGCGAGCCTTCGCTGCTTCGTTGCGCTCCTGCCCCGTCATGCATCGCTGCCATCGGCGCCGTGCGCGTGCGATAGAGGCGTTGCACCGCACTGGGCCGCAGACACACGACGGCGACGACGTGCGGCCGCCCGCGAAGGTACCCCTTATGCCTCGGAGCGGCGGCCCACGGCGCACGACAGCAAGGCGGCGATGCCAGGCACCGTGGGCCTTGGCGTGCAGCGCGGCTTGGCATTGCCGTCACTCGTCGTCGCCGCGTCGGCAGCGCACGGCTCACACGGATCTCACTGCATCGCAGCAGCACTCCAGTCGGGCTTCAGCACGAGCAGCGCAGCGCGCAGAGCGCAGCATGTGTCCGCATTCACGGCAAACAGCAGTGTCGCTCTGCAGCAGCTGTCGCGCTGACGCCGCTCGAGAGGCCACGCTGCGGCTGCGGATGCTCTTCTTTCCGTGCCGCCCGCCCCATTTAGCGACGGGCAATCAGATGCGGCGCGCTTGGGCGGCGGCGGCGGGCCGGCGCCGGCGATGCCGTCGGCCAGCGCAGCGCATCGCAGAACGACGGCGGCGGCGGAGCCTGGCAGCCAAGGCTTCCGCTCGCGCAGTGCCGCGGCGGCGCAAGCCACGAACACGCCGCCGACGTGCCATGCGCCCGCCGCGGCGCTCGGCGGCTCTTGCGTGTGCGGGCGGCGGGGAAGGGCTGTGCTGCGGTGCCGCACCACGCCCGCTTCCGCATGCCGCCTGCACGCACACGGGCATGTGCCGCGGGCGGCTATCGTGCCTGCTGCGGAGATGGCGCAGCGGGGCCGGCGGCTGGCACGGGAAGCATGCGGGTACCTGAGTGCAAAGGCTTGGCCGCCCGCGGCCGCCGCCTGCGCTGTGCTCCTGTGCCGCCCGGGTGCGGCGGGCGTGCCGCAACGTGCGCTCGCAGGGCGGCCGCGCCGCCTCCCGCCCGCCGGAGAGCGCACTGAGCTGCCAAGAAACCGGCGGCAGGCCTTGGCACCGCTGCATGCACTGCGCCAGTCGTCTCGCGCTCGCGCGCCCAGCACGCGCGGGCACAGAGGCACAGGCCTGCAGTAGTGCGCACCCCGCGCAGCGGAGTGCACCGCGCGCGCACGCCGCCGCAGATGCTTCGTACGCCGCAGCGAGTAGGAAAGCCGAGAGCTGGAGTTGTTGCGGTGCTGCCGGAGTCATTTTCAGGCGCAGCGAGTGCGAGCGGGAGAGGGCGTCCGCTGGGCGGCTGCGGCGGCGGAGCGCAGGCACGCGACGTGGGCGCGGAGCACGGGGCGCGGCGCCGGCGGGCGCAGGGGCGGGCAGGAGAGCACTCAGACTCTGACTGTGCACGCGGAAGTGAGACTGCCAAGACCGAGGCGCGCCAGGCACATGGGCAGTGTGCGGCTCCGGCGCAGCGCCAAGACCGCCTGGCGTCGCTGCGTGCATGGCGTGCGGGCGGCGGGCGGGCGGCAGAAGCGCCCGCAGCGAGCGATACCGCCCGGCCGTGCCGCCCTCGCCGCCCCCCGAGCCGCCGCCGCCTCTGCCTGTGACGGGCCCGCCAGAGACGGCCGCACCGCAGCGCGCGCCTCATTCAGCCGCTGCTGCGCCCACACACTCCTCCCAACCACCACCATCCCTGCTCCACCATGCTGCCCTCGTCCTCCTCCAGCTACTGGTCCGCGCCGCAGCCGCACACGCACGCCTGGCCCGCCGCACCCGCGCCGCACTGGGACGCCCACCACCGCCCCGCGGCGTCGACGTCGGCGCTCTACAGCCACCACCACCAGGCACCGCCGCCGCAGCCGCAGCGCCCGCAGATGCACGCCCAGGCCTCGTCGTCGACCGCCACGCCGCCGCCCGTGTACGCAGCCACGGGCCGCAAGCGCAAGCGCCTGCAGCGCGCCTGCGTCAGCTGCCACAAGGCCAAGCGCCGCTGCGACGGCGGCCTGCCGTGCGGCAACTGCGAGTTCGGGTGCGTTGCCGTGTCCAGTGGTGGCCAAGCACTGCGGCTGACCTCCTCCACAGCGGCCGCCTGTGCATGTACACCGACGCCGCCGGCCAGCCCGTCGCACCGACGCAGCCGCGCGACGCCGCCTCCGACACGCGCCAGGCGTCGGGCAGCACGCCGCTCGCCGTGCACCACACGCCGCTGCCGCCGTCGCCGCCCGCCATGGCCAGCTCCTACTCGCAGGCCGCCGAGCCCGCACACGCACACGCACACCAGCACAGCCGCTCCTTCTCGTCGGCCTCAGCGTGGGACGCACCGGCTCCGGGCGCATCCCCGCGCTCGCCCGTCGCCTCGTCGGCACGCTCGTCGTATGAGGCCAAGGTGGCGCACGCCGCGCTGCCGCCGCCCGACACGCGCCGCGAGCTGCTCGGCATCTTCTTCGCCCAGCTCACGCCCTTCAGCGCCGCACTCGACGAGGTCAGCTTCCTGCGCGACCTCTCCAGCGACGACGTGTCGCCCGTGCTGCTGCTCGCCATCTCGGCGCTCAGTGCGCGCTTCACCGGCCCGTCGAGCGCCCAGCCGTGGGCCAACGGCGAGTCGTACGCGCGCGCCGCGCGTCGCCTGCTCCACGACGAGGACATGGACGGCAACTGCGCGCTCGACGCCGAGCGACCCGACCTCGACACGTGCATGGCCACCTGCTTCCTCGCCGCCCACGAGCTCGGCATGGGCCGCCTGGCACGCGCCAGCATCTACATGGGCCTCTGCGCCCGCCTCGTGCGCGCCATGGGCCTGCTGCACGGCCACCTGCCGTCGCGCGGCCGCCGTGATGATGCCTCGGCTGCCCGTCGGGGCACCACGACGCGCTTCGCCGTCCTTGCCCTTTCGTTCGACGTCCTCATCGCCCTGCTCGCCGGCCAGCCGCCGGCGTTCGCACCGAGCGAGCTCGCCGAGGCGCAGTCGACCTTCGACGGCACGGCCGCCACCGACGAGACGGCGGCCTTCCTGCGCCTGCTCGGCGCCATGTCGCTCCTGGCGCGTGCGCTCGACGGCAAGCGCCGCGGCAGCAGCGCCTCGGGCGACGCCGACGTCGAGGCCTCGTTGAACCGCTGGGCCTCGGGCCTGCCACGCTCTGCCCACTTTGACGCCACGAACCTCTCGGCCTGCTCGCGCGCCCTCGCCGCGTCGGACAACGACGGCAACCCGTCGGCGAGCGCCGCGTGGTGCTGGATGCTGATGCACGCCGCCGCCGAGTGCACGACCTTCCTGCTCTTCGCCCACAAGCGCGCCGCGGCCGTGCAGAACGTTGAGATCCTCCTCGACGGCATGGGCACGCTCGGCCTGCGCTCGCCCTTTGCGCTGCTGCCGCTCACCGTCGCGTCGCTGTCGTCGGGCAGCGCGTCGCTCGCGCGCCACTGGGAGACGACGAGCTCGGCGTGGTCCGTCGGCCGCAGCGCTGCCACGGCCTCGCTCTCGGCGCTCCTCTCGACGTCGGGCTCGCCGCGCACCTCGCCGCCGTCGTCGACGCTGCTGCTGCCGGCGCCGTCCATGTCGGGCGGCCGCTCGCCGTCGCTGCTGCCGCCGTCGCCGCGCAGCAGCGACACGACGCCGAACCTGCTGAAGCGCGCCGCCGCCGCCGAGCTGGCGCCGCCCAAGCCGCGCCACCACGCGTCGGCGTCGGGCGCCTTTCTGCCGTCGCTGAACCGCCTGCCGGCGCTGCGCCTCTCGCCGCCGCTCTCGCTCGGCAGCAGCAGCGGCGGCAGCGGCGCCGAGACGCGGCCCAGCCCGCCGGGCTACGACCTCGCCGCCGCCATGGCGCCGTCGACGGCGGCGCCCCCGGCCGCGGCGCTGCCCTTCTCCACGTTCCCGCGCTCGCCCACGTCGTCGGCCGCCGACGACCTGCACAGCGTGTGGGGCCCGATGCGCGACGCCCGCACGCGCACCCTCGCGTAAGGGACCGCCTGCTGCTCCGACGCTGTTGTACCCTGTATCCTGCCTCCTGCTCCTGCTGTACTGTACCTCGGCCATGTCTTCAAGTGATGCTCCGCACCGTGCCTCTGTGTGAAGCGTGTGTGATGCGTGTGTGGTTGGGTGCGTGGATGTGGTGGGAAGAGAGCTGCGCGAGCGTGCAGCGACCGCCGCGCCGCCGTCCCGTTGCGCCGCTGCGCATGAAGAAGGCGCGCGCCGCCGTGCCGCAGCCTGCCTCCTCTCCTCCACATCTCCATGCCCGCCTCTCGCTCGCGCCTCTCGCGCTCCGCTGGCGGCCGCGGCAGCGCACGCGGCGACGCGGCTGCCAGCGTCGTCGCCGCCCCGCAGACGCGCGCCGAGGCCCTCGACGCCGGCATCGAGACCGAGGAGCGCGCCGAGCGCTTCGCCGTCGGGCCCAAGGCGCAGCGGTAAGCAGAAACGCCCGCTCCACGCGCTCTCTCGCAGCAGCTCACCCACTCGCAGCCTCTACGAGGAGGCGTATGCGCTCTACTCGCGCGCCGCTGCGCTCGACGCCTCGTCGGCCGTGGCGCACTACAACGCGGCGCGCGTGCTCTACGTGCTCGCCGCCTCGTTCTACCTGCCGCCGCAGTCGCTGCAGCAGATGCAGGCCGCGCTGGCGCTCTACGCCCGCGCCCTCGCCCTCGCGCCGCCGCTGCCCGACGCCTTTGCGCTCGACGTGCGCTACAACGGCGCCGTCGCCAGCCAGAGCCTGGCCGAGCTCGTCGAGGAGGCGGCGCGCGTGCCCGACGAGGCGCATGTGCTGGCGCTGCTGGGTGATGCTGTGCGCGGCTTCGAGGACGTCGCCGCTGCGCAGGTGGAGCGGCTGCGGGAGAGCGCAGAGATGCTGCGGCAAAGTCGCGAGGAGGACGCAGAAGGTGTCGGTGCAGCAGCGCCGCCGGCCACGGCAGCAGACGAGAGCATGGAGGAGGACGAGGGCGCCGAGCAAGAGGCATGGACCGAGTCGCCCGTGACGCCCGCAAGCACCCTCGAGACGTTCCTGGCGCTGCACGCCTGCGGCCTCTCGATGCTCTCGCGCGCCACGGCCACCGGGAGCGCACAGACGCCGAGCCTCGACGCAGCGCTGCTCGTGATCAACAGCGCCCTGAGCCGCGCCGACGAGCTCGTGGCGACGTGCGAGAACGCGGCCGAGCTGTCCGACGAGGGCGAGTGGCTCGTGGCGCTCGGCGACCTGGCGCAGGCCAAGCGCACCGGTGCGGCAGCCGAGGCGTCGCGGCGTGCTGAGCTGGCCGCCGCAGCTGCCCAGAGCTGGCCCTCAGAGGCGGAGGAGCCGGCGCTGCGAGCGCTCGAGACGCAAGTGCTCGACGCCGCCACCCAGCTCCTCACCACCGAGGAGCGCGCCGAGACGCGCATTCAGAGGCTGTGTGACATCGGCGACCTGGCCGTGCAGCTTGCCGTCATTCGCGCGCAGCACACGTCGAGCGCCCGCGCCTGGGAGCTGGCGTCTGCGGCGACCAAGGCCTATCTCGAGGCCGTCGCGGCGCTGCAGCGCTCCGGCTCGCTCGGCGCCAGCGACGCAAGCACGCCGACGGGCCGCGCGCGCTGCAGTCTGCGCGCCTCGCTCTGCGCCGCCAGTCTGCTGCGCAGCGCCGGCGCCGCACCGGCATCGCTGACGGACGCCCAGCGCCTCACGCTGCGCGACAATGCCCGCGTGTACGCCCGGCAGGCGCTCGTCGACGCCGGCCTCAAGGGCGCCACGCAGCTCGACGTCAAGAGTGCCCGCAGCGCGGCCGCGACGCACACGCCGCTCGGCGGCTGGGAGGGCATGCGCTGCACGGCCGATGCGCTGCTGGCCGCCGTGCGGGCGCTGTGGGCGCGCGCACTGCTGGCGCCGGCGACGCCGCAGCCGCCCGAGGAGATGCTGGCGCTGCTGGCGACGGCATGGGCACTGCTGCGCGGCACGCATGGCGAGGCGTGGCGGGCGGCATTCGCACTCGACGACGCCGGGCCTCGCCGCATCACCGACGAGGGCTGGGCTGTGCACGCCGACGAGGGCGCCTTCTGGGCACGCTGGACGTCCGCGGTGACGCGCGCGACGTGGGACGAGGCCGTCGCCGCTGCAATGTGATGCTGGGCTGCGAGACCAAGGGTGTGCTGCTAGTGAGGCTGACGTGCTGTGCCCGAGTCTGTGCGGCCTGCTGCGCGCAAGGCATCTGCTCTTGCTGAAGGGTGTGGCTGCGACAGCGAGCCGCCCGCCAAGAAGAAGCGCAGCTGCCTGCTGTTCCCACGCGTTTCGGCCGCGACGCGCTCCAGCGACGCGCGCGCTGCTCTCTACACGCTCTTCCTCTCACCTCCACTCCCCTCCGCCACCCATGCCGCAATGAGCAGCAGCAGCAGCCTGCCCGGCGCACCGCACAGCGGCGGGCCCGCCAGCGCCGTCGCCTCATCTTCACGCCTCACGCTCGACCTCGCCTGCCCCATCCCGTGGCCCGATGCCGGCGAGTCGCCGCTGCCCAACGCCGGCGCGCCGCAAGTGGCGATCCTGCTGCGCTACTGCGAGACGCTCTGGCTCGGCGAGGTGCACTCGACGCTCGCGACGCTCGTGCACGCCGCCCATGCGCTGCTGCGCCATGCGCCCGCCGCCGACGTGCGCGCGGCGCTGCTCGGCCTGCTGCGCACGCCCACGCCCCGCAGCGGCGGCCTCGAGGAGCGCGTGCGCGGCGTCTCGCACGCCCAGCTCGTGGCGCTGCTGCTGCACGGCGAGGTGCCGCCGGAGTGGAGCGAGGCCGAGGTTGGTGTCGTGCGTGCGGCGCTGCGCTCGGGGCCCGGCAGCGCCGTGGCGGCCGAGGTGCGCGAGCAGCTGCGCGTGCGCCAGGAGCGCCAGACAGCCGCGGCGGCCGAGGAGGCGCAGGCCGCACAGGAGGAGCCGGAGGAGGAGACGCACGGAAAGCTGGCCCGACGCTGGCTCTCGGCGATTGGCGTGCGCGAGTGAGTGTGGCCGCAATCGGCGCTCGGCGCGTCCTGCGGCAGGTGCCCCTCGTTGTGTGCTGAAGCGCTCTCGCAGGCTGCAACTGCAAGCCTTGACGCTGCTTCTGCTACTGCAGCTGCACGCCGAGTATCCGCTGCCATGCACACCCGGCGGCGGTGCGGCGTCCACGCCCAACACAGACGATCCGGCGCTTGAGCATGCCACGCCGTCCAAGACGACGTCTGACGTCCGCCCGCTCATCGATGGCTCGAGCGAGGACGCGCCGGGCGATGTGCCGGCCAAGAAGCGGCGGCGCAAGGAGCCGGCACGCCGCTGGACGGGCCAGATGGGTGCCTCGGGCTTCCCATGGGCTCGGCCAACGGGCGAGTCGTCGTCGCCGCGCCTCGAGGAGGGTGCGCTGGAGCGCGGCACGAGCCCGGTCAGCCTGACGCGGCGCTTCGAGGCCATCATCGACCGGCTCGCGCTGCTTGGCGTCACTGCATCGCTCTCCTTCGACGTCGCGCCCGTTGAGGTGGCGCGCTCGAGCTCGACAAGGCCCGTGGCGCCAGTGCACTTTGGCACGGCGGCGCGAGAGAAGCTAGCCGGCGACGAGCGCGACGAGCTGCAGTGGCTGTGCGCCGATGTCGTCGAGCCGCTGTTCGGACGTCTGCTGCCGCGGCAGGTCGCTGCGCTGCGCGCTCGCGCCTTTACGCCTGGCCTGCCGGGCGCCACGCCGGCGCGGCCCGGCCGTGCCCGCGAGCGCAGCGCCGCCGAGGGGGCCAGCGAGCTCGACCTCGTTCGTCTGGGTGCTGCGCAGGCCAAGCGACTGCGAGCAGAAGAGGCACGCGAGAAGGCCAAGCGACCCAAGCTCGAGGAGGCGCTGCGCAGCGAGAGCCAGGAGTCGGCGCGCGGCCGCAGCGTGGCGCGAGGCGAGCGCTTCGCGACGCGTGAAGTCTCGATGGGGCCCGGCCGCGGCTGGGAGCGCTCGACCAGCATGGGCGTCGTCGATACCGCATCACCCGCGCCAGAAGAGCCGCGCCGACTGGGTCCGACACTGCAAGCACCGGCACGCATCGACAAGCGCAAGAGCTCGGCGCAGCGACTAGACCGCGCCGCCTCGCAGGTGCTGGTGGCCCATGCGAGCAGCAAGCCGCCGGCGCCCACGCTGCCGGCGCGCTCGGCGGCCATCACAGGCTGGCGGCGCGCTGAGAGCCAGCCGGCGTGGCCGCCCTCGAGGCCAGCACTGAGCAAACCGGCGTCGGCGCCCTTGTTCGCCGAGACACAGCCGCTGTCCACGTCGAAGGACGCGCTGGCATGGAGCGATGATGAAGAAGAGGAGGAGATGCTGCCCATTCGGCGGCCCGATTCGCAGCTCGCAAAGCCCGTCTTGGCGCGCACGCCCTTTGCGCGCTCCGAGTCGCAGCCGGCGCACCTGCTCGCCGCATCGCAGCGGCGCGACGACGATGGGAACGACGACGAGATGCTGGTGCTGCGCAAGCGGCCCAAGCCGCGCTTCTCGTGGACGGCCGGCGCCGACGCTGGTGACAGCGACGCGCGGCCCTTGTCTGCGCTCGTCGCCAATGCTGCAATGCGCCCCGACGAGCGCTCCGATGCATCCCGCAGCGCCTCGCCGCTGCCGCTGCGCGTCGCGAGCACAAGCGACACGGCGCTGTCGCAGCCCAAAGCCCTGCTGCCCCCACGCGCGGGCATGGCCGGCCGCACGGCGTCGGGTCGCAACCCCTTTGCGGCGCGGCGCGCAGAGTGAGGTGCCAAGGAGCACTCTGTATCGCAATAGACATGCAACAGAGTAATTTACAAGTGCGCTTGTGCCCGTGTGTGCGGTCTGGAGGCGATGACAAGAAGAAGCGCAGCCGGCAGCGGCATCTGACGCGCAGCGCGAAGTGTTGGTTGGTGGAGGCGCAGCGGCGACGCGCCGCACCCACGCTAAAGCAAGAGTCATCTTTGCGGCTCTTTTTCCGAGCGGGCGTGCAGCAATTGAGCATCGTCGTCTCGGAGCAGCTGTAGGGTGGCGAACAAGGTTCAGCCTCAGCCTCAGGCGGCGCTGCGGGCAGGTGCAGCGCCAGTGCGGCGCCAGGGCGCGAGAACAACACCTGCCAGCTGTGCTGCACTGCCCCATCCCCGCATCACCGTGACTTGCGCCGACGCTAGCGCCCCGCCGCTCGTCTATAAGAGGCGCATCGCCGCTGCGCAGCTTCCTTCTTCTCCTCCATCCCATCTCGTCCTCTTCACCTTCTCTCCTCACGAACGCTCCACATCCGTCGAGGGCAGCACGCCGACGCCGGCCTGTCACGGGCCTCGTGCTCGCCTGCTGCCCCTTCCGTCCGCCCTCTTCCTCACTCTGCTTCGCATCATGCTCGGCATGCTGCCGCCGCTGCGGGCCTCGCTGCTGCGCGTGCTCACTGGCGCGCAGCCGCAGCCCGCCAACGGTGATCTCGAGCAGGCCATCCGTGCGTCTCGCGCCTCCTCGCTGCCTTCCGCCCGCTCACACTCCGCACAGCGCTCGAGCCGCTCGCCGACGGACGCAGCTCGCCCACGTCGTCGGACGACAAGGCGCCGCCGCCCGTGCCCGCTCCCTGCCTTCAGAGCGTGGCCGACATTCTGCGCACGGCACGCACGCTCGACGGCTCGCTCGACCAGGCCAAGGCGTGCACGCTGCTCCTCGCCGCGGCCGCCATGACGATGACATTCGTCGGCGTGCTGCTGGGCAGCACCGTGTGGCAGCTGGTGGACCGCATCCGCAAGCCGGTGGTGGTGAGCAAAGCACAAGAAGGTCGACGTGCTGCGGCTGACAGGCCCTGCAGAAGGCGTGAGCGCCGCATCAAAAAGGAGCGTGCGGGACGGATGCGCACAGAGCCGCTTCGTCTTTCTCCTTTCTCAAGCTCGGACCCCGGCCCCGGAGATCCCATCTTGTCCTTTTTCCTCTCTCCTAACGACCCTCCCTTGTCTCGCCGCGTAACGACCTCTCAATCTTCATTTCTCTTGTACATATTGCCTCTACTTGTGCCGCATGCCCTCGAGCTCGCCGCTCTTGCGCCACTCCTCGACGCAGTGGCGCGTCGCCTCCTGCATGGCCGCCTCGTCGAGCGCGATCTTGGGCTCCCAGCGCAGCTCCTGCTTGGCGCGGTTCGACTGGCAGCGCGTGTTGGTGCGGCAGGGCCAGATGGGCGTGCTGCGCTCCGTCTCGGCCTCGGCCTCGCCGCGCGCTGCGTCCTCGACACGCACGCCCTTCTGCGACGGGTCCCACTTGGGGCACGGCACGCTGCGTGCCTCGGGCGAGGCGACGAGCTGCTCGGCGTGCAGCGCGGCGCCGATGGCCACGGCGAGGTCCTTGAAGCTGTGCAGCGTCGGGTGCGAGGCAAAGTAGAACGTCTCGAAGAGCTGCGGCGGCTTGCTGGGCGCCGCGAGCGCCTTCTCGGTGAGCTGCACGATGACCTGCGTGCACTCGTCGACGTGCACGTTGACCCAGACGTTGCTGCCCTCACCCGCATACACGCCGGCGCCGTTGTAGAGCGCCTTGCGCACCATGTCGGGCAGCTGCACGCTCGTGCGGCTCACCGGCCCGCGGCCCTGGCCCCAGACGAGGGCGGGACAGACGATGGCGCCGTGCAGCTTGCCGGCAGAGAAGGCGCGCGCGATCCTGAAGCGGTGGTCAGCGCTGCTGCAGCGGAGGGCCACGCGTGGCCACGCACTCGAGGTCGATCTCGCGGTGTGCGGCACTGTCCGGGATGCCCTGGATGTCGGCCAGGCTGGCGTCGTCAAAGTCCTTGGTCGGCACGTCCTTGCCCACGGGCTCCGACTCGATGACCTGCACGCTGCAGGCGAAGAGAGGTCAGCTGCCATCAGTGCGGCGTATCCGCACACCACGCACCCGCTGAGGTGCACCAGCCCGCCGAGGCGGCCCTGCTGCCGTGCCGCCTGCAGGCCCGCGTTGACGGCCTGTGTGAGGCGCAGGTCGTCGGACGTGGCCGCCTGCACGACGACGTCTGCCGCGCCGGCGTGCTGCTCCACGGCGGCATACCAGTCGTCGCCGCGGCCGTCGGCGACGAGCACGTCGAGCGGGTGCGCCTGCTGCTCAGCCCACGCGCGGATCGTGTCGGCCTTGGCGGCGCTCGAGGTGAGCGTGGCGATGGCGCTGCCGTGCGGCGGCGACGCGAGCAGCGCGGCGAGCACGCTGCCGCCGATGTAGCCGGTGCCGCCGAGGACGAGGATGCGAGGAGCGGCCATGGTGTGGGTGCGGGTGGGTGGGCAGCCAGTAGAAGAGGCAGCAGGCGCGGCTGTCTTATGCCGAGCGCGGCCATGTGGAGGGCGGCGCCGCGTGGCGCACGAAGGACGCCGAACGCCGCCGCGCCTGTCGGCCGTCATGCTGCCGCCGTATCTCCGTCCGATCGGGCAGCGCCGCTGACAGCGCCCGTGACGGCGCATGCGAGAGCGAGGCTGCTCGTTGACGATGGCATGAACACGGCACAGGACAGAGCTCACAACGCAGCGCTGCAGTCTGACGCGGCGCAGCGGCGCTGGCCTCTCAACCGGCGAGTCGCGCTGCGGCATGCCGGGCGCCGTCTGCGCCGCGGGAGTCGTGCCTCGAGCTGAGCGTCACTCGTACTGCTTGTTCTCTGCACTTCAGCACACGCAGGCTGCCCGAGCCTGGTGCTTCTGCGCGAGAGCACGGCCGACTGGCACGCTGCTGCGGCGAGGCACGCCGGGCGCCGGCATCGGGCGTGACAGGGCAACAGGCTGCCGCCGCCGCTTGCTGTTCTGCGCTCTCACGGCGCGGCCCTTTGCGCGCGGCGCGTTAGGCTCGCGCTGCGCCGTGCGGAGAAGCAGCGCAGGCGGAGCTTGCTCTTTGGCTTGACGTGCGCCGCCTCCGCCTTGTGCGTGCGTGTCCTTCCTCTCCTGCATCTGCACTCCCGACTCCCATCCACCCGCCTCGCCTCGCTCTTCGGTATTCGCCATCCGCAGCACAGCACACCTCCTCTTCTCTCTGCCGCGCTCGGCATCCAGATCTGCACCCTGTGCTGCACCCAAAAGCAGACATCCGCGGCTATTCGCGCGCTCGAGTCTCGCGGACACGCCCCTGCGCCTCCTCCAGCGGAGGCACGCGCGCACGCACGCAGCGCCGACGAGATCACGCACGGCACCATCGCCCGCATCTAGTCACAGGGGCAGAGTGCATCTCCAGCATCAGGCCTTCCTCGTCGCTGGCCGCCTCTTGCCGCGTGCCTTGCGCGGCCTTCCAGGAGCGAGCCGCACTCCGTTGGCCGCATACACCGAGTGCAGGCCGCCGGCTGTACCGCGTCTTGGCGTCTAGAAGCAGCGAGAGAGTGCTGTGCCTGCGTCACGCAATCAGTGTCGCTCGCTAAGCCGAAAAAAGAGTTTGCGACCCGCCGGCAGGAGAGCGGCTGTTTGGGCACAGGGGGAGCCTGCGCTGCTGGCCAGTGTTCAAGGTGCGTCGCGAGCGCGGCTTCGCTCTCATCCACCAGCTCAGGTCGCATCCTGACTCTCCGCCCCACCGCTCGCCCACCATAGCCGTCACCACTCCGCGCCGCGTGCGGCGGCCCGCCACGAGCGGCGAGGCGCGCGTGCGCCCGCCCAGCCGCCGCTCGTCGCTCGAGCAGAGCAACGGCGCCTTCGTCGCGCGGCCACTCTCGCTCTGTGCCTCGCGCGTCGTGCCCACGGCCGAGCAGATCGAGCGGCTGCGACAGGCGCAGTATCCGCCCTCGTCTCGCAAGCGCGCCATTGCTGGCCTGACCAAGGCGCTCTCGATCCACTCGAACGCGTCCAACGAGTCGTTGCGCTCTGTTACGACGGGCAAGACTCGCAGAAGCCGCAGCTCCACCATGCCGTCGTACGCGTCGACGGCGCAGCTGCGCCCGACGCCCTCGGCGGCGGACCCGCTGGCCAGCGCCCTGGGTCCGCCGCCGGACGAGACGCCGGGCGAGCGTGCCGAACGTACGCGCGCGGAACAGGCGGCAAAGAAGCGCAGCGAGGAGATCGACAAGACGCTCAAGGAGGACGCGAGCCGCAAACGCAGAGAGACGGCGGGCGAGCAGAAGATGCTGCTGCTCGGTGAGTGGCCGAGCGACGCTGCTTGGGCGGCCCGTGTGAGCAGAGCTGACGAGCTGACAATTCGCCAGGCCAAGCGTCAAGCGGCAAGACCACGGTGCTGAAGCAGGTGCGTGGTATGGTATGGCTTCGAACGCAGCGATGCTCATGCCCTCTTGCTCGCAGATGCGCCTGCTGTACGACCCCGTGACGCACCGGCGCGAGCGCCGCAGCTGGCGTCTCGTCGTGTACCTCAACGTCATCGTCGCCGTCAGCGTGCTAATAGAGGTGTACGAGGAGCTGGCCAATGCGCCGCGCCCGCTCACTTCCTCGTCGGAGAGCAACCACAACCTTATGGGCGGCACGGCGAGCATCCGCAGCGGCGAAAAGGGCGCTGGCGGCCGAAGCCGCAGTCCGGACGCAGGCAGCATCATCAGCGGCGCCACGAGCGCGACTAGCCGCGCAGCCGATGCGGCCCTCGTGCGTGCCCGCCTGGCGCCGCTGCTCGAGCTACAGGAGAAGCTGCGTCAACAGCTGGGCGTGCTCGACGACAAGGCGCCCATTGGCGACAGCCGTACTGTTCCGCCTGCTCGCGAGGCGCCTGCAAAGCGCAAGGGCCAATCGACGCCCGTGCTCATGCGCGCAGGCTGGCAGGACCGACTGCTAGGCCGCGCCGCACGCCCTTCTACGTCCGGCGACGGCGCCTCGATCGCCACGTCGCGCTCTGCTGGCTCGCGCCTGCGTCGCCTCACCGTGTCGTCGAAGCGCCGCAGCACTGGCCACTCGGCGCCGCCCCCTGCTGCTGCGGCCGAGCCGGGCGAGGAGCCGTCAGGTGCCTCGTCGGACATGGTGGAGCGCGATGCGCGCGAGGAAGAGGTGGCGCAGATGCTGGCCGCGCAAGTCGAGACCATCGAGACCGTCTGGCGCGAGCGTCGCCTGCGCCGCAGCTCCAAGATCGAGCAACGCGCTGATGGCTGCTCATAGTGAGCCTGCCCCACAACCGCTGCTCGCATTTCCCGCGCTCATGTCCCTCACAGCTTCCTGGACAACATCGCGCGCATCGCTGCGTCGGCATACCTGCCCTCCGACGACGACATTCTGCACTCGCGCGTGCGCACCGTCGGAATTACGGAACAGCGATTCGTCGTCGACCGCAGCACGACGTACAAGATCTACGACTTAGGAGGTAGCCGGTCGCAACGCAAGGTCTGGGCGAGCTACTTTGACGATGCACGCGCCATCATCTTCCTCGCGAACATCGCCGCATTCGATCAGGTGCGCTGGCCGATCACCTGCCACAGGCCACTGTTGACCTCTCTTGCCCGCTCACAGACGCTCGATGAAGACATGCGCGTGAATCGCGTTGATGATAGTCTTGCAATCTGGTCGGACGTCGTGAGCTCGCCACTGCTGGCGAGCGTCTCGCTGGTGCTCTTCCTCAACAAGATGGACCTGCTGGAGCGCAAGCTGGCCGCCGGCGTGCGCGTGGGCAAGTATTTTGGAGACTACAAGAGCACCTCCAAGACTACCACAGACGATTTCGAGCAGGTATGGAGATACTTCCGCAGCGTAAGCATCGATGCTCGCCCCCCGAGACTCACAGAGGCACTGACATGCAACTCCGTTCCAAGCGCTTCCTGGCGGTGCTCGAGGCTTATCGTGCCATTGCTCCCTCGCGGCCCTGCTACGTGCGTCACATCTGCTGCCTGCTGCTGTGCCGCACTTGCTCACGCCTGCTCTCGACAGGTGCACACCACCACCGGTACATCTCAGCCTCGTGAGCCACTTGACACCCTTGCTGACTGGAGTGAATGCAGCCACATCAACCAGGCAGATCAGCGCCATCCTCGTCTCAGTGAGTGACGCCGGGAGGCCTGCCTGAAACGGCAGCACTGACTCCTCGCCGCCGTAGGTGCAGGATGCCATCCTGCGCGAGAACCTCCAGGCCACGGGCGTGAGTTGCGTCGCCATCGGGTTCTCGAGGCGCACTGCTGACTCCTGCTCCCAGATGACTCTGTAGCGCCCAGTTCTCCGCCCATCACACTCGACTCAAGCCGTCACGCACTACGTTACCCTCTTTCTCTCCACCGATCCACGCGCACACCTAATAGTCCAGCGTCACGTCAATGTCAAAACGCTATCTGATGATCATGAAGTCTCGTGTGTGCGGTCGTTGAACCACGCATCGTCACCCAGCCAGCTGCACGGGTGCCTTTCCCTTCCACTCTCTCTTCTCGCGCCTTCCCGCCTCACAATTGCGCGCCACTCTGGCTACTCCTCATCGTCACTGTCCGGCAGCGTGAGCACGAGGTCCGTAGGCGCCGGACCGCGCTTCTTGCCCAGCTTGGCCTCCGCCGTCTCGACCTGCCGTTTGAGCCGGCGCGAGCGCTCCGCCAGCACGCCGCGCTCGATGGTGGCGCGGTTGAGCTCGCTGGCCGTCGTCTTGGCATCCTCGGTCTTCCAGGCCTCGAAGTCAAGCTCGCGCCGCTGCATCTTGGCCTCGGTGTTCTTGATGGTCTTTCGGTGCTTCTCCATCTCGTCATTGAAGCGGTGCTGCTCATCGGCGAGACGCTCTTCGGCCTGTACGGGGATCGCCTCGCTGCGGTGCCACGACGCAGTCAGCACAGGCCTGAACTGCGCAGCCTCTGCTTCGTGCTCACATGTTCCTCTCACATTCGCTCAGCTTCTTGAGGACCTTGGCGCGCTCGCCCTGCACCAGTTCCAAGATGCCGCGTACCGCCTCGTCGTCGTCCTTGCGCTCCTCCTGGCGGCGCCGGCCAAAGCTCTCGATCTGCTGCTCGGCGTACTCGCTCTTGAACTGTAGCAGCTGCGCGAGAGGCCGATCTGCCTCCTCGTCGTCCGTGCCGTCGCCGAGCGTGACCGATGATGACTCCTGGTGCCGACGAGCCGCGGCGGGCGGCGCAGCGTCGGCGTGTTGCTCGCTATCTGGGTCCATCTTCAGGCGCTTGTTGCTGCCGTCCTCCTCGTCGTCATCGGCGCGCTCGCGCGGTACCGGTACATGCATCGGCGTCAGTTGGATCTTGACGGGAGGCTCGTTGGCGCACTGGGCCGGCTCGGCCATCTCGTGCTGGAAGCTGATGATGTATGAGGGCTTCTTCTTCCACTTGCCCGTGCCGTCGTCGTGCGCGATGCTGAACGTGCTCGTCTTCTCCGCCGCGATGAAGGCGCGGGTTCGCGAGTCAGTCGCCCACCACTCTTGCTGATCATCCTCCCACTTATGGGGCCAGTGCTGCGGCATCGGGTCGTGCTCGGACCCGTCGTGATGCTGAAGCTTGACAATATAAGGCCACTCGATGGGGTCTGCATCGTCAGGGCGCATGCTGGCGTAGAAGACGAGGCGCTCGCCCAGCGGCGCGCGGAACGAGACGTTGATCGTCACCGTGCCGTTGCCGTCGGAGCCGTCGTCGGGCGTGGAGTCGGTGCTCGTCGTCTGCGAGAAGCCCTCGAGGAAGTGCGCGAGCTCGTCGGTGCACAGCGCCACGGCGAGCTTCAGGCCTGGCAGCGTGACGGACATGTCGAGAGCGTGCTGGGAGCGAGCGGGCTGAAGCGAGAATGAGCAGGAAGCGAAGTGAGATGGAAGAGGGCCTGGAGGTGGATGTTGTCGTGTCGGAAGAGCAGATGAGGGCTCGTGAACGCCTCGTCGCCTCATCAAGCGGCGGAAGTCATCTAGGGGCGGCGGTCCGCGGCGCGTCGCCGTGCCGGTGGCGGCGGCGGTGACGGCGGCACGGCAATGATGGCGGAGCGCCGGCACGCCGGCAGTTGTCCTGTCTTTGATTGAGTCGATTGCTCTAGGCCGCCAGCGTGATAAGGCTAGAGTGTGGGTCAGCTGACCTCTCTCCGTCTGCTCGTCTGCCGCTTGCGCTGCTCATGTCCGCAAGGCCGCGCGCAGGGTCCGTGCAGAGATGGCCGCCCTTCTCCTCCGCTCTGGCCGTCCCTTCCCACGCCTCACGTCCGCCAAGGAGATGTGCAAGACTCTTGTCATTGTCACTGCTCCTTTCTAGCTAAGCGCCTTAGCCTTGGCGGCCAACGAGTCCACCACATTGCCGACATGCCGCAGCGTCTCGAGCGTGGCTGCGTACGTGGCGTCCGGCGGTGCATCGTCGTACACGATCAGGCAGCCCGCGCCTTGGTCGAGGATGCCCGCCAGGACCTTGTCGAGGATCATTTGCGAGAGCCTTGGGAGGAGGAGAGGAGGTCAACGACGAGTGCCGGCTCGAAGCTGGCAGCGGCCGCCGCAGCTGACACTGCCCCACCATCCACTCACTTTTGCTCCACCTCCCGCACAGGTTGGCGCACGAGCCCTGCCACATGCTCAATCTCGACGCGCGAGTACGGCTCGATGAGGCGCAGCAGGTTCTGCTCCAGCAGCGTGTCGTACAGCGCGGCCAGGTGCGTGCGGATGATGGGATCGTTGGACAGCTCTGTGAATGTGCTCGTCAGCATCGTGAGAGAAGGGATGGGACTGGCGCGACTCACCCTCCTTGTATGACCGCAGTGCCTCCTCGAACGCTTGCAGATCTCTCTTCTCGTGCGCCTCGGCCACCGCCTTCATGGCGCCCACATCCCGGCCGCCGTACTTGCTCGCCATCTTGCCGTCCACCAGCGCGGCAACGTCGTCGGGCAGGTTGAGCATGATCTTGCAGAGCAGCATGTACTTGAGCGCCAGGGGCGCGCGCGAGTCTTCGGCGGCGGAGAGGCCCTCGAGCGTCTCGAAGAAGTAGGAGTAGCTGCAGCAGCAAGCGTCGTCAGCGGGCATCGCTAGTAGAGGCAGCACCGAGAGGTACGCACGCCGTGGTGTAGTCCTTGTCCTCGGCGTGCAGCACGCCTGATTGCAGGTCCAGCTGCGCCTGCAGCAACGGCGGGCAGTAGATGGCATTTGCCGCTGTACGGGCCGACGTGAGAGCCGCCTGTCACACCGTCTCCGCGTTAGCATCATCTCGCTTCGGACGCCTCGACTGGCACGCACCTTGGCACGCGGCATGTTCTTGAGCGCATGCAGCACGCGCGACTCGAGCAGGTGCACCTCGGTCAGCACCATCTTGTCGTCGAGACGCTTGAGCTCCTTGAGCAGCGAGTCGATGAGCGGCAGCGCGGCGCGGTAGGCTGCTTGGTCGAAGTAGCTGCAGGGCTGGCGGTGAGCCGGAGCGCCGACGAGATGTGGGAGCTGAAGTCTGGCACAGCTTTGCGGCAGGCGCGCTCGAGCTTGACGACGCAGCTCTGCCTGACCGCACATGTCCGTCCCTCCATTCCTCCGACCTTCGCCCTCGCCACCTTCACTCACAGACCAATCAGCCGGCTCTCGAGGCTCTGGCGCAGAAAGACGCGGCGCTCCTCGCGCGCCCACTCGATGCTCTCGCGCGTAACGGCCACTTGCGTGCTGCGCGCCTCGGGCGACGCGGCGGCGAGCGGGTCGAAGTGGTCGATGAGGGAGCGGACTGGCAGCGGGCGTGTCAGCGCGGTGGAACAAGGCTGGAAGGGAGAAAGAGCACGCACTCAGCTTGGCAGTCTTTGCCTTGGGCAGCTTGCCCATGAATGTGCGGCTGTCGCGCACGAGGGCGGCGAGTGCATCTGCGTCGCTGCAGGAGGTGGCTTCAGGTCAGCACCCCGAGGGCAGCTAGCTGCGACGCTCAGTGTCCAGTCACACTCACGAGGCATCGCGATACAGGCCCGCCAGGCGCGTCAGGGCGCCCTCGTGCTCGCGCAGTGCCTCGTCGGTGTCTGCATTCGTGTGGCACGTCAGCACACGCTACAGTACTGCAGCTGTGCAGCGCCACCACGCACCGCTAGAGCCGGCGAGGATCTGGGTGCAGATCTGCACGGCCTCGTCGGCATTGCCGGCCTTGCGCGCGGCATCGGCGGCGGCCAGGGTGGCGGCGGGCGCCATGCTGCGATCGAGCTGTTGTCTGAGCGCGGAGACCTTGTGCTGCAGATGGAGTGCGAGGCAGCGAGGGATGGGTTGACGAGCTGGACAGGAGGAGGAGTGCTGGGTGGAGGGAGAGGGTTGGAGGCGAGATGCTTCGCGGCGCCTGGCTCGTGCATCGAGCACACACACGCGTCCCTTACGTAAGCGCGCCCCGGCTGGCGCATGCGCTTAGACCACCCTCGCTGCCTGCCTCCCTCCTCCACCACCATCCCTCGTTCCAGCATGTCCACCTCCACCGCAGACGCCGCCAAGGCGCCCGCCGCCACTACGGCAGCAGCGGCAGACGACGATGTGCCCCAGCCGCTGCCCAACCTGGCGCTGCAGCAGCTCCACTTTGCCATCCTCAGCCCACGCACCGAGCAGGCCGAGCGCAAGCAGAAGGCCGAGGAGCTGCTGAAGGGCATCGAGGCCGACGGTGAGTGCTGCGAGAGGCGCTGCAGGAGGTGGCGAGAAGGGCGCTGCACCGCGAGAGAGGCGCGACGCGCAGACTGCAGATGGCAGAGCACCTCGGGCCAGGCTGGCGTGGCACGGCAATGTGCCTGCTCAGCCTCAAGCTCTCTCTGTGATGCTCCTTTGTGGGGTGATATCGCACACTCTTCTTCCGCCAGCACTATGCCCCAGCACATCCTGACGCCGTCGCCGCAGAGATGGCGCCCTACCTCTCCGCCCTTCTGGCCGGCCCGGCAGGCGATGTGCTGCCCTCGCGCGCAAAGGAGCTCCTGGCGCCGCTGCAGGCCAAGAACGAGGAGGCGCTGCGGCTGATGGACGAGGCGCAGACGCGCTTGGAGGAGAATGAGGGCGAGATGGAAGTCAATGCCGTGCGGCGGCAGCGCGCCAAGTATCTGGCGCGCATCGGCGACAAGGTGAGTTGCGCCAGGCATGCAGGCTGGCTGCGAGGCTGACACGGCGACGCACAGGACCGCGCACTGGAGGCGCACACCACTGCGATCGAGAAGGCCGCAGGCCTGGGCTCTCGACTCGACCTTACATTGGCGCAGATTCGCATCGGTCTCTTCCACGGCGATGCCACTGTCACGACTGAGGGCATTGCACGCGCCAAGGAGTGAGTCTGTCGCACCTGGATGATGTGCTTTTGGCGGCTAACGCCTATGCGCCCAGGTTGGTGGAGGAAGGCGGCGACTGGGACCGGCGCAACCGCTTGAAGGTGTACGAGGGCTTGCACCTGCTCTCCATCCGGCAGTTCAAGCAGGGCGGCGAGCTCTTCCTCGACGCCCTCTCGACGTTCACCGCAACGGAGCTGATCTCGTACAACGAGTTCGTCACGCTCACCGTGCTGGCGAACATGCTGAGTCTGGAGCGGAGGGAGATCAAGAAGAAGGTGCGTGCCAGTCGCAGCCCCCCTGTCGCTCTGTGGCTAACACGCCGGCGCAGATCATCGAGTCGCCCGAGGTGCTGCAGGTCATCGACGAGATCCCACACCTGCGCACCTTCACCACATCCCTCTACGGCTGCGACTACGCCACGTTCTTCGTCGCGCTGGCCGCCGTCGAGCAGACGCACCTGCTGCCGTCGCGCGTGCTCTCGACGCACACGCGCTTCTACGTGCGCAGCATGCGCGTGCTGGCGTACCAGCAGCTGCTGGCGAGCTACTCGAGCGTGACGCTCCAGGCCATGGCGAGCGCGTTTGGCGTGAGCGAGGGCTTCATCGACGAGGAGCTGGCGCGCTTCATTGCCGCGGGTCGGATCAGTGCGGCGATTGATCGCGTGTCGGGCACGGTGAGTGCTTGCGCGCGTGCTTGCCTCTTGCCACTTCTCCTTTGCTGACGCTGCTGGCGCAGATCGAGACGCGGCGCTCGACAAGCACGACGGCGGCGTATGAACGCGTGCTCAAGGAGGGCGATGTGACGCTGAGCAGTCTGCAGAAGCTCAGCCGGACGCTCGTTGGCTAGGCGCGATGCAAAATGACACTGTCAGCTAGTGAACCATCTCGAATGCGCTGTGTGGCAGGACGTTAGGCAGACGCTGTGGCCATCTGGTGGTGTGCTGGCCTTCACGTGCGAAGCAGATGACGAACGGGCTGTGGCAGTGGATGCCAGAGAAGGAGGAGCAGCAGCTCGAGGCTGGGTCTGTCGCGGGGCGTCACGTGCGGCGCCATCCAGGAGGCGTGGGAACGTCGCCACGCACGGGCGCCGCACGACGACGGCGACGTGGCTTCAGCGCCTTCTCCTTCTCGCTGCTGGCGTTGAGTCCGCGACGCGTCTTCCCACGCCTCTCACCACCATCATCTCCCGGCCCTCTCCTCGCACGACAGCGCCGGCCCGAGCTCGCTGCGTCCATCCACCCCTGCCACTCGTCTCGCCGCTAGAGCGGCTGCACGTTGCCCAGCATGAACATCTTCCGCTTCTTCGGCGACCTGGCGCACCTGGCCAGCATCGGCATCCTGCTGCACAAGATCACCATCAGCCGCAGCTGCCGCGGTGCGTAGATGCGCCGCGCAAGGGCTCGGCAGCGTGGAGAGCGAGGCTGCGAGGAGGCAAGGCGGGGGACAGAGAGAGAGGCGCAGGGGCATGGCTGGGTCGTGCGCTGGACGCAAGCTGCATGGCTCGCACGACGCCCGCTGGCGGAAGCGTGTTGCTGCTGTACGAGCGTGCAGCAGCGGCAATCAGCGTGAGGCTTGCTATGCGCAGCTGTGTAGTCGGCACCATCAGGCTTGCAAGCCGATTTGCAGCCTCGCCGCGCCTTCTAGGCGCTGCCCAGTCTGCTGGTCCACGACGCTTTCTTGCGCTGCCATGCTTCAGGTTGTCGCCTCCTCCCTCCGCCCTCTCGCATGCTCACTCCTTCTCTACTCAGGCATCTCCTTCAAGTCGCAGCTCCTCTACACGATCGTCTTCTGCACGCGCTACCTCGACATCTTCGGCGAAAGCTCGCTGTACCGCACGCTCATGAAGCTCTTCTTCATTGGCAGCAGCGTGTATGTGCTGTATCTCATGCGCGTCAAGTACCGGTGAGTACGGAGAGGTAGAAGGTGCGGGGAGAGGCAACAGACGCAGGAGAAGCAGGAGAGGCGGATCGACAGACAGTGAGGAGAGGGTCAGAAGGGCGTGTGTGCGCGGAACAGCGTGCTCGCTAGGCTGGGAAGCACGCGGGCGTGGCGGATGCGTCGGGCATACGAGGCGGCCTCTCGCTCCTCGCAGCGACGCAGAGGGGTCACCGGTGCGCGTCTCGCGCCGCGTCTGGGGCGCCTGCACCTGTGATGCGGGTTCAGCCGCTCGGGCGGGCGGCGAGTCAGAGTCAGTAGGAGAGGTGAAGGACGAGAGGAAAGGGAGTGTGGCAGGGCGAGTAAGGGTGGTGGAACCAAAAGTTGACGAGGAGGTGGCCCTAGCCGCACTCTGACGGGCGGACAGCATTCACGCTTGCCAAGCTGCCCAGCTGGAATACGAAGAATGGGCTGTAGGAGTCACGCCTGGGCTTGGCGCGAGGAACGGAGGGAGAGAGGCGGGCCACGCGCCCGTAGGCTCGACATTTGCGCTCACACACCTCACGCCGTGCCCTTTTCTGTCTATCTTGTGCTCATCCTCTCTCCTAGGCCAACGCACGATCCCGCCATCGACACGATTCGCCTGGAGTATCTCTGCGGACCCGCGGCCGTGCTCGCGCTGCTCTTCAACTACGGCTACACGTTCCTCGAGCTCACCTGGGCATTCAGCATCTACCTCGAGGCCGTCGCGATCTTGCCGCAGCTCTTCATGCTGCAGCGCACGGGCGAGGCAGAGACGATCACCACGCACTACCTCTTCGCCCTGGGAGCGTACCGGGCACTGTACATCCCCAACTGGATCTACCGGTGAGTGCGCCTGGCGAGAGCTGGATGGGGTGCTAGGCTGGCGTGCGGGCTTCAGGAGCTCGCAGGAGCGTAGCTGACTTTTGCTTCTACGCGCGCTTATTCTGCACCTCTAGGTATTTCACCGAGAACCAGGTGGACCCAATCTCCGTCGTGTGCGGCCTGGTGCAGACGGGGCTGTACCTCGACTTCTTCTACAGTGAGTGTGCCGCTGCTTCTTCGCCCAGGCTCCTGCATCTGGCTGCGCCTGGCCGTGCCTAGTCAGGTGGATTGTGGGTCGCGGATCACTGACGCTTGACGCTCAACGCAGTCTACTTCACGAAGGTGATGAAGGGCGAGAAGTTCGAGCTGCCAGCATGAAGCGCTTCAGCTGGGCACGAGGAGCAGGGGGTGTAGAGCGCTGCTTGTGCGGCGCACGGCCTGGTCAAGCGTCATCCGGAGATGGTGAGGCGCGAAGACCCAGCAGAGTGCTGGCCGATGAGAGGAGACGGGGAGAAGATGCTCGAAATCCGATGGATTTGCTCAGATCGTGCGCTGGAGGGGATGGGCTGCACGAGGGGAGGCGGAGAAGCCGGCAAGCGCTTGCTCGAGCGGCCGCTGCAAGGCCGAGCACCGGCGCAGTCTGCACGCCGGAGAGCGGCACGCTTCGAGGCTTGCCCCTATGGGCTGCCACGTCTCACTTCCCTCACGCGAGCCTCAGAATGCGTGAGAAGCAAGTGACATTGCGGCATGACGAGCACACTCTAGGGCCGCGAAGGCGCAGGCGCAGGCCGCCAGAACTCGGCCTCATCCTCCTCCTCGCCCTCTGCCAGCGTCGGCTGCTGCTGTGACTGTGGTGGCTGTGATGCCTGCGCTGCCTGCGCCGACGACGACGACGTCGTCGCGCTCGGACTTGAGCTCGAGCTGGCAGCTTGCTGTTGCTGCTGCCTCGGCTCGCGGCGCGGCACGGCGTCATACTGAGGCGGCAGCTCCACGATGCCCTGTCTCGCTGCATCCGCTTCTGCATCGGCGTCGTCGATGGAGTCGTCAAGGAGCAGGCCTGCATCGCTGTGCTGCACGAAGCCATAGCCCGCTCTCGGCGCTGCTGCTGCTGCGCCCGAAGAGGCGTAGCTCGAGTTGCCGGGCATGGAGCCCAAAGCGGAGGCGGGAGCACGACGAGAGTTGGAGAAGGGATTGCCGGTGCTTGAGGAGGAGCCTGACGAGCCCGTGCGCGCCGTGCTGTACGCCTGCGCCGCGGAAGTCGGCGTGCCAGTCGTGCCGTACGTGCCGCTCCCGGCCGAAGACGTCGGATAGCGCGGCTCACTCATCGGCACCTCCTCGTACTGGCCCGAGCCGATATCGCCAGACGAAGAGTAGTCGCCGAATGGCGAGCGATACGCCGCTGCGCCTCCAGCGCCCACGCGCATGGAGCCTGAAGAGGCAGATGCACGACGAGCACCATAGTGCGAGCGCTGCGGCGCGGCCATTTGCTGCGGCGAGAGCTGCGAGAGCACTTCTTGCTCCTGCGAGCCGAACGAGTTCTCGCCGACGCCGTAGGAGTGGCTGGGAGGCGAAAAGTCCGAGTACGGCAGCGGCGCAGTGCCCGGCGGAGAAGTGTAGAAGCCAGTCGGCGAGTCGAGCGGCGCGTTGTTGTACTCTGCCCGCAGCTCATACGCACTGCCACCGAACGAGTGCAGACTGCTGTGCAAGCTGTTCGTCCGCGAAGAGCGATTGCCCGGCATCTCCCCTGCTGCTGCGAGACCATCGGGGTTGCGCCGTTGACCTGCGACGTTGGCCTGTGGCTGCAGCCGCTGTGCGAACTTGCGATCGATGGGCGCTCCACTGTGGCCCAGCGTGCTCGCTACGCCATCAGGCACATCCCATGACAGCTCTCTGCGCTTCTGTCGTCGCCGCCAGAGAATGTAGAACACCAGACATGCGCCTAGCGCCGCTGCGATGCCCACGCCCACGGAGGCGCCAAGCACACCGGCGTCCGTGCCGCGTTGGCCGGCTGCTTTGCCGTTGCGCACTGTCGCGACGACCGTTTGCGTGTAGATGACGCCGTCGGAGGTGGTGAGCGAGGGCACCGAGGCGACGTAGTCGGGCATCGGGTATGTCAGCGTCGCGGTCGGCGTGGGCAGGATCTGACTGAAGGGCTGCTGGAGACAGGAGAGGTCGGAGTACTCGGAGAAGCCAGCTGAGTTGCGCCCGGAGACGCCGCCGCTTGAGCCTCTGGCGTCGCTCATCCTACACACAGAGCGTCAGCAGTGCGCACTCTGCGACGAGGCAGCGCAACTCACGTCATGAGAAAGTCAGTCGATGCGGGCACGGCGAGCGGGAACGTCATGTTGAGCGTCGACGAGTTGCTGATGGGCATGTAGAGCGGCGGCAGACGCTGAGGGAGAAAGTAGAGGCCCAGCGGATCCTGCCACGTCTTGTTGCCGCTCGTGCTGTTCCATGCCACGTGGAATGGCTCGCACTGCAAGGGGGCATCAGTCATGCTGCCGAGATGGCAAGACAGCACACGCCATCGTGCTTTCGCAAATGCGCAGCCCCGCACTGCTGACTCACTGTGGTCTGGCTCGGGTCGTTGTAGAAGAAGAATGGCAGAGTCCCACTGATGTTGTCGCAGCTGATCCCGTCGGGCGCCGTCTTGACGGTGATCATGCTGCTCGAGTTGGCCATCGCTCCGCTCGAGTCTACGACGGTGACGACCATGTCTGGCGTGATGCGGCTGCTGCTGGGTGCGTCTGGCATGGTGTAGACCGGCGGCGTGTACTGCACGAGCCACTGCGAGAGCGTCGGGTCCGCGTACGACGCCGGCACGCTGAAGACGGCGGGAAACCAGCCGCTGGGCGCGATCTGGACTGTGAACGGCGGCACGCCCTTGGAGGGGTTGAAGGTGATGTTCATGGGCACGCACGACTGCGGGTCCGTGACGCCGAGCACGAACGAGTGGTCGACGGGCGGCGCGGCCTGGCGCCGGCGGCGGCTGCGCTCCTCGAGGCGCGTGCGCCGCAGCAGCGCCGGTGCCAGCGCGGCACTGCCGCCGGGCAGCGCTCGTGTGCCCAAAGATGCCTCTCCAGCTGCCGGCGCATGTGCGGCGAATGCAGGAGCGGCAGTCATCAGGCCGAGCGCGCCAAGTGCGCAGAGGCCTGCTCGGCGAGCGCGCGACGAGGCGCCATGCGCTGTGCTCCTCCTCCGTGCGCGCGGCAGGGCCGTCTCAGTGCCGGGCAAGCGTGCACGAGGTGCACCGGAGAGACGGTCCTCCATCGATGAGAGCACGGCGGGGTGCGCCTCGAGGAACGGCGTCGCGGAGGATGAGGGCGGCGAGGCGTCGGCGCACGGCACGCAGCACGCACACGGCGCGGGCGCTGGGACGTGGGCACCCCGCATGGCTCAGCGAGCGAGGGTAGCCAGAGCAGGCCAAAGAGAGGCTGACGCTGCGAAGTCGGGAAGGGCCGAGCGAGACGCAGGCGGGAGCCGAGGCTGAGGGTGCGAGGTGCGCTGAGAGGGCGACGAGGCGATGAGACGAGGCGACGCGACGGCGACTCGCGGCGCTGGCAGGTGCGCTGGCGGAGCGATAGGCAGCGCCGTGGTGCGCTGGCGGGCGCAGGTGCTGGATGCGAGCGCGGCGGAGCGGGCGCGCCGACGACGGCACGGCAGAGAGGAGGGAGAGCGTGGAGAAGAGAGAGGGCGAGGCGAGGCGGGCAGCAAGAACGTGCCGCGGCAGGATGCAGGAGAGGCAGGCGGAGCGCAGCGGAGCGGAGATCGTGCGCTTGGCAGGCGCCGGCGGAGGGAGAGGCGCGTGGCTGCTGTGCGCCGGACAGGCGGCAGCCGGCCTGCCTCTGCGCAGCGCAGCGTCAGCACGCCGGCAGCAGACGAGATGCGATGGCGCGCCGCGTGGTGACGCGCAAGCCGCACCGCTTCGGGCACGCAGCCGGCATGGCATGCGCGAGACGGCTCGTCGGGCTCCGAGGAGGAGAGCGGCGGGTCTTCTTGTCATCCTCGCAACGCTGACGCTGGGCATGCAGCAGCCATTCATCCTCGCCGTCGCAAGACATTCGCCTGCGTGCAGGCTGCGACGCAGGCGGCAGAGCGCAGGCTGAGCAGCCGCCTGCTTTGCCTCGCAGCGACGTGGCAGACCCTCGCATGCGACGGTGCTGTGAGCTGCTGCCGCCAGCCCTCAGGCGGCAGAGAACCCCGTCAGCCGCCGGGAGGAGACGGCGATCGCCTCGGCTCGCAGACTCCGGGAACATTCCCGCGCTCTTTGCACTCTACGGCTCGCTTCGGGCACGCCTCGGTCACTCTGCGGCCAACTGTATGGCAGGCACAGATCAGGCACGACATGGGTGCCCTTCTAGAAGCACTCAAGCCGGGCCGTCACTGCCGTCCAGCGCGGGGCGGTGGAGAAGTGGCCGAGCCGCTGGCCTCCCTCCCCTTTCCGTACGCAGGAGAGAGGTGCGGGCACGCTTCGAGGGCGCAGGAGGCGGGACGGACGACAGTTCAGGCCATGCCATGCCGAGTGCGCCCAGGAGCGGCATTCTCCATTCTCTTGTGCCTCTCCTCTTTCCCACAGACCTTCCAGCGCCTTGAGACGAGCTTCCATTACACGCCTCGCAGCGCTCTCCGCATCACATGTGCGCCCGCATCTTGGGCCTGCTTGAGCACCTCCTTCAGCCCAGCCTCAATCTCGGGCGCTGCCGGCTGCGTCGGCAATGCCTTGCCCAGCGTCGCTGCGATGGCAGCTCCCACACCCGGTGCCGAGGCAGCGGCGGCGCCAGCTGCCTGAGCGCCAGCTGCGGCAGACGTGGGGAGCTGCTTGAAGGCACCGAGCGCTGCGGTGGGATTGATGTTGCCGGCCCGAGCTTCAGAGAAGGCTTCGAGGAGGTACAGCACGCCAAAGAGGAGGAAGAGGCATGCTCCGCCCAGCGTCACTGCGTAGAGCCATGAGTGGGAGCAGGGAGAGGTTAGAGGTGAGAGCGGACTCACCCTTCTTGACGCTGATTCGTGACGCCAACGAGCTGCCTGCGTACACTGCCACGCCTGTGCAGATGCAGTGTCCCGCGATCGTGCCTAGCGAGATGAGCACCACGCTCTGCCGGTCGCAGCCCACGTCAGCTTGTCTACTCAGCGGCTCGAGGTCGGGCCACTCACATGCGCAGCCGCCAGCGCAATCGTTGCAATCTGACTGCGGTCGCCCCACTCGCCGAGGAACGTCAGGACAAACGCTTGCGCAAAGACGGGACTGAAGCACAGGCCACAGAGGTTACGAGCGCCTTCGCGCACGTCAAATGCGTCCTTCTTCGGCTTGGGCGTGCGCGACCGTGGCGGCTCGTCTGCCGAGGGATAGGCAGAGGGGTGCGGCGCCGCATCGACGTGTGCGCCGTCTGACCGCCCCGCTTCGAGCTCGTGCATCTTCAGATCTTCGCCGTGCGACTCCTCCTCAATCTCGCGCTCGGCCTCCTGCCACTCCTCGCCCATCTCCTCGCCCGTCATCTCCTGCGCCTCCTTGAGCATCTTGACGCCGAAGCCGAAGAAGAGGAGCGCGGCGAGCAAGGTGGTGAGCGCCTTGGGCAGGAGCGAGGGAAAGGCGGCACCGAGCAGGGCGGAGAGGACGGACATGAGGGCGAGTGCGGAGAAGGCGCCGGCAAATACGACGGCGTGCGAATGCCGCATGGAGAGAATGGCGGCGATGAGAAAGGTCTTGTCGCCGATCTCGGAGACCTGGAGCAGAGAGAGGGTCAGCGAGCTGCAGGGCCGGAGGCCTGCGATGCGGCTGCGGCGGAGAGCTTGTCCTGCTCAAGCACCGACTTGTCTGACAAGTCGATTCGCTCTTCCCATGCCCTTGAATCGAAGCACAGCATAGCCCGACCAGCCTCGAAGCAGTGCTGTCCTAACAAAATGGCCGCGCCAGCAAGTCTGTCACATCGTGCTCGCAGTCCAGGTGCAGCGACCAGCGCAGCCGGGCGAGCTGCGACCTGGCTCATGCGCCTGTCTGCGAGCTCGGACCTGCTCCAGCGCTGCCTCACTGCGCCGCCTCTGCCTGCCGCCGCCTTCTCTCTCCTGCACGCCTGCCCACAGCACTCACCAGAATCATGCTGAAGGCGCTCCACAGCGCGCGCGGATCCGCCGCTGCCGCAGCCGCGAGCGAGCCGACGAGCGGCAGCATGGCGGCGGCGGCAGCATCTGCCTCGCCGCCGCCGCCCGCGAGGCCGGACTCGACGAAGGGCAGAGGCGCGGCGAGGGAGGCCATGGCGAGCAGGGCCGAGGAGCGCGGAGAGAGTGTGTGAGGCCGAGGCGCGAGCTGCGCGGGCGTCGAGGCTGCCGCGATGCGCTGCTGCCGGAGTGAAGCTCAGTGGCCGGCGTGGACGAAGGAGTGTGGCGATGTGGTGGTGGGTTGCAGCAAGCGAGGCAAGAAGAGCAGCCCGGCGAACCCTTGCCTCTGTCGCCGGAAGCGAGTTGCCCGCTTCCCGCGGCACACGAAGACGCGGCAGCGTGCCAGCGCGTCAGGAGAGCAACAGCCGGCGGAGCTGGAGGCCGACGCGTCGTCGTACGATCAGCCCGAGGCACCGCTGCTCTGCAAGGCCCTCCAGGAGCAGCGATCAGGGCGCAGCAGCCTCTCAGCTCACGTCGGCATGAACAGCGTCTGCGTCGCCATCGCAACGGAGCGACAAGAGGACGCGGAAGCGGCATTCTTATTGCAAGGCGGCATGGCGCAACAGCTGCCGCGCTTCCCGCATTCTCTCCACTCAAGAGCAGCATGCGCCAAGTCCAACGCACAGCTTCAGCATCGTTGGCGATTCAGACTGCGAGAGCACACAGGCCGACGCTCGGTGCCAGTCTCGAGATTTTGAGCGCATCTTCAGCTCGCGACATGGCGCGCCGAACCTGCTGAGCTCTCACTGTCGGCGGCGAGATGGGGGCCGGCGATGGCACAGCCGCGCGGCGGGCGGTGCGCGCCAGGCACGCCGCGAGAGGCAGGCGCGGCGCGGGCAGCGTGTGGCGCACGGCCGTCGCGCCTCGCGCATCATCGTGCGGCAGGCTGGCGGCACCCTGGCCTGCTTCTCATCCACATCCTCCTGCTCCACCACCCTCCCCGGCATCCACGCGCAGCACGCCGCGATGTCCATCCAGAACACGTCCAAGAGCGTCCTGCGCGTCGGCAAGAACTACATCAAGGTGCGTGTCCAGCCCCTCTGCCTGCGCCGGCGGAATGGCGTGCTGCGCGGCGCTGCATCCACTTCGCGCTTGCGCGAGGACAAAGGGGCGCTCTTTGCTGACGCCACGACGGGTGCAGGGCTACACGGACGTGCAGAAGAAGGTCAGAGATGGTGCGTTGCCCCGCTGGCCCGGCTTGTGAAGCGTGCATGCAGCCGCTTGGTGCTGACACTGTGTGGTGCGCGCAGCGACGTCGAACGAGCCGTGGGGCCCGAGCGGCGAGCAGATGAACACGCTCGCGCAGCTCAGCTACAACCAGTGAGTGCCAAGCGCCTGTTTGCGATGCGCGTCCTAGGTTGGCAGCGGTAGCGTGGGCAGAGGGCGAGTGAGCGTCGGCGAGGGGCTCGCATGGGGCGCAAGGCACGCGTGAGCGAGGCGCCGAATCGCGGGGAGAGGAGAATCGGCGAGTGGGACGGACGGTGCAGGCACGATTGGAGTGCGAGGACGCAGTGCATGTAGCGGCGCTCGAGCGGTTGCGATGTCTTCACGCTGGAGCAGCGAGGCGCCGCGCTTCGGGCACATTCCAGCGCCACTTTCCACGCAGGTCCTCATGCTCTTCTCTTGCGCCAGGAACGAGTTCGTCGAGATGATGGAGATCATGGACAAGCGCCTCAACGACAAGGGCAAGAACTGGCGCCACGTCTTCAAGACGCTCACGCTGCTCGACTACCTGCTGCACGCCGGCAGCGAGAACTGCGTCATCTACTTCCGCGACAACCTCTACGTCGTCAAGACGCTCAAGGAGTTTCAGTACGTCGACGAGTACGGCAAGGATCAGGGCGCCAATGGTGAGTGGTGCGCTGGAGGGCGATGGGCTTTGATGGGCGAGGCGCGGGCAATATGTGTGCGAGAGGTGGAGCGGCAGAGATTGGCGGCAGCATCCACAGCAGAAGCGACAGGAGCTGTCTGGGCGGCGGGACGGGCTGCGGTGCTCCAAGCGTCATGGCCGCGGTGTTGCAATCCTGGCCTCGTACAGAGCGGAGCGCCAGTGGTCTGGCTAATTCTCACTACCTCGCGCTGACCCTGACCTGATCTCGCCATGCAGTGCGTCAGAAGGCCAAAGACATCACCAATCTCCTCATGGACGAGCAGCGTCTGCGGGAAGAGCGCCGCTCGCGCGCCTCGATGCGCAACCGCATGAACGACGGCGAAGATCGCGAGCGGCCGACGAACACGGTGAATGACTTTGAGGACGAAGAGGGCAGGCGACGACGGGCAGAGGCGGAGCGGAGGCGTAGAAACAGACGCGAGGGCGAGGATGAGGAGCTGAAGAGGGCGATTGAGGAGAGCAAGCGGATGGCAAAGGAGGAGCAGGACAAGTTGAGGAGAGAGGCGACTGAGTGAGTACCTGCCACGCTTCGCAACGTCTGCTCGAGCAGTGTGCGACGAGCGAAGGAAGGGAGCAACGCTGATGCCCGCGGCGCATCCTTGCAGCGAGGATGAGCTGCAAAAGGCCCTTGCCCTCTCGCGCGAGGAGGAGGAGAAGCGCATCAAGGAGCTCGAGAAGCGCAACGAGAACGCACTCTTCGACGACGACTTCAACCTCATTGATGGGCCGCCGAACCAGGTGAGCGAGAGCACGAGCAGCGGCAGCGCAAAGAACTGTGTTTTGCCACGACGAGCCACTCACGCCTTCCTGCAGTACGCGCAGCAACAAGACTGGCAGCAGCAGCAGCAGCAGTTCATGCAGCCGCAGTACACCTCCTTCAACCCGTACATGCAGGCGCAGCAGACGGGCTACAACCCGTTCCTGCAGCAGCAAATGGCGCTGCAGCAGCAGCAGGAGGCCGAGTACCAGCGGCAGATGGAGATGCAAATGGCTGCGCAGCAGTACCAGCAGATGATGACGCAGCAGCAGATGGCGCCGCTGCAGCCTCAGCCGACGGCGTTTGGCTCGGTGAGCTCGGCAGCGATAGTGCACAGCTGTGGGAGCCACGCTGACGAAGCGACGACAGAACAACCCCTTCGCATTCCAGCAGCAGCAGCAGCAACAGCCACAGCAGCAGCAACAATGGTCCATGCCTCAGCAGCAGCAGCAAGCCGTGCCGACGGGCGACTTGCTCGGCGACACCACTCCCACGCCCACGCCGGCGCCTCAGCCCGTGCAGCAGCAGCAGCCGGCATCGCCGCCGCGCCAGCAGCAGGGCCCGCCGCGCGTCAAGACGTCAGACAAGTACGCAGACCTGGACCGCATGCTTGCGAGCGGAGAGGCGCAGGACACGTTCGGCAACACGGGCGCGCAAGTCAGTGCGTATCACGCCTTGAGGCCCTTTCTGCTGCTCGTGGTGACCGTGGGAGGAGAGGTCGCTGACGTGCGCTCCTTATTGCAGTGGGACACAGCTCCAACCGCCTCGCGAGCCAGCCGACAGGCAACAACCCTTTCTTCCGCACGTAAACACCGGCGACGCTACTCGACGGCCCGCCAGCGCCACTCCCGCGATCCCTCTCATTACCCGTGCGCAGCGGATATCTTCTCCTGCGCAGCCACACCCTTCGTTCTTGGACCTTGCGTGCCCTCCCTTTTCCCTTCGTCTTGACAAAGAGCTGCGGCGTCAGCTTCCTTCCTTGCGCTCATTGGTCCTCTCTCTCCTTCTTTCTTCTTCCTTTGCTGCACGATGCGGCTGTACATACTCCTCTTCACCTTCTGCGATGCCCCTCTTTTCACGAATGCGATGGCCTCTATGTCCTCTCTCCCAGTTCCGATGCATCTATTGCCCATCGAACAGAATCTCCCTCGTCAGGCGGAACGAGAGACAGTACATGTCCTTCGTCGGCGCCACGGCTCGGACGCACGTCAGGCTCAGCTCGGGCATCGGCGGCAGGCCGTCAAAGGACTCGGCGGTGAAGCGTGCCGAGTCGGGAGAGAGCACGGTCAAGGAGTGCGCTGCGCGAGGCGAGGCGTCGGGAGCAGAAGGCGGCGGCACGAGACGCGAGGGGCCTCTGAGACCTAGGACTGCGTTTGCGCGCTGTTCGGAGCGATGTTCAGAAAGAGGGGCATGCAGAAGGAGGAGATGAGACTCACGTGGCAGACGTCCTCATGCGCCCCTGCCAGATCCTTCGTGAAGCAGTGCACGTGCACCATGGGCCACCTCGCTTTGCCCTCTTTCTCGCGTGCGTCCAACTCCGCCTCGAGGACCTCGGCGCCGACTGCGTCGCGCAGCGGCAGGTACGCGCCGCGATAGGCGTCGAGGAACTCGAGAGCCGACGCGGGCAGATTCATGACGAAGTGATCGACGAGCCTGCGCGGCGGGAGGCGCTCGATTGTAGCACGCTTCGTCTTCGCGGGTGCTTGTGCCTGTGATGAGCTCGCGGCGGGTCGAGAAGACCGCTGTGCGCGCTTCTCCTTCGCCAGCTGCGTGGCACTCTTGACTGCGTCGTCTTCCTCGGGCCGCAACGGCGGGCCCTCGAATGCTTCCTCCCAAGCTCGCAGAATGCTGCTCCGGATGAACGCTCTGCCATCTTCGCAGCTCGCTCGGATGCGCGGCTCGACCTTGTTCGCCTTCATGTTGCCCACAAGACTCTCGTACGAGGCCGGGTTGAGGTCGTTGGCAAGCACCCAGAGGCCCTTCTTCGCGGCGGGGAGCGCGAAAGGGCCGACGCCGGCCATGACGTCGCTGAGCACGTCGTACGGCGCGAACGACTGGACGAGCCGTTGGTGCTCTGCGTGCAGGCGCGAGTTCCAGTAGACTTGCCGGAAGTCGAACGTGAAGGAACAGTCGGACTCGCTCTGCAGGCGAGAAGGCAGAGGCATAAGTGAAGAAGCAGGTGGCAGGAGCCAGAAGCACGCACAGCTGTTGTGACATAGTCTTCATCGCCTGCAACCAGCTCCATGTCGAAGAAGCGGAACTGCGCATCGATCGAGTCGAGCTTGTTCACGGCAGTGCGCAGCTGAGGATTCTTCTGCTCGCGGTGCATCGTCAGTATCTCAGCCGCGCTCGAGAAGATGAAGGGAGACGCACGTCGAGCAAAGCTTGCCCGATGATGAAGCGATAGGGAAGATACTCGTCCCGCAGATTCAAGTGCGCTGAAATCGAGTCAGCGGCAGTGAATGAGGTGAGAGAGGTGCAAGGGCCTCACCGATATGTCCGACCTGCGTGAAGGCCGTCGGCGTGCCTTCTGGTAAGCCGTGAGGCAGGAGGTGCGCCAGTACGACATCTGCCCGCTCCCACATCAGCCGTTGCGTCTGTCTTCTCTCCTCCACTCGAGGCACACGCACCAGCGCCCCAGTGTTCATAGCCCAGCTCCAGCGGAAACGACTCGACCACTTCCCAGCCTTTCGCTGCGATGTGAGCGCGCGGCTCGGCTGGCAGTGCTGCCGAGGGCACTGCGAGACGGACTAGGCGGTGTGCTGCAGATGCGGGACAGGGATGAATGGGCCGGATACGCGGGAGGCGCATGATGTAGCTGTGAGTGGGATGCTTGGCGTCAGCCGCCGAGCCATGCGTGACGCGGGCTGCGCTGCTCGCCGCTCTCTTCTCTCTCTCCCGCGAGCCACTCACGGCGCCACGCCCTCATCCCGCACTGCCTTTCCCGAGTCTTCATTTGGCACACGCAGCGCCGCAAAGTCGAGTCTCTGCTTGAACAGCTCGCGGTAGGGCGCCAGACTGCTGCCCTCGCCCTTGGCGAATGCCTCTGCCTCGGCTGAGCCGGGCGCCAGAAGCGGCAGGCGCGGGATGTGAGACGGCGGGGCGAGCGTGAAGGTGGCCATGGTGCGCGCTGAGGAGAGAGCAGTGCGGAGGCAGAGACGACGCAGGAGCAGCATGCGCCGGGCGGAGAGGTGGAAGCGAGGAAGGAAGGAGGCGCCGCTGTGGAGGCAAGAGAAGACGGCGCGCGGCGGGACTCGGGCGGCACTGGCGTTCCCACGCTTCCTTCTCGCTCTGGCGGGCTGGGCGCGCCTTCCCTTGCTTCTAGTCTGCGCCTGCTCGCTCGATGCTCAGCTCCCTCATCAATCAAGCATCAGGCACCGGGCACTACATACAGGGGTAGAAGCGCGGCGCAGCGGCGCGCGCTCTAGAAGCTCATTACCGGCACTCGGCTTGCCGCCGAGGAGAGAGGGCACTACTCAGGGGGCAGCCGTGGCGGCGATCTTGCGGCTCGGAGCGCCGGTTCCGTGCTGCCGTGCCGAGCCCAAGCTCATCGAGAAGCGCTCAGCCCAGCTCTCATCGGGAGCGCAAGCGAGCATCCATCCTCTCGACCCCATCCTCTCCACTCGCGCTGCCATGGACGTCGACTCGCCCACCGGCCCTTCCGGCCTGCACGCCCTCGCGCGCTGGTTCCTGCCACACGCGTCCGAGCGGCAGATGCACTCGACGCAGTCGCTGCTCTTCACGCTGCTGCTGCCTTCGCTGCTGCAGCTGCCCATCGGCTGGCATCTGCTGCACTACCCGCAGCACCGCCTCGTACGTCTTCCTCTTGCATGCCACGCAGCGCTGCAGCTGATCTAGAGTGGCACGCGCAGCCGCGGTTGATCATGCTGCCCTTTGTCGTCCTCACGGCCATTCGCTGTGGCTTCTCGGGGCACGTAGAGTACACGACGCAGAGCTGGCTCAATCTCGACCTTGTGAGTGTCTCGCATGACCGCGCGACCCCCAGCTATGAACAAAGCTCACGCCTCGAGCGTTCAGGGCATCTCGGCGTTCTTCACTTCCATCCGTGCCATCTGGCTGGCGACCAAGACCGAAGCTCCGAAGTACATCGCCAACGATGGCAAGCCTGCCGTGGGTCTCCTCCTTCTCCTGCCCTCGCAGTAGCTGACGCACTGACGCTCCCGCAACAGCAACCTCTGCTGCTCGAGCTCATCGGCACGATGCGCTTTGCAGGCTTCGACATTGGCGTGCCTTCGGCCTCGGAGCCGCGCTGGGACTTCATCGTCAATCGTCTCATCACATCGGCTTGGTGCTATATCGGCTGGGACATTCTTGATGTCGCCGTCAAGCATCCACTGGTCAATCCTGCTACGCATTTGGGCATCGGATCGCTCAAGATCTGTCGTGAAGGGCCTCTCGGGCTGTTCGCAGAGGCGCTAGGTACGTCTGTCCCAGTTCTTTCTTCTCGAGAGCAGCCACGCTGACTCCCATCCTTCTGCGCAGTGTTCCTCTCTGTAGGCTCCATCTTCGTCTATCTCTCGATCCAAGGTTCCTGCGCCTTCATCTCCGCCATCTCCGCGCTCTTCGTTCCCTCCACGCAAGCCTCCTGGGGCGACCTGCCCTACATCTTCCCCCTCAAGGCCGACTCCGTCCGTGCGCTGTGGAGCACGCACTGGCACGATCTGTTTCGCATCATGTTCCTCGACTTGGCCTTCAAGCCCACTGCCTCGCTCGCTCGTCGACTCGGCCTACCTCGCAAAGCTCAAAAGGCACTCGGCGTGCTGGCCGTCTTCACGCTCTCGGGACTTATGCACGAAGCAGGCATCGAGGGCATGTCGTGGGGTCATGCAGACCAGGGATGGGGTGCGGGCGTGGAAGGGTGGAGCTATGCGACGACAAAGTTCTTCGTACTGCAGGGCGTAGGAGTGATCCTGGAGGATGTGCTGCAGGAGACGACGGGCATGAAGGTCCAAGGCTGGGCCGGAAGGATCTGGGCTTTCACGTGGGTGATGGGCACTGGTTGGCCTATGATCGACGTGAGTGTGACCTGTTCGGCTCTTGACCCTCTTTCCTTTCCATTCCGTTGCGCGCCTCGAGCTGATCAGCGACACGCTTCACTCTCGCACGCAGGTCTGGCTGAGACACGGCATCATTCCCGCCTGTCCGACGAGCTGGCAGCTCTCCAAGCCTCTGGTCAACGCCGTGCTCAGTGCTCTGGCGACGTGGCGTACGTCGTAGAGCTGCTTCCTCTGCCTCTTTTCTCCCGATTCTCTCAATGCTTCTAGACCGTGCTCCGAGACAGCGAGAGACAGATTGCTCGCCACTTCTTCCGCTGCTCTATCCTTATCCGCCAAGACCCATCTTTATATCACGACACTCGAGCTCAAGAGACCCCGTAATGCCATCGACTCCTCTTGCTCAACCACTGCGTCGAGCGCAGCATGTCCCTCGGTCAGACTCACTCGTGTTCTGTCCCGCCTCGCACGTCGCTGCTATTTCGCGATCCATCGATGTATTAGAAGATCGCGATCTTCGTGTCCTTTCCCAACCGACCTCTCACCCCTTCACAGCTCAGCAGCTTGACCAGCTCCTCCCTCGTCTCCGGGCCCTCGCAGATGCCGCGGTTCTTCGAGTCGCGCCACGTCACGTCCAGCACGACGAGGCGCAGTTCGTCGAGCTTCAGCGGTGCCTCCTCGCTCTCAGAGGGAGGAGAGAGGAGTGCGAGGAGACGAGCGGGAGTGCCTGCTGCGACGGGCATGGACTTGGAGCGAAGCCAGGTGATGTGTTCTTTGAGCTGTGCCGTGTGACGCATCAGCAGGCGTTTCTTTTAACGGAGCGCACCCTCGTTTGAGAGAAACGCACCTTGAAATGCCTTGCGAACAGCTTTCCGACGTGCAGTCTGGGCTTCTCTCCCTCCTTTTCTTTCTCCTCTTCTCCCTCCTCTGTCCGCCGCTTCTTCCTCGCCGAGCCCTCCTCTTCCTCGGGCAGACGCGGCAAGAGCGGCCTCAGTCCCCGCGACAGATCCGCGGCGCGCTGCGCATTGCCCGTCACCACGAGCAGGCTGGGCGATCCTGACGCCAGCGGTGCTTGGAGGCCAGAGAGCAGCTTCGAGAGAGAAGGCAGCACGTGCCGCACGAAAGGAGCGAGTGCGTCGACACTGCGCTCCGTCGTGAAGCGCGTCGTGTCGAGCAGCATCGCCTCTGTGAAGGAAGTCAGCATACGCCAGGAACGAGGAATCAAGAGGCTACCTCTGTCCCCTCTTTGCCTCCTGCCCTGCCTTTTTCCTCCTGCGGCGCTCGCAAGTCGGCTCTGACGCAAACTCCATCTAGGCCTAGCCCCAGCGCTCACATGCGCGCTGCATTCTCCAGCATCCTCCCGCTCGCCGTTGCTGGCCCCTCGCCTTTTTCAAGGCCTCTATGCCCTCTCCCAGCGCAACATGTCGCACTCACCGCGCACGCCGACCTCGTCGAGCTCCATCTCGCTTGCCTTTGCATACGCCTTGGTCTGGCGCCACACCTTGCTCAGGAAGTCGGCCTGCATGTCCTGCGGCAGCACGCCCGGCCCGGCAGACTCGGGCATGCTCGCGCGCGCCTCGTTCTTCTGCTCCGCCGCCAAGCACCTCAGGTCAGCCATCTTGCCTGCACCAGCTTCGCACCGCAAACACCACGCACACGAGCCTTGCGCGCCTTCTCGCGCTCCTTGCGCTTGCGCTTCTTGTTCTCGAGGCGCTCCTTCTCGCTCATGCCGTCGGCCGTCCTTGCGCCCACATTGTCGTCGAAGTCGGGCTCTTCGGCGTCGGATGCGCCGCCTGCAGCTGCAGTGGCGGACTGGAGGGCAGGCGAGGGCGAGCGCGAGCCGGCAGAGCCGGCGGAGCCGTCGAGGTAGAGGTTGTCGTCAAGCTCGTCGCCCATGATGAGAGTGTGTATGCGGTGGAGGTGGTGAGAAAGACAGAGGCATCGTGCGCGCGTTTGGCGTGCTGCAGACCTCGCGGCGATGCGAGGCTGTGCAAGTTTTGCCTCGCGCCGCCTCAAGCGGCGTTCTTCTCGCTCGCGCTGCTCGCTGTCGTATGCCGCCATGCTCCGAGCGGCGCCGCCTTTGCTCGCGCTTGGACAGCTCAGTGCTCCTCTTGGGTTCAAAGCATCAGCACCACTCGAGTCGTCGAGAGTGCTCTGCAACACTCGGAACTGCACACACATGGCCCGTCTCTCACGTTGGAGCCTCGTGCGAGAGCTCATGGATCCTCGCCACATCGCGTTGACGCTACGTCGCCTTCGCTTGGCTCCGTCCTCTGCGATCGCTGTGCACACTCCTCTCCTCTTCACTACGAAAGTCACATGTACGTTCTGCATTCTCTCGCGGCTCAGCCCTCCAGATCAGCCAAGTTGCCGCCCTTGAGCGCCTCTGCGTCCTCGTCGTCGTCGTCGCCAAACAGACGGCTGCCTTTCGGCTGGCCGCCCGGCGCCCGGCGCTCCTCGCCCACCTGCGAGCGCAAGAAGCGTCAGAGAGGTGAGGATGAAGAGGGAAAGGAGAAAGGCGTACCTTGAGAATGGCGGCCGTCGGCTGTGCAGCGCGAGCCGTCAGCAGGCTTTGTGAAAGAGAAGGAGGAGTACTCACGATGACGCCTCGCGGATTCAAGTACTCAAAATCGGGGCCTTGGAAGACATCTGTGGCGCCGTCTGTCAGTCTACGCTTCGAGAGGGAGCAGAGAGAGGACCAAGGCGCACCAAGGTAGTTGAGCCACTTTGCAAATCTGGCATCGAGCGGGTCAGCAAGGGCAAAGGAAAGCGACGAGGCGATGCAAACGCACTCGGCCGTCTCCTCCTCCGTCTGCATGATGCGATCGTAGATGAAGGTCTGCGGTATGCCTCGTCAGTCTCACGCCCTCGGCACCTCGATCGCACGCGCAGACCCACCTGCTTGAACTCATCCATCTGGCCCTTGAACGCGCTGTACTCGACAAACTCTCGATCCTCTCCCTGTCCTCCGCCCGGCCGTGCCCTGGCGTCCTCCAGCTTGCGATTGTAGCCATGGAAGAACGGCTCCTCCAGCAGCAGGCCCAGGCCGGGTGCTTTTGGCACGTGCACGCGCGCGGGGCCGTAGAGCTCGGGAATTAGCGAGGCGGGCGCGCCGAGACGGCCGACGAGGACCAGGAGCCCGATCATCTTGCGCTGTGGAAAAGAGATCAGAGGTGGCCCAGGCTTCTGTTGGTCGCAGCACCTCACGATCTGGTGCAGCATGAAGGACTGGCCGTGGAAGGTAATCGAGACCCACTCGGTGCCGTTGATCTCCTTCGCATCCGAGATCTGCCGCTCTCTCATCAGCCATACTCTGCCGCTCCACACGCAAGACGCACCTCCAGGCGCTTCATGACTCGCTGCGCCGAGCGATCCCGGAACTCCTTGCCCACGGTAAAGTTGTGGAAGTTGTGGCTGCCCTGGTACTTTGCGAATGCGCCTCGCAGGTTCTCCAGATGCGCCGCATCGATGCGCCACTTCTTCTTGGCCGAGACGTCCTCCTGGTACGTGTGCTCCGTGCCCTGAGTCTTCCAGAAGTCATGCTCGAGCAGCTCTTGCAACGGCGTCTTGCTCGCGCGCGCGGCTGCCTTCTCCTCGTCCGACTTGCTCGACTTGGCCAGCGCCTCCTCCTCCGACGCCTGCCACTTGAGCATCATCTCGTGCATCGCGCTGCCCGGCTTCGGCGGCAGCAAGACGTACGTCGGCAGCAGATACTCGTACAGGCGCGAGTCGCAGCTCGTGCGCGCATTGAAGCTGTTCTGCACGCGCGTCAGGCCCCAGATGCGGATGAAGGGCGGCAGCTTGGTGTTGATGTGCTCCACGAGCGTGCCCGGTGGGATGCCGGGCGGATCGAGGATGAGCTTGAGGTTGAGCAGGTTGCCGGCGGCGTGCACTCCTCGATCTGTACGCGCCGCTCGCTGCAGGCCGACCTGATGGAAAGAGACGTGAGAGGAGGCACGGCGAGGAGGCGAATGCGGCAGGTCACAAAAGACACACCTTGACAGGGTTCACGGCATTCTCCTTGCTGACGGCGCCAGCAGTGCAGAAGGCATCGAAGATGTCGCCCTCGATCGTCTTCACGCCCGGGTTGCTGCGAGAGGCCGCAGTGAGCCGGGCTGGGCTGTGCGAGCGCGGTGGCTGGCACAACTCACATCTGCAGGCCAGAGTAGCCAATGCCGCAGTAGCCAAAGAGCACGGCGACCTTGCGTTTCTGCAGCGCACAGCCGTGTCGTCTGGGTCAGTCGCAGAGGCTCCCTGCTGTGGCAGCGCCTCCACAGCGCCGAGCGACTGCTTGCTTCTGCGACGACGCTCTCTCGTCACACCACTCACCGGCAACCGCGCGCCCGTCTCGCCGTCCTCCGTCTCTGCCCGTCCAGTGCCACCCGCCCGAGCGGTGTCGAGATTGCCGCCCGTGTTCCTGTTCGGGCGCGGGTCCCTCGCAGGCTTCGTCTCGCTCGCGGCTGAGGACTCGGCCGTCGCCGGCTCAGTCTTCGGCGCTGCCGGAGCTGCCGGTTCTGGGGCCGGCTCAGCCTTCGGTGCTGCTGCGCCTGCCGGCTCTGACGCCGGCTCCTCGATGCGGACCCGCTTGGCGGCGCCTTCGCCCGCCTGCGGCGAGGCTGAGCGCTTGATGCTCTCGGACATGCTGTTCTGCAGCGATGCTGGCGGCGGCGCGGGAGCGAGCAGACGTGCGAGGGAGAGCCTGCCGACGGCAAGTGCGCGGAAGATGATGATGCGGCGAGATGTGCGCGCCTGGAGCAGTCGCTGGCGAGTGTGGAGAAGGAGAGGTGATGGAGCTGATGAGGGCTCGAAGGTGCGCACGCCGCGAAGAAAGCGCGGGCGCCGAGGCGAAGCGAGAAGAGCCGCGGCTCGCTTTGGCGCCCGGCGCGCGCCTCGAGCATGGGGATCGCCGCGGTGCTCACTTCCTTGCGCACCACCACCACCTCCTGTCCACCCAGCAGCACGCCTCAGATCTCGGCGTCAGGCAGCATGCCCAACTCGGCCGCCGACGCCTCGGCTGCGCACTCTGCGCCTCCGCCCGGGCTCTCCGCCTCTGCGTCCTCCCTATACGCAGGCATCTTCGGGCCCGCCACGCCTTCCTCCAGTGCTGCCGCAGCACCAGCGACGCCGGCACATGCACAGCAATCCTCAGGTATTCCGCCCGCGTGCCCTGGATGTCCCACGCAGAGTTGAGCCTCACGCATGACCCTCTTCCTGAAGATGCCCCTGCCGCGGCGGCGCAGCAGCAGCAGGATGCAGGCAGCAGCAGCGGTCAGGGCGACGGCGCTGGGCCTGTCGCAGCGGCGGGCACGCCGGCGAGCGGCAACTGGTCTGCTTCGCTGCGCTTTGCGCCCCGTGTGCGTCCAAAGCAGACGCCCATCAAGCGCGTCGGCAGCGCTGTCAACCTCGGCGCATCAGCCGCACGGCCCATGTCCGTCGCCAGCGCCTTTGCGGACGCAGCAGACGAAGGCACCGATGTGCATGCTACGCCGTCGGGAAGCGCTCTGGGACGCGCATATACGGCACACGCTCTGAACAGCAAAAGTGCTGCTCCAGCTGCTAGTTCCTCGCAAGAAGCCTCGCCGCCGACTTCGCAGCCACTGCCAGCCAGCACGCTGCCCGCACCCGTGCCCAAAGGCCCAGCCGCCGAGCTGGCGGTGCCGCAGGTGCTGCAAGCGCCGTCGATGGTCATCCCGCAGCATGAGCTTGAGGCAGATGCGGCGCGAGCGGCAGATGCAGCGTATCGGCGAGGAGAGGGAAAGGGCGGCGCGCGGGCAGAGGAGGAAGAGGACGATGATGTGAACGGCTTCAGACAGACCGAGAGGGGCAGGGGCAAGAAGGTGAGGCGCCGGACAGAGCAGCAGCAGCGTGAGGGCATCTCACTGATGCCCGCTCTTGCTCTTGACAGCGGCAAAAGCGCATCGTCGATCCGGCGATGGAGCTGGATGCCGACTACGATCCCCGCACGCCCAATACCTACTCAGACTACATCGTTCTGCGCTCCAGTAGGCGGGCTGCGCGCTTTGCTCGCGAGCGTGCGATGCAGGGCTTGCCGATGGAGGTCGAGGCTGCTGCTGCGTCGGGCGATCGAGAGAGGAATGAACGCTTCGGTGAGTCGCGGACGGGCGCGTTTTGGCAGAGCGAAGCTCACGACGTGTTGCCGCACAGCTCGGTTCGCACCACCGCCAGGGCTGTACCCAGCTGCTGCTCCGCGACCGACGCCATTCGCAGGCATGAACATCGACGACAACGACGACAAGCCGTATCTCTCAATCACTCCGCCCACCTCTCCGCCTCGTCCAGCACCGTCCGCACTCTCGACTCCCGCCTCCGAGTATCCTCCGCCATCGACCGCGGCTCCGCCGAGAGCACTGACGGGCGACGAGGCGTACGCTCTGCGCGTAGCTCGCTCTCAGGCTGCACAAAGCGCTGCAGCTTCGAATAGCGGAGCACCAGAGCGGCCCGCTCTCGAGCGTGCTGCATCTGGACCGCCGCCGCCTGGTCCACCTCCTGGTCCGCCGCCAGGACCTCCGCCGCCACCGCCACCTGGGCTCGCGCTTGCCTCTTCTCCATCTATTGCAGCGCATTCGAGCAGCTCTGGCGACTTTGCAGCTCGCCAGGCTGCGGCAGCTGCGATTGCAGCACGTCTTGGCTCTGCGCAGGCCGCAGGTGCCAGTAGCGCAAACAGTGCGCTGGGCAAGACCGGACTCGTGTGGCAGCCTCCTGCTGCATCAGCCGACGCGGCGCCGCCGAAGCCTCGCGATCAGAAGGGCTTTGCGAAGCGCATGATGGAGGCGCAAGGCTGGGTTGCGGGCCAAGGTCTGGGCGCAGAGGGCAACAAGGGCATTTCGCAGCCGCTGATGGCGGCCAAGGCGAAGGATGGGCAGAGATGGAAGGGCAAGGAGGAGAGCACGAACACTAGCACTGCGGCGAGAGGCATGATCCTGAATCCCGAGGCGGCGGCGGCACGCAAGAAGGAGAGGGAACAGTATGGCGAAGTGAGTGACGCACGCTGCTCGTGCGATGCAGCAAGCTGATCTTGGTGCTGTCAGCCGAGCGTCGTGGTGCTGCTCGAGGACATGATCTCTCCCGAGGACGTCGACGACGATCTGCCTGGTGATGTCGGTCAGTAGTCGCTCTCTCCGCCTCTGCACAGCCATCGCTGACATGCAGCCTTGCTAGGCGACGAATGCGCGAAGCACGGCTTCGTGCAGCGCGTCGCCATCTGGCCCAGCGAGTCGGGCACCAAGGTCCGCATCTTTGTGCTCTTCTCCGGGCATGCGGGCGCTTATAGATGCGTCAAGGAACTCGATGGGTGCGTGCGAGGCGGCTGTGCCTGGCATGGAGCCATCCGCTGACGCCCGCCCACCTCTCACAGGCGCCTCTTCGGCGGCAGGACTGTCCGCGCGCGCTACTACCCTGAAGCAGCCTTCGCGAACGGCGAATACGAGCAGTAGCTGGCCTTCGTTCTGCTCATCGCCCGGCGGCACACGCTTGCATCATGATGCATGATCATGTAATTTATGACTTGGCAGTCACTGCCTCGCCAAAGCGAGCCGGCTTGTAGCCGAGCGTCCGCGAGGCCGAATCCGTCGGCAGAGCAAAGCCGACGGCCCAGCCGAACGCCGACTGCTGTTTCCTGCCCTCCGTCTGGAGCGACGTGATGAGCAGAGCCTGCGTCTCTTCCTCGTGCCCAGCGCCACACTTGACGACGATGCCGTGCTCCGTGATGAGAGCCTCGCCGACTGGCGTCGTCTCCTCGCGCATGACCTTCGGCATCTTGAGATGTGCAGGCCAGGCGGTGAACTCGTGCAGCTGCACTGACTTGCCGCGGAAGACGGTGTGCAGGGGAAAAAGGTAGGAGAACGCTCGTTGCCGCGCTAGCACGTCTGTGACTGAGGCACTCCAGTCGACGAGCGAGTGCTTGCGCTGCAGTTTGGGCGCGACGGAAGAGGGCCCGCTCTGCGGCTGAGCCTCGGCGCTGAGACGAGGCAGATCACCGAGCGTCTGAACGAGCAGGCCTGCTGCAGCATCTGCTAGCACCGCCTTTGTAGAGGTAAAGTCTGCGTCTGTGTCTGTCGTCACGGGCGTCTGGCACAGCAGTCGGCCAGTGTCGAACCTCTCGCCGAGCTCCTGGATGGACACTCCCGTCTGCTGTCGCCGAGCGATGGCCCACTGGATCGGCGCAGCTCCTCGCAGCAGCGGCAGGAGAGAAGGATGCACGTTGAGGCGGTGCCTTTCTGGCCATTGTGCCATCATGGAGGCCGGCAGCAGATGGCCGAACGACGCAGTGAGAAGGAGAGAAGAGGCGCTCGTGGGCGGGACTTCGAAGTCCTGCACACCGCCCGGCGGCAGTACGTGTACTGTCAGGCCGTGCTGCTCGGCTAGCTCGGCGACTGGCCGAGTCGGAAGGATGCGTTTGGCGCGAGTGGAAGGCCGAGGTGCTGGCGGTACGAGCACGGCGATGGAGGAGTACAGCGACGGCGTGGCGATCAGCCGAGCCAGGACCGTCGCAGCAAAGTCGTCGGTGCCGCAGAAGAGCACGTCGTACGGTGCTGGAGCGGCGGCTTCGGCGGCGTGGCTACTCGAAGCGCCAGCCGAAGCGTCTGTGCTGTAGCACTGGGCGCCGCACGGAGGCCGCCCGGAGGAGCCTGTGCGGGCGCGAAGCAAGGCTGGCTGCCGCCGCGAGCTCGCCTCGGCAGCGTCTGCGCGCACGCCTCGCACATCCGCGCCACGGCCGGCGCAGGCATGCGCTGCCGCTGCACTCGTCGATGCTGCGGGCTGGTGCGCAGCACGAGGCGCCTGTGCAGCCGGCGAGCTGCACTGTGCCGCCAGCGGCAGCGAGAGGCGGCCCGTCGCGAGCCTGGCCTTGCTGAGGCGCGTGCGATGCAGCAGCAAGCGCGGCAGGGCCGGCAGTGGCGCAGCGCTCATGGAGTGGCCGTTGTGAGGTGAGCGAGGTGCCAGCTGCGAGTGAGGCGGAGGGTGCTGGAGGTAGATGTGGACGGGAAGCACGAGGCAGAATGCGCCGTGGGCGGTGCGGAGAGGCGCGCCTTGAGCTTGCGGCCGACTTCCGAGGACAAGCGGCGCCTCCACCCGCCGGCGCGACGTCGCGCCGGCACGGCGCGCGCGCCTCTCAGGCGGGCTCGCCGCTTTCCTTCCCACATCCTCCTCCTCTCGCGCCGCGGCCATGTCCTCCGCGCCCTTCCAGCCCCGCGGTGCAGTTTCCGCACACGACCGCGAGCGGCGCCTCTCTGCCGCCTCGTCGGCCAGCACGAGCACCGCCTACAGCGCCGCGCCCGGCGACGTGCGCACGTGGGCACGGCGCAGGCGCGAGGAGGATGCGCTGTCCGAAGGCGACGCAGAGGAGGGCGACGAGGCCGATGAGGCGGCGCCACGGGCAGAGCAGGGCAGTGCGTGGGACCGCATCGCACGCTGGGCAGAGCCGACGCTCGAGGCTGCCGTGAGTGGAGAGACGGCCGGACAGCGGGCATGCCCGATCTGACTGGCGCCGCACAGCCCATCTCGTCGCTCTCGCACGAAGGGCGCTCACATCCGTGGCGGCTCGAGGCCGCGCTGATTCTGCGCTCGACGCTGCCGATCTGGGGCACGCACCTGCTCGAGATGTCCAACAACGCCGCCGGCATCGTCTCGATCGGCCATCTCGGCACCACCGAGCTCGCCGCGGCGGCGCTGAGCAACATGACGGCCAACGTGTCGGGCTTCGCGATGCTGGCCGGCTTCGTCGGCGCACTCGACACGGTGCTGCCGCCCGTCTACTCGTCGAATCCGCGCACGATGGGCATCTGGGCGCAGCGCATGATGCTTCTCATCGGCGTGCTGCTGCTGCCTGTGCTCGCCGTCTGGCTGAATACGGAGCGGCTGCTGCTGCTGCTTGGCCAAGACGCAGAGGTCAGCGCACTGGCGGGGCGGTACCTGCAAATACTCAGTCTCGGCCTGCCAGCTTACGCCGGCTTCGAAATTGCACGGCGCTACCTGCAGGCCGAGGGCTTCTTCTTCGCACCGACGCTCGTGCTGCTCGTCACGACGCCGCTCAACATTGCGCTGCAGATCATCCTCGTGCCGCGCATCGGCTTCATCGGCGCGCCCATCGCCATCGTCGCATTTCTCTGGGCCTCGCTGCTGCTCGGCGCGCTGCAGATCTGCTTCTTCAGCCGCGTCGAGTGGAGCGGCTGGAGCGCTGCTGCGTTCCGCGACCTGGGCCCGCTGGCTCGCATCGGTGCGGCTTCCAGCATCAGCGTCGGCTTAGAGTGGTGGTCCTGGGAAGTGAGTAGCTCAGCCTCGCAGATCTCATGCGTCTCTGCTCATCGCAGCATCCGAGCGCAGATCGTCGCGCTTCTGACGAGCCGCCTCGGCACCTTTGCCTTGGCAGCGCAGTCGGTGAGCACAGCATGCTGAAGCAGAAGACGCTCGCTGACGCCTCTGCAGATCCTACTCACCTCTAGCAATATTTCTTATCAGCTGGCATATGCCCTCAGCACCGGTGAGCAGCTTGACATGCAGCATTTTCCCACGTGCGCTGACCTTCGCTTCAGCCGCTGCTGTGCGCATCGGCAACCTGCTCGGCGCCTCACTGCCGCACGACGCGAAGCGAGCAGCCGAGACGAGTCTCTGGCTCTCGGTCCTCGCTGGCCTCTTCAACTCGCTCGTGTTCATCGCCCTGCGCGACACGTGGGGCTCGTTCTTCACGAGCGACGAGCGCACCGTCGCGCTCGTGCGGGACATTCTGCCGCTGCTCGCGCTCTTCCAGGTGCGTGCGAATCGCGTGCGTCTCGCTGTGCTCTGCTGACGCTTCGGGCGCAGGTCGCAGATGCCATCTGCGGCGTTGCCGGCGGTGTGCTGCGCGGCACGGGGCGCCAGAGCGCATCGGCTGCGCTGAACATGATCGCATACTAGTGAGTCCCTTCTCTTCTCCCTCTCCTCTCCTCGCGGTACGCGTCTGTGGCTCTCGGTCGTAGCAGGGGTATCATTGCACTGCGCGACACGTGGAGCTCCGGAGAAAGGCGCGCAGAGACGCACGGTGACATGCACGAGCTGCTCTAGAGCGCGGCGACGGCGAGCACGGCGGCTCCGACGGCGAGGCCAGCGCCGGCAGCGTTGGCCGAGAGGCCCATGGCGCCGTTCGGCCGACGCGTCGTCGTCGTCGAGGTGGCGTTCTGCGCCGCCGAGCTGAGCGCCGCCGTGGCCTGCGAGATGATGGCCTGGGCGGAGGGTCAGACCTGGCCGAAGGCGATCCCCACGACGGCTCTCACCTGGGCGGAGGCAGTACCAACGGCGCTCACGAGCGCCGGCTCCTGCGCCGCAATCACAGACGAGACGAGGCCGGGGTTGGCGCCGAGATACGAGGCAATGGCCGGGTTCTGCAGCGCGCTCGACGCCTGTGCGAGCACCTGCGACACGTCCTGGCCCGACAGGAGCTGCGCGATCTGCGAGGCGTCGGGCGTCGTCTGCTGGCGCCTGGCGACGGGCGCAGCGGTGGGCTGCGCGTCGAGCGCGACAGCCGAGCCGACGAAGGCAGCAGCGGCGGCGAAGAGGGCGAAGGAGAACTTCATGCTGAATGAGGGTGCGGAAGTGGGAGTGGAGACGCTGCGAGAGAGGAGCGAGATGATGGTCAAGTGTTGACAGGGTAGCGCGCCTCGCTCGGACTATCTCGGCGGCCCGAGGAATGTGGCTTTCCATGCACGTGACGCGCCACGCCGCTTCCGCGCCTCTCCTCTCCGCTCTGCTCCCCTCCTCTTTCCTCCTGCGCAGCTTGCTGACATGGCTGCCTCACTCCAGCGTCATTGGCATCCCAATAGGCCTCTTCTTGACGTTCGGCCCGATGCAAGCCGGCCTGCACGGTCTCTGGACGGGCCTCACAATCGCGCTCGCGTTCGGAGCGGCGATGTCCTTGGCGCTGATCAGTCGAACGAATTGGGACGCAGAAGTGGACAAGGCAGCGCGTCTCAGCGGCGAGCAAGCGCCACTTCTCGGGCCAGTCGGCGAGGCAGCTCGGACACGGACAGAGACAGGAGCGGCATGAAGCATTTACATTATTCCAGCAATCCTCCGTCCGTCCTTCCGTCTTGCTACTGCTCCCATGCGGCGCGGGCATATTGCGGATAGAGGTCCTGCGTCGTGAGGGCAGTGTAGTTTTTTGCGTCGCCGTTCGAGTAGACGTGCTCGCTCTGCATGCCGTTCAGCAAGCGCACGACCGAGGAGAGGATGAAGTCGACTGGGAGAGGCGGGCATCAGTCACTGAAGCTCGAGGCAGAGCGCAGGCTCGCAGGCGCAACTCACCGAAGATGACATCGACGAGCGCTGCGGCAGGCTGTCAGCTCGAGCAACTTCAGCACACTGCGAAGCACGTACTGTCAGGCTGTGCCGCCGTGCTGTTGCCCGTCAGCGGCGAGGCGACGTAGTCAGGCTGGCGAGCGTAGGGCAGTGCGACGTGCTGCAGTGGCGAGAGAGGATGAGCTGCTGCTGGCTAAGCCTCCGCTGATTTGAGGGCCCACTCACCTCCGTGTCGTCGCCGTCCGTGCCCATATCGTCCTTGGTGCTGTAGCCCAGCGTTCGCTGCTCATCGGCACGTCGGTCAAGTGCCTCGAGATCAGCCTGTGCTCGCTCGTACTGCTCTCGGCGCCAGTCATTGAAGATGTAGTCGACTTCGCCACGCGCATAGGCGGAGCGGGCCGCCGCAGAAGAAGAGCCCGACTCGCCGCTGCGGCGCGAGTTGGCTTGCGCCGTTGCGTCGCCGTTCAGCTTGCCGATGAGCTGAGAGGCGTACTTGTACGGCACGTCGCGCAGGAAGAGGAAGGCGTCGATGAAGGGCGACACGATGTACTGTGCGGCGCTGTGGTGAGGCGCCGGCCAAGCACGGTCGAACGACGCGCCGGCTCACCTGGTCGTCGTGCGAAAAAGGACCGGCATACACATCGAATCGCTGGCTGCCCGAGTTTGCAAGCACGAGGTTCGGCACGCCCTTTCGCTCAGGGTTGCTCGACGAGATGACCGTCGGAAGCACCTGCTGGCTCAGGAGGCGCAGAAGGCTACTCGGACTGTCTGGTGAGGTGCGGTCGAGGTAGTAGTCCTGGCACAAAGTACTGTCAGCGCAAGCCAGAGTTCGTACTGCCGTCTGGCACTGACTTGTGGAGCGGTGCCGTACACTGCAAGCGACATGAGTCAGCGGCGCTCTACCAATTCACCTGTCATGCCTCACCTTGAGTCAGGTTCCAGTCCTTTGCGACGCGACCCATCGCCGTCGTGATGTGGCGGCCAAGAGGCGTGTCGAGACGCTGCTCCGACAGGCCTGCGTGAAAAGCGTAGTTGCGACGGTTGGCGTCGATGTACGAGCGCGAGAAGGTCGTCTTTGGCGCTACGCCATTGTCGCCTCGCGTCAGATTGGCAGCCAGCCAGCCGATGGTCTCGAGGTACCTGCCGCTCTCGATGCCGACCGCAGCCTGGTCATAGACGACCGTGTCGCGAATGTGCGTGTGGCCGCCAGCGATGAAGATGGGCGTGTCGGGATGCAGCTTGCGGATCGGCGCCAGCACCGTGGGCCACTGGTCCTTGCGCACGGGCATGTGGCCGACGAGCAGGAAGAAGTCGGGCCGCTCCTGGATCGCCTCGCCGAACCACTGCTCCTGCACCATGCGTGCCGGATCCTGCACAGTCAGACCCGCAGCTGCGCCAGTGAAGTTGAAGAGCACGCCGAGCGACGTGACGCGGCGCCCGTGCTTGGTGCGGAACTTGACGAAGCGCTCGCCCATCGGCTCGGTGACGTTGGCACCCGTACCGTGCGGCGCGTAGGTGATGTTGACGTTGCTGCTGAGGTAGCGGCCGTGCTGCTGCGGACGGAAGTTCTGGAACGTGTCGAGCGCGTTGGCGTAGACGTAGAGCTCGTGGTTGCCCGGCGAGAGTGCGTCGTAGCGAACCATGCTGTGGAACTGGTTCGAGACGTGCCCGTCTGGGCCCTGGCCCGCCGGAAAGCCATCGCTGAGGCCCGCGCCGTCGTGCAAGTCGCCCGAGTCGACGAGCAGCAGATCGACGCCGCGGCGGTCGGCCTGGGCGCACATGTGCTGGACGAACGAGGCAAAGTCGCCCCAGTCGCCCGAGTAGTTGGGCTCGGGCTGCGAGGCCTTGAGGTGGCCCTGATACCAGCCGTGGATGTCCGTCGTGGCGAGGATCTGCACGTCGCCCCAGCGCAGCGGGCGCAGCAGACTGGCGCCGCCGCTGGGCTGCGTCGCCATGCGGTCGCTGCGCCGCGCCGGGGCGCCGTGGTCGACGCCGGGGCAGGCCGCAGCGGGGCCGAGCAGCGCCACGGCTGCTGCGGCCAGCTGCGAGATGCCTGACAGTCTCATGTTGCGGTGTGATGGGCGGATGCACACGACACGCCGGCGAGCCCGGCCTTTTGAGCTCGCGGCCGCGGCATCTTGACGCAAGCTCAAGGCGGCGGCCGCTCAGGTGCCGGCGGCTCGTGCGGCGGAGCGGTGCCTGACGGCGGCGGCGGCGCGGCGCTAGCGCTAGCGTCGCGGCTCGGCGGCGCCGGAGATTGAGGTGGACCAAGGCCAATTCGCCGATCCACCTGCACGTGCGCTTCCCACCACCTCCACCCCTCGCCCTGCACCGCAGCCGCTGCACAGAAGCACTGCTCGGCATGCCGGCATCGCCTTCTTCTCATGCGCCCGAGTCCGAGCTCGGCGCTGCAGATGTCGCCGCTGTAGCGCCGTCCGATGCTGCTCCGGCCAAGTCCAGCTCGCCGCCAGCCGCGCCAGCCACGTCCAGCTCGCAGGCACCGCAGTCGCCGCCAGCAGCAGCTGCATCGCAAGGCTCGCCAGCCACGTCTCCTGCGCCGGCAGATGTCACGGTCTCTGCAGCGGCCTCGCCAAAGCAGCCCTCACGCGGCGGCAAGGTGCCGACAGCGCCGCGAGCCATGCGCAAGCAGCAAGGCGCTGCTGGGCCGAGCACTTTGCAAAGCAGCAACGTCACACCTGCACAGAGCGCTGCCGCAGAGCCAGCTGCAGCTCCTGCTGACGGCAATGCCGCAGCGCTTGTGCCCGTCAGCGCTGAGCGGCCGAAGCAGCCATGTGAGTGGCACGCCGCACGCTCTCCCCCACGTCGCTGACTCTGCTGTGCAGCATACCTGAACCGCACACGCCACACGACCGGTGGGCCTGCGCACACCCGTCTGTCGCCCGAAGAGCTCGAGGCAAAGATGGCACGTGCTCGGCTGGCCAACGAGCAGATCATGCGGCGCCGCGAGGCCGTCGACGAGGACACGCGCGCCTACAGCGAGCGCACGAAGAAGGAGGACGAGCGGCGTCAGCAGGAGCGCGCCAGGGAGGAGGAAGCCAAGCGTGAAAAGAAGGCGCGCGAGGAAGAGGAGAGGAAGAATGCGCGAGAGAAGGAGGAGAGAGATCGAGCAAAGCTGGTGAGTGGCCCGAGCACTGCTTGCGAGAGAGCCGACTCGGCCGCTGATCACAGCCCCCTTCTGCTGCAGGCTGCCATTACCTCGGAGCGAGAGGCGAATGCAGCACGCAAGCTCGAGCGCTCCGGACGGCGCGACTGGGACGCCGAGAAGGCCGACGAGCTGTGGAAGACCAACTACAAGGCGTACGCGCATGCCGAGAGCAGCGAGGGCTACGGCTCGGGCGCGCGTGGCAGCGGTCGCGGCAGAGGCGATGGCCGAGGGCGTGGAGCAGACAGAGGCGGCCGAGGACGAGGCCGAGGAGCGGCGCCGCCTCAGGTGCCCGTGCAGCTCGCCAGCAAGACGGAGTTCCCGGCGCTGGGCAAGTAGTCGTCTCGACACACGCAAAAGGCGCCGGGCGAGCAGCAGCAGCGCCGTGGGCGTTTCTCTCTCTCTCTCAATGCGACAGTGAGATCTCATGTCAATGACGGCCATGCGCCTTGCGATGCGAGTGCAGCTGCCTCTGCGTCCATTGCCGTGGGTGCGGCCGAGGATGGCGGCTTCCAGTTCTGTGCAGCCCGCGTCAGCTTCGAGCTAGGCGAAGAGGCACGCGAGCGGGACTCACTACCCTGCGTCCCTCGTCGTACAGGTCCTCCATGACGTCGGCAAGCCGGCCGTCCTTCTCGAACGACTCGTACATGCGGTACAGCCGCAGCGCAGCGTATGCATCCTCGATCGAGTCGTGCCCCTCGAACGCACTGGTGCCCGACTGGATGTCCTGCTTGAGCAGGAACCAGCTGAGGAAGCGCAGCGAGAGCTTGCGCGGATGGCTGGCGCTGTGGTACAGGTCGACGGTGTCGATGACCTGCGCCTCGGGCACGTGGATGTCTGAAGATGACGCACAGAGGTGTCAGCTTCGCAGAATGCTTCGAGCGACCGGCACCACGCACTGATGATGCGGAAGTCCTTCTTCAGCCCGTGCCCGATGAAGATGCAGCCCATGTCGACGAGCAGGCGCAGCTTCTTGTACGCCACCTTGAGCGGCACGAGCGTGTGCTTCGACGTGGCGGGATCAAGGTCGCCCTCTGCGATGCGTGCGTCAGCTGGTGTCCTCGCTGTGAGAGCTCCGCGACTCACGCAAGATGCCGGAGAATTGCGTGAGATAGTCGACGACGGGCTCGCGCGTGTGGATGTGCTCGTCGATGAACGGCTTGCCCTCGTCTGGACCCTCGCCGCGCAGCACTGACACACGCGCCAGCGTGAGGCGGCTCGGGCGGATGACGGAGCGCGTGCCGTCTGACCGCACTTCCAGCTCCTCCTGCGCAGGGCGAACAGATCAGCAAGCTGTCGCGACGTCGGGCACGGCACAGACTGACCATACTCAAGGCCACAAACTCGGCATCAATGGCCACCAGTGTGCCTGGCTTCGGCAGCTCGCTCGCATCGAGAGGTGTGTGCCGGACGCGCGCAGGATCTCGGCTTCTGTGAGAGGCAGATGAGCATCGCCTCGGACGGCGACAGACACATGAGGACACACCTGGCGATCGAGATGTCCTGACATAGGATGCTCGTGTCCGGCTCGGCAGTCAGGTGGCTCAGGTCGAGGACCTCGCAGTCGATGCGCTCGAAGAAGAGCACGGCGGGGATCTGAAGCCAAGGGTCAGCGCAGAGTCAGAGACGAGGCCAGCAGCTCGGCTCACCTTCCACACGCCAGGCATGCCAAGCGCCTCATGCTCGGGTAGCGGCCGGACGAGGAAGTCGTTGAAGAGGTACCACTTGCGTTCTGCGCTGCCTCCGTTGTCCTCGCCCTCCGACGGCTCTTCCGGCACGCGCACGATCGTGCAGAGATGCGGCGCCTCCTTGTCTGCTTGAATCTGCACGACCATGGAGCGGAGCGCGTAGATAGCCGCGTCCGGAAAGGATGCGCGCTCCTCGTTGTCCCAGATGCCTCGTGCCCGCACGTCTTCGCCGTTGACGTCGAGCGCCAGCATCGGCGGCAAGAATGTTCGCCGCAGCTTGCCGCCGGAGGCAGCCGTGGCCGATGCCGACGCGCCAGGACCAACGCCGTCGAGCCAGAAGCCGAGGTGCTCGGCAGTGTGCACCGACGCATTGATGCTGAGCGCCTGCGGCAGCTGCGGCCGCTGCGGCAGCTCTCGCCGACTACGCATCAGCGCCGCCGGCGTGCCGCACGTGCGACAGTGGGACTTCGTCACGGTCTCGCGCACCAGCGAGGCTCGCAGGATGGAAGCAAAGTCCGACGGCGGCGGCGGCTCGTTCGACAAGGCCTGCAAAGAGGCAGTCAGTGTCTGCGCAACGGCAAGCCATCGCCACGTCTTACCTTGCGCGGGTATATCAAGTCGACGACGTGCGAGTTGCTCTCGCGATCTGCGGCGACTCCGCAGGACGAGCACGTCGTGCGTGTGCGCACCGAGTGGCCGAACAGCTTGGAGATAGGGCCCTGCGCTGGACTGAGCACGTTGCTCTGTCCGCCTCGCGAGCTCGCAGCTGCCGACGGCAGGATGGCCTCGAGGCTGATCGTGTCGAGGACGAAGCGGTTGAACGTCTGGATCAGGTTGCTGTACGCCGTGTCCGCGCTCGGCGAGTCCTCCTTGTCCATCAGGCCCAGCGAGGCGGCTAGAGATGCATGCCGCGTCAGCACGATTCCAGCTGCAGGCCCTCTGCGCACTCACCACGCTCTGACGTGCCGAGCGCCTTGAGGAAGTTGGTGGCCTGGCAGTTGGCGCCCTTTGCCGTCTCGAGCATGCGGAAGAGGAAGCCGGCCTCGCAGAGCAGGCAGTTCTCGCGCGAGCAGCCGGGTGCGCCGTCGAGGATGTGCGCCTTGGCGATGCGCCGCAGCGGCCCGAGGTAGTAGAGCGCCTGCAGATGTGCATTGGCGTACGAGTTCTGGATGTGCGTCTCGAGGCCTGAGTATGGCGTCTTATCTGGAGAAGAGAGACGATCAGCTGTGCTTCTGCGTGACGTGGGCTCCGTGACGACGCACTGTAGAAGCTGAGAGCGGCATGAAGCGTCAGATCGGCGTGCTTGCCGACGTCTCTCCTCGACACTCACCCAAAGTCAAAGTCCTCGATGCCGAAGCGGCTGTACTGGATCGTCTTGACGCCGTAGTAGCCCGGCATCGCCTGATCCCTTGCCTCTCCCGGGCTGAGCGGCGCCTCCGTCGCGTCATCCTCGATGCCGTTCGTGCCGCGCTTCATGGCCTCCTTCTCCTTCTCACTGCGGAACATCGGCACGCCAATACGCCTCCGCTCCTCGGGCGCACGAGAGCCAGAGAGACCAGCGGCCTTCATCGCGTTGCCGGCGCTGGCGCCGCCAGGACCTGCTCCACGAATGAGGCCACGCTTGCCGCGAAGATGCCGCGGCAGCGGCGCGTAAGAGACGCCTTCGACGGTGCGCATCGAGGAGAGCACCGTCGGGTCGATCTTACGCGGCGGATTGAACAGAGGCGAGGCGTCGGAGCAGTAGTGCTCGTATGGAATGGAAGAGAGCAGCGGCGAGGAGAAGTAGGGCATGCCGATGCTGGACAACGGGCTGCAGTGCGTGCGTCAGCGATGTACACACGCCGGTCGGACGAGCATACGCACGTGTCTGTGCTCCAGTTCACCGGCGCAGGCAGCTCGGGCACGTCAGGTGCCTCTGGCGCGCTGGCATGGAACGGAGTGAAGCGCAAGCCCGAGTTGGCAGCGTCGGGCGCGGACGACCACAGTCGCACCGAGCCGTCGGCCTCGCCGAACGCGATGTAGTCGGCCGACGGCGAGAAGGCCAGCGACGTGAGATAGCTCGACGTGTTGACCTGGCAGAACTGCCCTTCGCCAGGGTTGTTCACGTCGACGATCTGGAACTGGCCGCCGGGCGAGGCGACGACGACTGTCGTGCTGAGCTTGGGATGGATCGCCAGCAGCGCAGGACCGCCAGGCGCCGAAAAGGGAATGGGCACGAGAGCGCGCATGTTGCGCACGTCGTGCACCTTGACGTGCGGCTCGGGCACAGGATGTCCCAGGCTGCAGATGCCGTTCAGTGCGAGCTCCGGCAGAGTCTCGCGAGCACAACTCACCGCACAGTCCAGCCAGCGCTCCACAAGAGATTCCCATCGCCCTGCAGATCTATGAGGCCGCCCGGATGCGCATGCAGACGGTGCTCGACGTTGAGCGAGCGTGGATCGCGCAGCTGGATGTGGCCCGTCGTCGTGCCGCAGGCAACTAGCCGCGAGGTGCGCCGCACGTGGAGCAGAGGCGCGTCCGACGATGCCTGCGGGCCAGCGTGTCAGCTTGCCCTGGAGCCGCACTGTACTCGTGGAAGCTGCTCGCCATCTAGCATCTGTTCCGCGCCAGCCCGCGACACTCACCTTCCTGACCACGCCGCCGACGCTGGCGTTCAGCACGATGACGCTGTCCTCCTCCCGTGCGCCCTGGCCTTGCGGCCCCTGTGCTGCGTTCGAGCCGCATGCGATGATGTCGGACGACGACGAGAGGGGCGAGAAGGAGATGGACGAGAGCGAGAGCGTCGGGTGTGACGAGCTGCGAGAGGCGGGCGCTTGAGCACGGCGCACGAGCTGGACAGGCGGCCGACTGCGCCCTTCGAGGCGAGGCTACAGCTCTCGCAGGCCAGCTGGGCCGGCGCCGCTCAAACCAGCGCACGAGAGCAGGCACAGGCGAGCCGGCCTGCCGCCTCGTCGGCGCTGCGCTGCCTGCCTCTCCTCACGGGCCACTCACGCGATGCTGCAGCCCCACCTCGCCACGCCCCTCCGGTTGCCGGCGCGCACGCCTCGCTCGCCCACAGTAAAGACGTGGCGCTCGTCGGCGATGATGCCACGCACGCTCTCAGGGCGCGCACGGCTGCCGTGTGCGAGGCAGCTGGTGTAGCGCGCCAGGTGCGGGCCGTAGTGCGCGCCGAGCTGGCCGAGCGACGTGCCGGAGAAGAGCAGATCGGAGTAGGGGTCGAAGAGCAGCGAGGAGATGGGAATGCCGAGCGACGAGTTGGAGAGGAGCAGGTGCGACTGCTCGCTCCAGTGCGACATGCTGATGGCGCCGGCAGCTGTCTGGGGTGAGAAGCGACGGCCCGCGCGCTGGCTGACTGCGAGACAGGAGTAGAGTGGTGGTCGGAAAGCAGGTCGCGCGCGTGCATCGCGCGCGCCGCCGCGGCGACGTCAGATGCGAGCGCTCCGCCTTCGCGCGTCGCGCGCCGCTCGTCCAGGTCGTCGTCGAGACATCTCATGTGCACAGCGAAGCCACTTCAATTGCGAAAGAGAAGGGAGACACAGGAGTAGATGTAGGAGAGGAGGAGGAGAAGGCAAGAGAGGGAGACGAGAAGCCGACGAAAGACGTGCTACTGGTGGTTCGTCACCGTCATGGAATGAATGCCCGAGTACGACGTCGTGTTCTGGTGGTTGACCGTGACGTGCTTGCGCTGCTTGCCACCGCGAACACGGCGGCGAGCCTTGCGCTTTGCGAGCGTTGCTGCTGGCGCCGGCTGCTGCGGACGCTGGTACGGCGTCGGACGCTGCGGCTGTGCGTGCTGCGGCGTCGGACGCTGCGGCTGTGCGTGCTGCGGCGTCGGACGCTGCGGCTGTGCGTGCGCGGCGTCATCGAGCCATGCCGGGCGGGCAGGAAGGGGCTGCTGGAAGCGGCGACGATCGAGAGCCATGTCTGTCTGCGGGCAGCGTCAGTGTCAACAAGACAAGTTGCAGCGTGCATTCTGACTCACAGCGTGGCGGGCAGGAAGGGCGCGCTGCTGGAAGTGGCGACGATCGGGAGCCATGATGTCTGACTGCGGGCAGCGTCAGTGTCAATAAGACAAGCTGCAGCGTGCCTTCTGACTCACAGCGCGCGAGAGAGAGAGGGAGAGAAGGTCCTAAGCGTTGGCAGAGAGAGGAAGAGGAAGAGATGAGATGAGGGGGGCTCTTCGCTCTCGGAGCGGGGCGCTCTTATGTAGGCGACGTCGATGCGTGCGACGCAAGCGCCGCCGCCGCCGCCGCGCTGCCTGAGCGCTGCAGCAGCGCTTGCGTGGCACGTCGGCGCTCAGCAGCAGCACGCAGCGCTGCTGCTGAGCGCCGACGTCGATGCGTGCGACGCAAGCGCCGCCGCCGCCGCCGCGCTGCCTGAGCGCTGCAGCAGCGCTTGCGTCGCACGTCGGCGCTCAGCACCGCCAGCAGCGAGCGCTGCAGCAGCGCGCTTGATGAGTCATGGCGCAGGTGCAGTGTGGGTTGAGGGTGCTGCAAGGGGTACGGCAGGGTGCGCCGAGCGGCGAGAGATGCGCGATGGTGGATGGATGGGATGCCTGATGAGGAAGAGGATGCCTGATGAGGAAGAGAGGCTGCGCCGCGGCGGCGTTGCACGGCGACGAGGCGCGCGCGGCGCGCCAGATCGGGCAGCCGCACGCGTCGATCTGGCAGGTGGAGGCGCGCCGCGTTGGAGCGCGCGCTCGCACCACCACCACCCCGCCGCGCCCTCTCCTTCTCCTCCTCCTCCTCCTCCTTCTCCTCCGCCGCCGCCGCCGCCGCTCTCTCTCGCCATCGAACGTCACTCAACCTCAACGGCCGCACGTTGCTGCGCACACTAGCGACTGCGCCGCAGCGCCGCAATCTGCGCTGCTCTCGCCTCTGCGGCTGCGCCCTGCCGCCTGCGTCGCCGCTTCAGCTCCGCACCCGCAGCGGCACCACGCAGACGGCCGCGGCCGCCGCCCGAGCGCCGTCGTCGTCGGCATCGCGCGTCAGCATGGTGTGCGCCAAGTGCGAGAAGAAGGGCCTGGCCCGCGCTGCTGCACCCGACCCGTTCGTGCGTCGCTGTGCCTGCATGCTGTACAGCCGAGTGAGGTGCACCGCCTGGCCGGCGTCCTGCTCACGCGTGCCGCCTCGCAGCGCAACCGCAACGCGCAGGGCACCCTCGTCGCCTCGGGCTCCAAGGTCGGCGTCGCCTCGACGGGCCCGGCGCGCCCCGGCGCCTCGACGTCCGTCGGCAAGGCGCCGGGCACGACGAACAAGCTGCTCAGCGCAAAGGGCCGCTACGCACCCACGGCGCTCAAGTGCAAGACGTGCGGCAGCAACACGCAGCAGGACCGCGCCACGTACTGCCAGTGTGGGTGCAGCCAGAGACGGCTGGACGAGGCGTGAGGCGTGAGGCTGACGGCGCTGCACAGCATGCGCCTACAAGCGCGGCATCTGCGCCATCTGCGGCAAGATGGTCATGGACACCAAGGTGCGTCGCGGCGAGGCGCTCCACCCGTGCCGGCTCCCTCACCGCCGCTCGCAGATGCACAAGATGTCGTCGTGAGAGCCTGAAGATTCGCTCTTTGCAAGTCCAAGTCATGCATTCTGTGACACAGAACGGCGGCGAGAACGGACAGGTCCGCAGCGAGGCAGGGAGAGGGCTGGAGCGGAGACGGCGGGGCTGCTAGGGTGACAGAGAGAGGCACGGCGCGCGAGACAGAGAGTCGCTGCGGCAGAGAGGCGAGCAGCCTGCGCTGTCGCATCGACGGCGAGAAGGAGCCACGCTCAGGGCTCCGAGTGGTGGTTGTGCCGAGTCGATGTCGCTGGCGGTCCGCCAGCCTGCGGGTTGCGCTTCACCTGCTGCAGAAAGCCGGCCAGGCGAGCGAGATCGACGCCCATGCGGTCAGACTCGATGGCCGTGACGAGGTCGTCGAGGATCTGAGCACGAGCATGAGCAGCAGGCCTGCGCCCGTCGTCGAGCACACTCACATCCTCCACGTGGTCCTCGGGCACGTTGCAGCACATGGCCACGACCTTGCGGCACTGGCGCTGCTTGACGACGCTCTCGCCGTCGAGGCTGCCGATGCGCTCCTCGAGGCTGGCCGTGCTCTTCTCGTAGTAGCTCTTGAGCCAGCGCAGGCGCACGAGCTGCTCCTGCTCGTCCTTCGGCTCGCCGTCGAACGGCCAGCCAGAGGCGTCAGCCTGGTCCAGCTGCATCTCCTCGTCGAGGCTCGTGCGTGCCAGTGCGTCGCGCTCCTGGGCATGAGCATCGATGGCGCCAGACGGAGCAGGCGTGCCCCAGCCCATCTCGGCGTACAGCATGCGCCACAAGTTGTTGGTGCGCATGCCCGTCTCTTCGCGCACAGCAGCGTCGCGCTGCGCCTCGGCAGCCCGACGACGGCGAGCGCCGAGCTCGCGTGTTGCCGCCTGCAGGTGTGCTCGGACGACTTCCAGTGCCGCAGTCTTCTCCTGCAGCTCGTGAGCAGACAGCTCCGCCAGGTCGGCAAGCACCGTGCTCATCTCTGTGGCCAGACATCGTCAGTGACGCCGCGCAAAGACAGCGCACGGCGCAGCACTCACGCTGCTGCACGTCTGCGCTCTTCTGCACTGGCGCCGGCGGCACGCTCTTGAGCGCAGCGACGGCGTCGGCCGGGCGCTCCTTGGCCAGCTCCGACGTCTCCTCGCCCGCCTCGCCCTCGATGCCCCAGTCGCGAGGCCGAATGCCCAGCTGGTTGGCAATGTCTTTGCGAGCGCCGACTTCGAGAAGCATGCGTACCATGCTGCCATTGCCGCCGCGGGCGACGATGCCGAGTGCCGTCTCGCCGTCCTCGTCTTGCGCATCGACGAGAGAGGCGTAGCGTCCGCCTTCGACGCGGGTGAGGTGGTCCAGCACGCAAGCGAGGTAGTAGCGCGCAGAGGCCGCACGCTTCGGAAGCGCGCATATGAGCGCGATGTGGTGCAGGATCGTGCGCCGGCGGAAGTCGCGAGTGTGCAGCGTCGCACCCAGCAGATGCAGCAGCGCAGGGAAGACCGATGCCTCGTAGGCATTCGTCACGAGCACTGCTCGCTGCAGTGCCGTCTCGCCGGCGTGGTTGCCGGCATGCACGTCGGCCCCTCGCGGCGGAGCCTGCGAGAGGAGCAGCTCGACGAGCGGCAGACGAGCCAGCGCTGCTGCCCAGTGCAATGCAGTGTGGCCATGGTCGTCGATGACGACGTCTGCCGAGGCCTCGGGCAGCTCGCCGAGGAGCATCTCCAGCGCCTGCGATCCGGCTGGCACCGTCTGGCCGTCGACGAACAGCTCGGTCATGAGCTCGCGAGCGCGACGCTCGGGCTCCGAGTCGGACACGACGTGAGGCCGCGAGGCAAAGCGGCTGCCGTTGCCTAGGCCCGAGCTGTCTGGCGGACCAGGCCGCACGCGGCTCACGGGCCTGGCTCCACGCAGCGATGCCGACGGCGAGAAGCGGCCGAGCTGGTTGAGGTCCTTGACGGGCGACGGGCCTTGCGTGGACAGAGGTGCCTCGGCTGCGCTGCCGTCGTCGACGAGCTGCTTGGCGCGCTTGGCATCAGGCCCAGCGCGAGAGGGCGAGTCGTCGCGCGAGACGCTCGGAGCACGCCGCTTGTTGCTGCTGCCGTTGCTGGGCTGCGTCGGCGGCATGTGGCTGGTGTAGCCGGTGAGGTCCGGCAGCTGCACGCCGGCCGGCGTGTAGCCGTGGCTGGCGAAGGCCTCGAGTGCTGCCCTCGAGCGCGCATCAGTGCCGGCAGGCACGCCGGCCGGCACGACGTCGGATCGCGATGGGCTCATGTCGCTCATCGGTGGTGCACCCGGCGCCGGCGGACGCAGACTGAGGAAGCGTGGGCCTTGTGAAGGTGCACCGCCAGTGCCAGGTCCGAGCGGCGCCGGCGGCGAGCCGGCAGGCACAGGGCCTGGAGTAGAGGCCTTGGCTGCCAGCTGTGCGGCGCCCGGACCAGTGCGGTAGTACATGCTGGCAGCAGGTGCGTTGGGGTTCGGCCGGCGGCGCGGGCCGGCGAGCGGCACCTGCGCCGTCGGATCAAGCTCGAGCAGCGGCAGCAGGAAGTGCGTCACGTTGAACTGAGCGCTGAGAGCCTGGGCACGCGCGAGCGGAATCCTGAGAGCAAGTGTAAGCGTCGTGCGAGCCGAGACGCGCCAGCCCGCGCCCAACCCCACAGGTGCCGCTCCGACGCAAGCCAGACGCACGGGCACGCCGACGCTGCATGCTAGTCGTAGCAGCGCATCTTTCTACTCACCATGTGCCCTGGTACTTGCCGTACCCGCCCTGCACCTTCTCGTGCTCGCCCGTGAGGATCTCGCGCTCGAGGATCTTCGTGCGGCGCGCCTTTTCGACGCCGGCGATCTTGAGGATCTGCGTGGCGTTGAGGAAGCCGTCGGCACGGCGGCGCATGCAGGCGATGCCGCGCACGGTGAGCTCGTAGACGGGCACGTTGCTGTACGTCGCCAGGTACACGGTGGCGGCCGGGCGTGCCGGCGGCGAGGCGACGTCGGCGGACGGCGGCGGCGCAGCGTGCGGGTGGCTCGGCGGCGCAGCGTGCGGGTGGCCCGGCGGCGCAGCGAGCGGCGCCGAGGGGTGCGGCGGGCCGCGATGCTGCGCCGCGGACGAGGACGAGGCGTAGGATGCGCCGGGATAGCCCTGCATCGGCGGCAGCGGCGCGGCCGCGTAGCGAGGCGACGGCGCAAAGGCCGAGCCGGGCGGCCCGGAGACGGGCACGCCGGCGCCGCTGCCGCCGCCGCTGCCGGGCGTGCGTGCCGGCGCGGGATACATGGCGCGCATGGCGAGCGTGAGGTGTGAGAGTGGGCGAGGCTGCCGAGGGTGAGCAGAGGCGGAGCAGGCGTGGTGAGGAGCGGGAAGCAGGGAGCGAGGCGAAGCGCCGCCGCGCCCGCCCGCGCCGGCCGCCGAGCAGCGCCCGACCTCGACGCGCACCCGGCGCAGCGCTGCCGCGACGCGTGGCCGAGACCGACACCGACGCGTCTCGCCGCAGCCGCCAGGCCCGCCTTCCCGCCGCAGGCCAGCGGCGAGCAGCCCGCAGAGCACGCACACGCCATGGTGCCGTCACATCAGGTGGAGCAGCGAGGGCATGGAGACGATGCATTCGCCGAAGCGGCAGAAGCTGCACACAAGGTGCCTCAACACTCAGCGCAAGCCGGCTAGTACATGGGGCGGCATCCGGCCGTCGAGCAGCCCTGGACATCGACAGGCGCTTGACAGGCTGCTGTGAAGCAGCTGGCGAGACGGAGCGGGACGTGGCAAGTGGATGCACTCGTCGTGCACGCCGAGAGCTGGGAAAGATCGTTGAGGCTCGTCGCGCGGCTCGCGAGCTCTGGCGTTGCGCAATTTCTCGCTGGCCGGCCTCGCACGCTGCACCGCCTCTCGACGAGCTCGTCCAGGCCAGCCACATGGTGTCTGTAGGGTCGCATCTCGCCTTGTCGTGTGTCGCAGCTCGCACCTGCGGCTCGAGCGCTGCGCCAGCGGTGCATGTGCTCCTGCGCGCAGTCAGAGTCGGCACGGGGATGTCGAGCGATGGCAGCGAGCGTGCTCTTAAGTGAGACGCGGCCTGCTGCTGCTGTTGCCGGCGCTGTGCAGCGGGAAGCCAGGCGCGCCCGGCTTCGCCGTCCAGCCTGCGGCCAGAAGTCGAGTCCTGCAGCGGCATGCGGGAAGCTGTGCTGGCTTCGCTGCCCGATGCCGCGGCCGAGTTTCCGGGCACCGTCCCTAAGGCGGGCCGAGCATCGCGAATCTGGCTTGTGGAGCGCCAGACGCTTTTACGCCCATCCACGATTTCCTGCGCAGACGTTGCGCTGCTGCAACTCATCACTCACCTTGCGCACCGCCGGCGCAGCTCGCAGCTGCCCAGAGCGACACAGCGTTCTCCTCGACGTCGCTTCATCGACTCTTGCTCATCGCTGTGCCTCTCCTTCTCGCTGCTCGCAGCAGGTGCCGCAGGTGCGGCGCGGCAGCGAGGGCAATGCTGCACGAGCGAGACGAGCGCCGCGCCCGCGCGTGCTGCATTCGCGAGCGATGTGCGCGACGCAGCAAGGCAGCGCCATGTCTTCTCTCGAGCCTGTGGTACAAGCATCAGCAGACACAGATCTGGCCTTGGGGAGCATCAGAGCCGAGCGTGACCCTCTGAGCAGCCGACGACGGCGACGGATGCTGCTCTTTGGGCGCAGTGCGAGCGCAGTGCATCCGGCACGCTCGACAGCGCTCTGCGGCACAGCAGAGGTCACAATGGGGCTGGCATTTTGCTGCAGCTACCTGGCTGGCGACGCCGACAGCATGCCGGGTGAAGCGTGCAGCCTGAACGTCGCAGCGAGCGTGCTGCGCAGAAGCGGACGAGGAGCGTGGTGGGCGAGAGGAGGGCGCCGCGAGAGGCGCCCGATTCCCACGCACGTCGCGTCGCGTGGCTGTGCCGCCGCGGCGCGTCCCGCGGGATTTTTTGGCAGCGGGCGCGCCTCGAGGGCGCACCGGCGAGGGCGCGACAAGGCATAAAGCCTGCCGCGCTCGCTCGCTCGCCCACCTTTCCATCCACCACTCCCTCGCGCCGCCCGCCCACCCATCCACCCGCCATCCACCGCCATCCGCCCGCCTCTCGCCCTCCTGCGCCGCCCAGAGTGCGCCCGAGCACGCCTGCGCACCGCCGGCGAGTCGCTGCGCCGCCCGCGCGCACTTGCGGCGATGCCTCGTCGCCATCGGCCAGCGCTGGGCGCCGGCGCGCTGCCGCTGCCGCCGCTCGACGGCGGGTAGCGCCAGCTGCGCAACGCATCCACCCCTGAGTGGATGCATCCGACCTCATCAAGCACAGCGCAGTGCCGTGGCGCTCACGACACGCGCCCTGCGCGTCGTCGCGCGGCGCTCGGCACCGACGCGCCCGCGCCAGCGCCTCTGCGCCTCGGCTGGCGCGACCAAACCGATGCATCCACCTCTGCACGCATGCTCCTGACCTCGCTCGTCACGCACATGTCCGTGTCGCCGCGCTCGCGGCTCGCGCCACGTCGTCGTCGTCGTCGGACAGGACCAGCGCCCAACGCGCGCACGGTGCCGCCTCTGAGCGTCGACTCGACTGGCGATAGCAGAGCGAGGCATCCACCCACGAGTGGATGCGCCCGACCTCGCTCGTCACGTACAAGTCGAGGTCGCAGCGCTCGCCTCGCGCGTCACGTCGTCGGCATCGCGGTGTCCGCCGACGCGCCTCTTCAATGCCATGGCTGCTCCGAGCCTGTGCTCTACAGCGTCGGCTGCTCTACGGTCCAAGCCTGGCGCTCGCGGAGGCGCTGTGCGACTTCTCTCTCGCCCGCTCGCGGCTCGCCGCTCGAGCTCCTCCTTTCCTTCTCCCTCCTCTCTGCCTCCTCTTCTCTCTTCCACAGTCATCGCTATCCACAGCGTACACTTAGGTGCTCTTCAACTGCAGCGCAAAGACTGCCTCGCTGCGCCAAGAGTGCTTCACCCTGTGTGACTGAGAGCTGCAAGTGAGCCGCCGCAGAGACGCGCAAGCGCAGCGGCCAGATTGCGCCGCTCTCGAGCAGCCGAGCGCACCGCCCGCCGTCGCCTCGCGCGGCCTCGCCTCGGGCGCCGGAGCTGAGCACCGCAGACCTTCAAGCTTCTTCGCCTCCAGTCTTCTCTCCTCTTGTCTCTGCAGCAGCCGCAGCAGCAACGAGAGCAGCGCAGTGACGCCAGCCTCGAGCAGCAAGAGGGCAGCTCGCCGCGACCCGCCTCGACGTGTGCGCACGCGCAACTGCGCCGCACCGTCGTCACCCCCTCCATCTTTCCGAGATGTGTGGTGCTGGCATGCACGCTGCTTCTTCGGAGGTTGAGGCGGGTCGTGTCACTTCAGTGATCGACGGGCACCAGAGTCGCCCGCTAGCGTCCGGCGTACGGACAGCATGTTCAGCGCGCTGCATGACGCACGCGACGGTGCTGCCGGCACTCCCCTCGCTACGGCTTGGGCAGGCCGAGCAGCACGACGCTTGCCGTGCGGCGCCTCCGGCCCTTCATAACACCCCACCACCTTGAGGGCAATGATGCGCTTGCCGCTCCGTCCGAGACGCTGATGCGACTGTCGCTCCGTCCTTCTTCAGCAGCGCTTGAGGGCTTACAGCCGTCAAGCGGTGCGCCCGCTTGGTGCTCCGAGTTCGCTGATGCGCTCGCGCTCCGACACGCTGATGCACCTACGCTCCGGAGAGGCCGCTGTTCCCACACGCCACGCGAGCAGACACGGCGCGGCGCGCGCTGCGCCCGCAGCATGGCAGGCGCATCGCCGCTGCGCCCCGCGGCGGCGGCGCGGCTGCCCGATCTCGTCGCGTCCGCCCAACTTGGCAAGAGAGCAAGCGGCCGCCGCTGCCTCATCAGGCACATCCATCCACCACCATCCACCACACGTCACTCGCCTCGCCTTCTTCGCACGCTGCCGCACCCCCTGCAGCACCCTCAACCCACGCTGCACTCGACTCGCCACCTCAGCAGGCAGCCTGCCTGCTGCAGCAGCCGCAGCCGATGCCGCGCGCCGTCGGCGGCGCAGCCTCGGCGCCCGACGGCCGCCGCCGCGGCACCGGCCGTGCTGCCGCTCTCTGAGCGCTTCCCGCCGAGCGCCGGCGTGGCGCCGATGTCGGCACCTCTTTGCCGCCGCCTTGCGGCACCGGCAGGCGGAATCGCTGCGTGCTGCGCTCTGCATGCTGTGCGGGCTCAGAGCGGCAGCCGCTCAGGCTTCGATACCGCACTGTCCGCTGCCTCTGAGGCCTGCAGCGCGCTGGGCCGCGGCCAATGTCAAGCTCGACAAACACGCTCTCGCCATCAAAAGGCGACTCGCAACGCCCTCGCTTCTTTCTTCATCTCTCTCTCTCTCTCTATCTCTGCGTCTCCTCTCTGCGTCTCCCTCTCTCACGTGTCCTCCATCCGTCCTCGCCCACGACTTCACCCACGCCTCATTCACGAACCCCACCATACAATAGACATGCGCCGCTTCACTCCGCCGACCTACGCTGCCGTCTTGGCCGCGCCGCGTGTCCGTGCTGCTGCCGGCACCTCGACCGCAGTTGCGCCCGCCGTCAAGACGGAGGAGCGCAATGAGGCCGACACGGTCTTTGCCGAGCTCGAGCAGAAGCTCGCCGCGCGTCGCTCGGTGCCCTGCGCCCTTGACAGCGTCGACGCCAGCACCTCGACCGCACTTGCGCCCGCCGTCAAGATGGAGGAGCGCAATGAGGCCGACACGGTCTTTGCCGAGCTCGAGCAGAAGCTCGCCGTGCGCCGCCGCCGCCGCGTGGCCAAGCTTCCAACACGCTCCGCCGTCGACGCCGCGCCGCCGCGCTCTCTCGAGCCCGCTGCTGCGACGGCATCGCACGCCACCAACGACGTGCCGACACGCTCCGCCGTCGACGCCGTGCCGCCGCGCTCTGTCGAGCCCGCTGCTGCGACGGCATCGCAGGCCACCAACGACGTGCCGACACGCTCCGCCGTCGACGCCGCGCCGCCGTGCTCTCTCGAGCCCGCTGCTGCGACGGCATCGCACGCCATCAACGACGTGCTGATGCGCTCCGCCGTCGACGATGTGCCGCCGCGCTCTCTCGTGGTGAGCACCCTCAACGCAATGCTTGTTGCACGGCGCGACAGAGAAGCGCAAAGCGGCCATGAACGAGGCGGACTCGCGCCGCGGCGGCAGGCGCCACCAGCGCGCACTTCATGCCGTCACTGCCTCGTCGTCTGCCGCCACTGCCTCGTCGTCTGCCGCCGCTGCCTCGTCGTTTGCGGCAACAGCGGCCATGGACTCGCGCCGCGGCGGTGAGCGCCACCAGCGCGCACAGCGTACCGCCGCTGCCTCGTCGTCTGCCGCCAGTCCGCCGGCATCGCCTGCGGCAACGGCGGCCATGGACTCGCGCCGCGGCGGTGAGCGCCACCAGCGCGCACAGCGTGCCGCCGCTGCCTCGTCGTCCGCCGCCACTCCGCCGGCATCGCCCGCGGCAACGGCAACGCCGCCATTCGTGACCCCCGCCACCTCGCCGCACAGCGCGTCGGCGTCGTCGTCGTCCACTGGCAGCGGCGCGGTGCACATCGGCTCTAGCGTCGGCACCGTCGGCAGCATTGGAGGAACGCACTACCACATGAGCAAGAGCGAGCCCGCTTCGCAAGCTCGTCAGCTTCTCGCTACGCAGCGGCAGCTTTCGGCCGCCGTCAAGTTCGTGCACGCTCTACGCCGTCCTTCCCCTTAGTCATTACCTTAGTGTCCATGACGATGATGCCGCTCTGGCTCCGTTATTCAATGACGATGATGCGACTGTCGCTCCGTCCTTCTTACGCAGTGCTCCCTTGGTGCTCCGACTTTGCTGATGCGCTCGTCGCTCCGAGTTCGCTGATGCACCTATGCTCCGACTTCGCTGATGCGCTCGCGCTCCGAGGTCGCTGATGCACCTACGCTCCGGGGCTCGATGATGCGCTCGCCGCTCCGACACGCTGATGCACCTACGCTCCGGGGCTCGATGATGCGCTCGCCGCTCCGACACGCTGATGCACCTACGCTCCGACTCCGCTGATGCGCTCGCGCTCCGAGTTCGCTGATGCACCTACGGCGCTCCGGGGTTCGCTGATGCGCCTCCGCTCCGAGTCGCTGATGCGCTTGCGCTCCGACACGCTGATGCGCTCGCGCTCCGACACGCTGATGCGCCTCCGCTCCGAGTCGCTGATGCGCTTGCGCTCCGACACGCTGATGCGTCACTCACCGCAGCCAGGTATTCATCTGTCCGCCTCACAGGACATCGACAGTGCGTAAAGATGGCATTGCGCGAACTTAACCCTCTCTCAGCCAGCACACGCGAGCGCCGCCGCGTTCAGTCAACGTCCATGCCCGTCGCAGCACCCTTGCCCTTGCCCTGCCTCGACCGCTTGCGCTTCGCCGACGCAGTGTCGAGCATGGCGCTGCCGAGAGAGTGGAAGTCAGCGCGCTGAGTTCACGGTGAGCGATGCCTCCGAGAGCGAGTAGCGCCATCGGGCTGACGGTGCTGCACAGATGGATCGACGACGAGCTGCCAAGGCGGCGAGCTCTGCCCGCTCTCCTCGCAGCCTGCCCGACCGCCTCGACGAGCCAAGCATCCTTCGATGCCGCCTGCAGCACCGCATCTGGCGCCGCACGAGGCAGACCAGATGCGGTGCTGCTCCACTAACCCCTCCGCAGGGTACGTACGCTGCTGCCGTCCGCCGTGCGCACAGAGCTGACTCACACATCTGACATGGCTGCGCCTGCTGGTCCCTTCTTCGCCTTGCCCTTGCCTCTTGCGGCCGGCACGCCGAGCTGCGACTGTGGCGCCTTCTGCTCCGCGAGGCGCAGCGCCAGCGGCAGCGCGCCGATGCGGCTGCTGAGCGAGCCTGCTTGGGCCTGCGGGCCCTTGCCGTTGCTCGGTGCCGATGCTGCGCCCTTCGTCGAGCCCTTGCCGCCAGCAGCAGGCTTTGCAGCGGCAGCAGCGGCCGCCTTGTCGCGAGCCTGCCGCTTCTGCAGCGCACGCAGCTCGGCGGCGGTGAGGAGCCGCGAGGAGAGCGAGGCGACAGGCACGGGCACGCCGCCGCCGGGCGCCTTGATCTTGCCCTGCGGCTGCGCTGCCTTCGATGTCTTCGCCTGCGCTTGCTGCTGCTGCTGCTGGCCTTGCGCCTGACGCTTCGGCAGCGCTGCCTGCACCGCCTTGGCCGCCTCGAGCGGCTGCACGATGGCTGCGCCGCTGGCGACACGCGGAGCAGGAGCGTCGGAGCGCGAGACGCCGGCGGCGTTCAGCAGTCGTGCTGGACCAGAGACGACGGGTCCGTGCGCCAGCGAGACGGAGATCACCCGGCCATCGGCGACGACACGGTCCATCGACTGGATCGACGCCAGTGCTGCCTCGCGCGTGCTGAAGGCGACGTTGAATGACATGGATGGATGGTTCGGCGACGGAGGCTCGCGACGCTGTCGAGAGTGTGTGAGATGTGTGCGAGGCGTGATCGAGGCGTGCGGCGCACCTTGATCTCTGCGATCTCGCCGAACTGCTTGAACGTCTCCTGCGAAGCGGTGCGACGGTGATCAGCAGAAGAACGCAGATAGTACGGACGCTCGCGAGACGACGCTGCTGATATCTGGAGCATCCGATATGATGCCTGAACGCAGCGAGTAGGCATGCGCACGCACATCTCCCAGCGCAGTGCGCGTCTAGCAGAGCAGCTCGCACGCCCCACACTCACCTCAATGTCCTCCGCACTCGTGCCCAGCATCAGGTTGCCGACGATAACCCACGTCGGCCCGCTGGCGCCGCGAATGGTGAGCGTCGCCGGCGGCCAGGGCGAGGGAGCAGCCTGCTGCGGCTCCGCTGTCGGTGCATGCGAGTCAGCTAGAGGCGGCGACGCCGAGCGGCAGACACGGTGCGGCGCAGGGCGGGCGCATCTCTTCGGCATAGCCGAGCGGCAAGCGCTGCAGTGCTGTGCATCGCGTGGCTCCGCTCGCCTTGCGCATGCTTGGCCGCTGCGGCGAGGCGGCACTCACGCTCGTGGCTGAACGTGTCCTCCTCCCAGGCATCGCGCGAGGCCATGCGGCTGCCCGAGCCCGACGCCGAGCGATTCGGACCTGCCGGACGCTGTGTGTGTGCAGCAAAGAGAGAGATGCGGCAGAGGTCAGCAGACGGGCGGAGCAGCGCTGCGTGGCCAGCCACGGCGGCTGAGCAGCACGCACGGCATAGGGCGCGGCGCGGGCGCCGGAGGAGATGCGGCCGGCGGGACGGCGAGACATGGCGGCGAGCGTGGAGGCAGGCGGGCCGTGGAGTGCGCGAGTGTGTGCTGTGGAGCGGTGGAGCGCGCCTGCTGCTGAGAAGAACAAGTGAGGACGGGGTTGGTTGACGTGCGGCAAGAGCGTGCGGCGCCGGCTTCTGCTGCTGCTGCTGGACACGCGGCGCCGCCTTCGCGTGGGCGGCGGCCTCTCTCCTTCCCGCCGCTTCCCGCCTCTGCGAGCTTCGGCAGTGCTGCGCTGCTGCTGCCGGAGCTGCGCCTCTGCATATGTGCAGAAGGGGTGACGCAGCACTATCCGTGGCCGATAGCCTGCTCCCAGCACCGTCTCGCTGCTGCTCGCTGCCGCACGGGCGCTGGCGCGAGAAGGCGGGCAGAGGAGGCGGAGCGACGCGATTCGGGAGCTGCGGGCGCAGGCGGTGCGGCGGCGGCGCGCGATGAGGATGCCGCCTCGACATGCAGCCCAGCCGGAGCGTGCCGGAGCCTCTGCCTCTGCTCCACCACCATCCGCAGCACGGCGCCTGCCTCTCTCCTCGCAGCACTCCGCCGGCCCCGGCTGCCGAGGCGATGCAGACGCCGCCGCAGCCGCTGCCTGTCCCCTCGCTGCGCCACGGCGCTGCAGCCTATGCGCCCGGCCTTGCCGGCGCTGCGTCGCGCAGCTCCAGCCGCTCCCGGCTGCCGGCCACGTCGTCGGCGCCGCCCACGCGTGCCAGCTCCGCACACTCGCTCTCCTCGCTCGCATCGCTCTCGGCCCTCTCGCTCTCGCGGCCCTCGGCGCACCGCTTCCCTGTCGTGGCCTCGCCGCCGCGCACGGGGCGCAGCAGCTCAGAGGCCGAGACGGAGACCGACGGCCGCGAGACGACCGACGGCGAGAGCACGAGTGCCGACGAGACGGAGAACGAGTGGCCCGCCGCGCACGACTCGAGCGCAGAGAGCGCGCCCGGCAGTGCAAGCAGCGGCCGCGGCGCCTCCGACGACGATGGCACACGCCGTCTGCGCGGCGACGACGCCGCACACTCGGCGGCGCCGTCGCAGGCCGTCGGCCTGACGCTGGCCGGGCTGCCGGCGTACGACGAGAGCGAGGCCGACGACGACAGTCCGCCGTCGTTCGATGCCGGCGTGCGCCGACGGGCCTCGCGCACGCTCGGCAGCAACTACGCCTCGGCCTTTGCGTCGCTGGCAACGGCCGGCGCCTCCTCCTCCTCAAGCACTCCAGGAGGCACGAGCCCGACGACGCCGCGAGTCTCTTCGCCGCACCTGCGTCCACGTGGCCCGTCACGCACCGGCTCCAGCAGCTCGATTCGCTCCATCTCGTACTTTGCCCTGACGCCTGCGGTCACAGCCAGCGGCTCGGGCTTGGGCAGCAACACGCCGCAGGCCTCGTCCTCCGCCGTGCCGGCGCGTGCTCCACGTGCAAGGGCACGCACGGCCAACTCGTCGCCGCTGCTGCCAGCGACACATCTGGCGCCTCTGTCTACGCCGGCTGCATCCTCCGAGGAGCAGAGAGGCGACAGTGGCTCTGCTGCGTCACCGGGCTCTCGGAGAGCCTCGCGTGCGCGAGCCCGCTCGTGGGTGGAAGATGCAGGGCTAGCATTCACCCGGACGACACAGTCACGCAGTCCGTTGGAGCTAGCGGTGTCATCGCATGCTGCCGGGCCCGGCGATTCAGCACCTCTGCCGCCAATGCTGGCGCGTCGCCGTGCGCGAGCCGCCAGTGCAGCCTCGCAGAGCTCCTTGGCAGCGCTTGGCCGGATAGCTCCGGGACGTGCAAGCCTGGCAGACGGCTCTGAAACAAGGGCGAGCTCGTCTCGTCCTGGCGGCTTTGGCCGTGCCGGATCCAGCAGCGGCACGCTCTCCACTCCGCATTCTCCGGTGCACCACCGACCGCCATCACTTTCGCCTCCCCACACTCGCGACTCGGCTCTCCCCGAGTTCGCCTGGCTTGCTGCATCTGTGGCTGCCGGGCTGACCCGGCCCGCCTCAGCCGCGCGCACACGCGACGGCGCTGGCTTTGAGACAGAGGCCGAGGCAGATGCTCTTGGCCTCGGCTTGAACATGGGCGACAATCCAGCGCAGCGAGGTGCACGCCTCTCGCGAGGCGACTACTTCACCAGCGTGCCATCCTTGCGACGCGGCATGACCAATCCTAACTCGGACCTGTCCGACTTGCCGCCGCCGTACTCGCCGTCGCGGCCGCCGAGCCCGCCACGAGCAGACGTGAACATCGAGCGTGGCAGTCGCACGGCGCCGGCGAGCCCGAGATCAGGGCTGAGGCACGCAGACGCTCCGAATTTGCGCTGGCGGCCAGCGCAGAGCAGCCAAAGGGTGAGTAGTACTGCCGACGAGGCTTCACCGCAGCGCTGACGCCCTGTCCGTCCTCTCTTCGGTCAGCCTCCGAGTGCACTCTTGCCTCCGCCGACGTTGGGCACAGACCTGATGGACGCTGGCGCTCCGACAGCATGGGTCATGCGACGCATGCTGCATCCTCTTCGCCTTCTTGCCGCTGTTCCCGGATGCATTGGAGCGTTCTGGCTGCTGCGCAACGCCGCAATCTGCCTGCTGCATGGCGCACTGCTGTGCTCGCGCTCGCCGGACGGAGTGCGCCTGCCTGGCGCGCTCGAGTTCGTCATGTGCAGCCTTTGGGTGAGTGGCTTCGTGCGAGCAGGCAAGACAGCTCGCTGATCGTCCTTCACCACAGAGCGTCAGCACTGCCTACCATGCGCTCTCCTTCACGACCCTGCTGCTGCGGCGGTGGCTCGCCTACTACGCACTGCTCTCGTCGGTGATCCGCCTCGTCGCGCTGCAGGCCATCTGCTGGCCTCTAGTGCGCCTCACGCTGCACATCTGCGGCCCGAGCAATCCTGCCGCGGCGTGGGTCGTCATCGGCACAACGACGGCCATCAGCGACACTGTTGCACGCTGGGTGACACTGAACATCGCCGATGCGCCCGACGAGGCTGGCGGCAACGGCGCTCGTGCGGCCAAGCGGCGGCACGAGCCTGGCAGGCGCTTCTGGCGCGCGATCATGGGAGCGCCTCAGGCAGATCGCCGCACCGCACGACGCGGCTGGGAGGCAGATGCGACGATCGCAGAGCACAGCGATGTCGGCGAGACCGATGCGGTCACCGAGGCCGAGACGGACACGCAGTCTCCGCGCTCCCGCTCGTACCGCCGACGAACGCGCGACCCATCGAGCCGCAGCGACGCCGCCACGTCCAGAGAGGAGGAGCCGGGACGCGTCTTTCACTGGGACGTCACGATGCGCAGGAATGTGCTGCCCGTGGCGTGTCTTGGCTATGCTACAATGCTTGTTCTGCTCGCCGACTCAATGCGATGATACCCGCGGCCAGCCGCACCTCGTTCCCTTCACCAGTCTGCGCCGAACGCTTCGGCTGGCACGTCCAGATGCTCCCACAGATCCGCATCGGAATCTTGCGCTCCGCTTGCGCTCTCTTCGAGCCCGTGCGTCGCCGTCCAGAGTGCCTCTTCATCCTCGAGATCGCGCGGCGCCGCAGTCAGTGCCTCGCGCGCACGCTTGCGCTCCTCGTACGCCAGCTGCGCTTCCTGCGCTTTGGCGCTGAGCCACTCGCAGCCCTCTTCGTACTCGCACATGCGGCAGCGATACACCTCGCCAGGTCCCACGCCGCGAGGCTCGCGTGCGCCCGACCAGAGTGCCAGTACTGAGCGTAGATGCGCATCGAGCGCAGCCGGAGCGAATGTGAAGCGCACGATGCCGATGAGAGGCGCTGCTTCGCGCGCTGGGGCAGACGAGAATGGCGATGGACGAGCTTGACCAACATGCTCCTGGCTGCTTGCTGCGTCTCTCCGCTCCGCTGCAGGTGCGAAGATGGCTTCCACCTCGAGCTGCGACTCGCTCGCCGCTGGGCCGTCTACTACTCTGCTCGTCGCCTGAGGCGACGCTGCGCTGATGTGTTCGGTGCTCTGCGACTGGATGCCGGAGACTGCGCTCTGACTGCCTCGTGCAGCACTCCGCTGAGACGGTGTGCTGAGCGGCACGGCGTCCGCTTCGATGCGTGCATCTTCGTCTCGAGCGACCGTCGCGTCCTCTTGCAGCTGGATGCTCAGCTGCAGCGCCAAGGCCAGATCAGCGCGCTCTTGCGCGGCTTCTGCGTCATCGCTGAGAAGCGCATCCTGCTCCTCGACGCCGGCGGATGCCTCGCGGACGGCCGGCGGGAACGACAGCATGGACTGCTCCAATCGTGTCGCCGTCTTCGTGACTGCCTTGGTCGATCTTGTCGAGCCTCGCTTTCCGCCGCGTGCTCGTCTCGAGAACGCGCCATCCTTCGACCTGGGCTCTTCGCTTTCACGTAGCTTGCGCTTGCGGAAGCGGCCAGCCGAGGCTTGCAGGCGGTACTGCAGCTCGAGCTCAGCCTGAAAAGCGCCTCGTTCGCGCTTGCGAGCCCCATCAGCGACCGAGTCGCTCTGCGCTGCCTGCTCTAGCAGCTCTTCGACCGTCTCTGCGAAGAGCCGCGCAACGTCCTCGAGTGTGCAGCTGCGAGACACCTTCTCGACCTCCGAGTCGTCCGATCCGTGATCGGAGGCGGGAGAGTGCTGTCGAGGACTCGGCGGACGCGAGCCAGGCGGCGAGGGTGTAGGTCGATGTTCTGCCGCTGGCGATGCACCTACGAGGCCTTCTCTCGAGCTAGCGTCGCCCGACTCCGCGTGTGAGGGCGACAGCTCACGCAGAAGCTGCAAATCATAGCTTTCGCAGAGCGCCTCGGCATCCGCAGCGAAGGCGGACGACAGACGAGCTTTGGCGTCCAGGTCGAGCGCTGCGAAGAGCATCGCAGGCGAAAGCTCGGTGGCATGCGGATCAAGCACGGGCTCGCTCGGCTCGCCACTCGGACCTTCGCTGGCTGAACCTTCGCGTGCCACGTATGGAAGAACGAGGCCGTCGAGCAGTCGCTTGTACAGCGCGACCTGCATGCGCGCGCTCTGCTGCGCGTCTTCGTACGGGATGGAGTTCGAGAGCCGAGTCTTGGTGTCTGCAGGCGCGGGGCTCAGCAAGCAGCGATGCATCTGGCATGTGTGTACGTACCCGAAATGTAGAAGCCGAAGCGCTTTGCAGGTGCCTGTGATTGCTTCTCTGCTTGGCTGCTTCGCTTCACTTGCGAGAGAGGCGGCGCACCTTCGGCCGCTGCCTTGTCCTTCCCTGCAGATGCGCCGCCAAAGAAGCTCGCGAGACTTGGCTGTGCCTTGCCCGGCGACTTGTCCGTCGCAGCACGGCGCGCAGACTGACGCCGCCACTCGTCCTGCGACGCCCACTTCTTCGTTGGCGAGGACGTGTTCGATGATGCTGACCGCTTGGCCTGCTGGCTCGGACCTGCGGCGTCTCGGCTTGGCAGCGCAGGCAGCTCACGCCGGATTACCTCGTCAATCACGCCCATCACGAGGCGGCCCTCGACGAAGCCAAAGACGGGCAGCTCCCGCTGTCGTAGGCGCAGCATCAGCACACGGCACTGATCCCCGAGCCTGCTAGAACGCACCACGCAGCCGCCGTCCAGCAGCGAGCGCAGGCCAGTGATCAAGCGAAGATATCGCAGGGCCCAGGCGTCTTCGCGAGTGCGCGTGCGAACGCGCACGGTCACTGGATGGAGCTCCTCCTCGAGCTTCTTGTGCACTTTCTGATCGAGCAGGGTCAGAAAGGAAGCTCGTTGGGCTTGTCCTGTGCAGCACGCACTCTGCCCTCGTCCATCGTGCGCTCGCGCTCGACGGCGATCTTCACGTTGGGCTGGATGACTGCGCCGAGCGGCGTGCGAATCGTGCTCGGCCGTGCTTCGACGGGAAGGTGTCTACCCAGGCGTAATCAGCTGCGCTCGCTGCTGAGCATCGAGCGGCACGCACGAGAGGCCGATGATGTTGTACAGCGTCTTGACCTCGCAGTACGCCGGCCCGACCAGGTCCGAGACGCTGAACTGCCTCTGGCGTGTGAGCAATGTGGTGCGCTGCGTGCTGCGCTGCAGCACTCACGTAGCCCTTGCGCTCGGCATGCTCCTTGAGGTCGGCCGGAGGCGCGAGGCCAGAGTCCCAGCGGCTCTTGCTCCCAGCCGTGCGAGAATGCCGAGGTGCGCCTGCGTCCAGCAGTGCTGCGGTGCTCTGCGCTGCGTTCTGCAGCACCACGCTTGAGCTCGAGCTTTCCTGGCTGAGCAGCTCGATGGGCCGGCTGCTGCTGCCCGATGCGCCGCTCTGCTCAACGAGGCCCATGGCGCAGCCGAGCCGTGCCTGAGCGCCGAGCCAGGAGACCGATGCCGGTGTCGGATACAGGGGCTGCGCCTCTGCTCTGCTCCGTGCTTCTGTGCTTGAGATGGTGGTGCGGAAGAGAGAGAGACACACGGCCGGCGCGCTTGTGGAGGCGGCGCGCGGCTCCGCTGCATGCTCAGGACAGGGAACGGCGGCGCTGCGCGCGCACGACGCGCAGCAGCAAGCAGCCTCGAGCGCTTCGCTCCGCCCCACACGCATCCCAGCTCCCGCCTCACCCTCGCCGCCGCAGCCATGGGCAAGCGCTCCGGCACGTCAAAGTTCCCCGTCGCGCGCATCAAGAAGATCATGCAGTCCAACGAGGAGGTCGGCAAGGTCGCACAGGCCACGCCCGTGCTCATCTGTGCGTGCCGGCGCGGCCCGCCGTGTGCCCGTCCCAGCGGCACGGCGCTGACGCGTGCTCCCACCTGCAGCCAAGGCGCTGGAGCTCTTCATGGCAGAGCTCATCGATGCAACGGTGAAGGAGGCAAAGGCAAAGGGCGCGAAGCGTGTCGCGCCGCACCATCTGTGAGTCGCCCGGCTTGGGCTTGGCCGAGGCGCAGGGGATGCGAGACAGGCATGGACGTCAGCACCTTGCTGTAGAGCTGTGCTGTGCAGCGGGCATCGCAGGTCCGCGCTTCTTGGTGCAGCGTCGGCTAGCTGCAGTGGCCGATGCAGTCGTGCGTGCGACGTGCGACGTGCGCCGGCGTCTCGCGAGCAGACGAGTCGCGCACTGCAGGCGAGGCCACGGGCGGAGCTGCTGCGAAAGGGGCCTCGGCATCGACGCTCCTGAACGCATGCTGTCTGCCTCTCTCACGCTCAGAGTACCTCTGACCCTCTCCTCGCCCATCTCCTCGTCCACAGGAAGCGCGCCGTGCACAAGAGCGAGACGCTCGACTTCTGCAAGGCAATCGTCGGCGAGCTCGACGAGGGCCTGGAGGAGGACAAGGCCAAGGACGAGGGCGCCGCACGCGGCGGCAAGCGCCGCAAGGTCGCTACCGCTGCGGCCGACGCTTAGACGGTCGCTGAGTCCATCTCGCACGTCTCTTTCGCTTCGTCTTGCCCATCGCCAGCAAGCCACGCTCGCCCGCGAGCCATGCCGAGCGTCGCCGAGCTCGACGAAGCCGTCCACGTCCCTCTCTCGCTCTCTCGCACCTCACCGCACGCACTGTACTCTAGCAAGCTATCGCCGTCACGCCGCTCTCTATCACTTCTTGTCTAGCCTGCGCTACCTTTCGGCCTCAGCTCGAGCAGAGCAGGTATGCATGGCGACGTGGATGCTGCTGCTGCAGAGGGTCATCGAAGGACGGGCTGAACGGCCGCTCCGCCCTGTATGGGCACGCAGCGCTTCATCAGCGCGCGGCCTGCGGCGGCCCGCAGACACGAGCACCACGCGCCTCCGCCGCCGAGGGTCCGGGCGGCTTGAGCCGTGGTACCTGAGAGTGAGAGCCGCTTGATGCCGCTCCGCGAGCAGCGGTGGTCCAGTCTGGCTTCTGCTCGGGCGCTGCTGCTTGAAGGGCGGAGCACGCCAGAGGCAGCGTTCTCGCTGCGCAGCCTCACAGGTGCAGCCGCAGCTCGAGCAGCACCTGCACGGCAGCGGCCGCACGTCAGAACCTCGCTCTACTCAGCGGCTCGTTCTCAGCCCAGGTGAAGCGGCAGTCGAGTGTGATCGCGCAAGGCGAAGGACCAGCCTCCGCAGATGCAGCAGCAGCGAGGCAGAGCAGCAGCGAAGCTCAGAAGCAGTCAGGCGCTGCCGACACGCTTGCACAGCGTCAGGAGCCGTGCCGCCGCCGCTACGAGCTCGCGGCCCTCGCTCTGGCGGGACGACACGGCACGCGCGGGCAGAGACAGCCGCGCGCGCGCCTGCTGTCAGTAGAGTGCACGACGGCGCCGCTCGGCTGCCTCGGGCTGCAAGCACAGACACCCACACCCTGTCTCCCTCCACCATCATCCCTGCAGCCCTCTCTTCCGCTGCTCTCAGCCTTCTCCGCTCGACGCCTTCTGCCGCTGCCCAAACGCTCGCCTTGACGTCTTGTCTTCGCCTGCCCAGCCTCGTCCTCGCCCGGCACGCCAGGTCAGCGAGCGCTCGCGACCTACCTCCTTCGCCTCCTACTCGAGCTCTGAGCTGGCAGAAGCTCGTCAGCTCTTCGTCTGATACGTCGGCTCATGTTCGGCAGCGCAGCCTGTCGCTTCTTCGTCGTGAGTCAGAGCAGTGCGGACAGTACGCAGCAGCACACTGACGCCGCCTGCTTCCCGAATCAGCATCGTCGAGCCACTGCATCAACTCCGTCGTCAACTCGTCAGTGCCACTCTCGTAGAAACTTGGCAGCAGCGGCAGTAGCTCGGGCGCAGTCACAGTGTGCCAGCTTTCGGCGCTTCTACGCCTCGTCGCCGCCACGTAGTCCGACGCTCGGCAGCTCAAGACGCCCGTCGTCGGCAGCGAGACCAGCTCGGCATCGTCTGGCACCAGCACTGCATCGCCGCTCGCTGCGTGACTGTCTGAGCTTCCGCAATCTGTAGTCAGTCAGCTGCAGCTTCGCAGTCTGTCCGGCCAAGTATAGTCCTCGGCTTCGCACTTGGCGCCTTTGCACTCGTTCGTCGGTCCGCGTCCATCTCCACACAGCAGCAATGTCTGCCCTCCTCGAGGATCTCAAGGCTGCTACTGCGCTCAAGGACGTAGTGCTGCCAGCGGCGGCGGCAGAGTCGTCATCTGCGGGTGAGGCAGTCATGGCGGACCAGGTTGGCTCGTCGTCGTCGTCGGCGGCCAAGCCCGGTAGTGACATCGCTGCCGAGCTCGACGCCCAGCTCTCGACGAGCATCGATCTGCTGCTGAAGGAGTACAATGAAGTGCTCGCCACCCGCGGCTGTCCCCAGGCCGCGCTGTGGATGCAATCCTTCGCCACGGCCTTCTCGAGTCTGCGCAGCTTTGGCGACGACGTCGTCAAGCTCGTCAAGTTCAGCGCAGACTTCTACGTCGAGGGCGCTGTCACGCTCGAGGCCGCAGCGGCGCAGTTTCCATCGGAGCGCGCAGAGTCGATTCCGGCCGTTGTGCGTGAGCTGCGTCGTCTCGCAGGACGCAGCACCTTGCAGGAGCCAGCGCCGCCCGAGCACCCTGCCTGGGCTCCCACGTGAGTAGTCTTGCTGCCCTGCATCTTCTCTCGCTGACATCTGTCCTGATCGCAGTGAGAAGGGACGCCGACTGCGCGCCGCGCTCGCCGCTCAGCCTCCCCGTGGAGAGCCGTCGCCATACGCTATCTGTCCTGAAGACGACTCGGATGGCGAGGAGTAGGAAGGTGAAGCTGTGAGATGATGGGCAAGGGCAGAAGCAGAAGAAGAAGTCAAGGAGAAGGAGCATGGAGAGAGGACGTGAGGCTGCACCTGCGGCAGTGCTGCATTGTGCCGGCTGCCGTGCTAGCGTTGAGAACGACGAAGTGAAGGAGGTGGGACAGCGACGCATCAGAGCATGGGCAAGCAATTCATCGTGTCGACTCAATGCTGCAGCTGAGCGTCGCGAGACTGCACAGAGATACTACTGGCGTGCTTCTCGCGTAGCTGCGTGCGTCGTGCTGGGGAGCCTCGAGGTCTCGCTCGCGTTTGCATAGCCTGGTCTGGCCATCGGCGAGCAGAACGACGTCACGGTCTCCTGACCGTCTTGCTGTTCTTGCTCTCGGCTCTCAACTTCACTCTGCTTCTCAACATCCTCTCCATATGAGACCGGCGGCGTCTTGAACGATTATCGTCTGGCCACTCAAGGCATCGAAATGCCTTCGAGACGAGCCATATGTCCCCACTTGCTCTCTTGCTCCAGGCTGTGGCAGAGCAGCTCGGGTTGAACGCGATGTCGCTGCAGGCAGTCAGGCGAGAGCGAGGCACAAGGCATCAGCAAGGCTGCAGGGAGCAGCAACTGAGATGGCGACGGCCAATGCTCGAATGGAATGAAGCGGTGCGATGAACCGCTGCAGACAAGGCCGAGAGGGCAGGAGGATGGAGACGCGAGTAGAGGCAGAGGCAGGCAGTGCGGAGGCGCGGCGTCTATAGCGTGGGAGCGATTCAGCCGCGGCAGGCGCGGTCACGTGAGCTGGCAGCAGCGCGGCGCGACGCGCCTGCACATCCACCCCCCTCCTGTCCCCCTCGTTGCTGGTCGATCAGTGATGCATTTTAGATGGCTGAAAAGCACGGAAAAGTATGCCGGAACACATTCAGCTCAACGACCGCCCTGGGCGAGTGCCTTCTGGACACTTCGGCGCAGACGGAGCGACGAACGGCGGTAGTCGTCAGCCGAGGCGTCCTCGAGCTCGAGCAGCTCGAGCGCCTTGGCGAGCTCCTGCTCGACGGCGACCTTCTGGGCGCGCTTGAAGGTGGCGGCGGGGCTGGAGATGGTGCCCTCGACGCTGTGGACGTAGGCCTCGAGCTCGTTCTTGGCGTCGTGGCGCGCGGCGAACTCCTTGTCGGACTGCTTGAACGACTCGGAGTCCTTGATCATCTGCTCGATCTCGTTGGACGAGAGGCGGCCGACGGAGTTGGTGATGGTGATGTTGGCCTTGCGGCCGGCGGTGCGCTCCTCGGCGGTGACCTTGAGCAGGCCGTTGGCGTCGACCTCGAACGTGCAGATGAGCTCGGCCTGGCCCTTGGGCATCGGCGGCACACCCGTCAGCTCGAACTCGCCGAGCAGGCGGTTCTCCTTGCACTGCGTGCGCTCGCCCTCGTACACGGGGAACGTCACCGTCGTCTGGTTGTCCTCGACGGTGCAGAACGTGCGCGTCTTGTTCGTCGGGATGGGCGTGTTGCGCGGCACGACGACGCCGAACACGTCGCCCTGCATGGCCACACCGAGCGAGAGCGGGGCGACGTCGAGCAGCAGCAGGTCGGCCGTCTTGTCGCTCGTCTGGTTCGTCAGCACGGCGGCCTGGACCGCGGCGCCGTAGGCGACAGCCTCGTCGGGGTTGATGCTCTTGTTGAGCTGGCGTCCGCCGAAGAACTCCGACACGAGCGACTGGATCTTGGGGATACGCGTGGAGCCGCCGACCAGCACAATGTCGTCGACCTTGTCGGCCGCCATCTTGGCGTCCTTGAGCACCTTGGCCACCGGGTCGATCGTGCCCTTGAACGCGGCAGCGTTGATCTCCTCGAAGCGGGCGCGCGTGATGTTGGCCTGGAAGTCGATGCCCTGTGGTGCGAGATGCGTGAGCGAGAGTTTGGAAGGACACGCGAAAACGGATCGGAGATGACACGCAAAGGCGGCGCAGTACGCTCCAACTCACGTTGAAGAGCGAGTCGACCTCGACGGTCGTCTGCGTCACGCTGGACAGGGTGCGCTTGGCACGCTCGCAGGCGCTCCGCAGGCGGCGCGTGGCACGGGCGTCGTCGGAGATGTCGACCTTGTTCTTGCGCTCGAACTCCTTCTTAAAGTGGTCGAGCAGCGAGTTGTCAAAGTCCTCGCCACCCAGGTGCGTGTCACCGGCCGTCGCCTTGACGGCGAACACACCGCCGGTGATGTTGAGGAGCGAGACATCGAAGGTGCCTCCTCCGAGGTCGAAGATGAGGACGTTCTTCTCCGTCGACGACCTGCACGAGCGCGCGTCAGTGCGATGCAGGAGGCGGAGGCGCGGAGAAAGCTACTCACTTGGAGTCGAGACCGTAGGCGATGGCGGCAGCGGTGGGCTCGTTGATGATGCGGAGCACGTCGAGGCCAGCGATGGCACCTGGGCAGCAGCAGTCGCGTCAGCACGACTCGAGGCTATGCGAGGCCACGGCTGCTCCGCGTGCAGGACTGGCGCACGAAAGAGCGCTCATGAGAGTGAATCTCGGTGTCTTCACGGCCGAGCGAAAGGAAGCGACACATCCAAGCTTGCGCCCGCCGTGCCGCTCCCACTCCGCACGACCTTCAGGATTAGCATGGAAAGATTTGTGTAATCCCTGCACTCTCTCGGCGTCGCCGGTCGCCGTCCACAGCACGCGCCCTGCCACCTCAAGATGCCTCGCCCAGCACTCACCGGCGTCCTTCGTGGCGAGACGCTGCGAGTCGTTGAAGTAGGCCGGGACCGTGACGACGGCCTTCTTGACCTCCTTGCCGATCTTGGCCTCGGCGATCTCCTTCATCTTGGTGAGGACCATCGAGGAGATCTCCTGCGGGGAGAACTGCTTCTGCTCGCCCATGTACTCGACCTGCGGCGGGAAGACAGTGAGCACGGTGCTGCTTTGCGCACGGACAAGCTGCTCACCTGGATGAACGGCGAGCCGTCCTTGTCGATGACCGTGAAGGGCCAGTGGGACATGTCCTTCTTCACGTCGGGGTCGTCAAAGCGACGGCCGATGAGGCGCTTGGCGTCGAAGACTGACGAGAGCGAGAGCGCGAATCAGAAGAGGTCTCGACGAGGCGGAGTGTGCCGGAGCATGCCAAGCCGGCAGCTACTCGCTGGCTGACGGTGCCCAGCGCTGTGTTCAAGCACGTGCAGTACTCGCGCAAACGAGAGACATAGCATAGGCCATGATCTGACCCTCCGGTGGTCTCCCATTCGTACCCCTCCTGTCTCCCGCTTCGACGACTCACCAGTCTGGCGCGGGTTCATGGCGGCCTGGTTCTTGGCAGCATCGCCGATCAGACGCTCGCTCTCAGTGAAAGCGACGTACGAGGGCGTGGTTCGGTTGCCCTCTGCAAGACGAAGAGAAGTCGTGTGAGAGACGCCCAAGCCGCAGAGTCTTCGCGACACTCACGGTCGTTGGCGATGATCTCAACGCGCTCGTTGACCCACCAGCCGACGCAGGAGTAGGTGGTACCAAGGTCTGCACGGCGCGAGCACACGTCAGCAAGCTGTCGCAGTGTCTTCCGCAGTTGCAAGTGGCTCACCAATGCCGATGGCGCCCTGCAAAAGCCGGCGAGAGAGGGAAAGAATGTGGCGTCAGCGGCCTGCCGTGGCGCCGAGCGGTTGCAGCGCTGCGGCGAGCAGAATGATTTCTGCACGGTGCGACGCACCTGGTAGACGTCGTCGGAGCCGGCAGCGGGGATCTCGGCAGACATGATGGGCGAGATAGGATGGATGAGGGGGAGGATGGGGTGAGAGGAGAGGTGCAGGCGTGGATGCTCGGCCTGCCGCCGCCGCGCCGCGCTGCCCGCCGCGCTGCCCGCCGCGCGCCGCCGTGTGGCCACTCGCCAGCGCCTCCGCGAAGAAGAAACGACGCCGGCACAGGCGCCGCTGCACGGCAGCACAGCGCCTGCCTGCACGCAAAGGCCGGCGCAGGCGCAGAGCACGCCGCGCGACCTCTCCGTGCTGCCTCGAGCCTTGCCGTCCGAGCCAGCCAGCCATCGCACACCAGGGCTGTCCAGACCTGCACGGCCTCCTTCTCTGAGCTTACCTCGCCCGTCTGCGCTCACGTCCAGGCGCCTGGCCGGTGCACAAGCTGCCTGCGAGAGGGCTCCGCCGCCGGCGCTGCCACTCCGTGAGCCGCAGCCGGGCTGGGAGCGCAGGCGCGGCGCGAAGAAATTTACGTCGGCGCAGAGCGGCCGATTGGGCACTGCGAGCGCGACGGCGAGCATGTGCGTCTGGCTGAACATCGTGGAGCGTGGGAGCCAAGAGCTCGTCGTCTTCGCTGCTGCACCGGCCGCCTCGTCCTCGCCTCTCCACACCCTCACCTGCGCCGCCATGGCGTCGACGCTCGCCTCCTCCTCGGCACGCCCGCTGCTGCGCCTCTCGCGCGCCGCGGCGCCGGTGCGTGCGGCCGGCATCAGCACCTCGCAGGCCGCCGCATCGCAGCCCAGCGGCATCGCCATCGGCAGCGCAGGCGGCGCCGCCAGTGCGCCGCCGCCGTTTGCACAGGCACAGCCTATGAGCGACATTGAGCGCCGCAGGAATGAGCGCCGGGCACAGCTCGAGAGCATGACGGAGGAGCAGCGGCATCTGGCGCAGCAGAAGCTGCGCAAGCGTGTCGGTGAGTCTGCTCGGGCCCATGCGTGATGGTCTGCCTCGGCTTTTGTAGCTTGCAGTGGGCGTGGAGGAGTCCTTGTCTCCATTGAGCTGCAGGCGTGCAGCTTGCCTCGCGGACAGCTGCGTCCAGTCTGGCGCTGTGACCGGCGCTCAGACTGTGCGCAGCCGCACAGGCCAAGCAGTGACGCGATGGAGGCCCTGTCCGCTCCAACCGCGAGATGAGTTGTCTGAACGCCTTGCCTCCTCTTTAGTGGCCGATCTTGCATCTATGGGCTCGACGCAAACGCGCGATTCGGCCTGGCGACCGCACCAAGCAAGGCTCTCGCCCGTCGCGGCAAAAGATCTGACCGTGTCACATCTCCTCGCCGCGACGGCTCACGTCGGCCACAACGTCTCTTCGCTCTCTCGCGCAGCCACGCAGCTGGTGTACGGCGTGCGACACGGCGTGGCGTACATCGACCTGGAGCGCGTCACGCTGCCGGCGCTGCGACGTGCAGCCAGCGTCGTGCGCGAAGTCGTCCGGCGCGACGGCGTCGTGCTGATCTGTGGCACTGCGCCGGGCACGCAGGCTGCCGTGCTGGCTGCTGTGCGCCGGCTGGGCCCGAACGGCTTCCACGTCACAAAGGAGCGCTGGCTCCCGGGCGTGCTGAGCAACGCACCCAAGCTGCTTGCGCGTGCCACGCTGAGCGGCATGGAGACGTACACGGCCCAGATGCGCCAGCGGCGTGGCCGGCCGAGCGACGACGGCCCTCGCGGCCGCGCTCCGCCGCCGGACCCGGACATGGCGCAGATCGCGACGCAGGAGCTGCAGCCCGACGTGCTCATCGTGCTGAACCCCAAGGCCAACATGCACGCCATCCGCGAGGCGACGGCGCGCGGCATCATCACGATTGCCGTGACGGACACGGACGTGGACCCGCGCATCGCCACGTACCCGATTCCGGCCAACGACGAGAGCGTGCGCACGGCTGAGCTCATCGTCGGCGTGCTCAGCAAGGCTGGGCAGGACGGCGCAAAGGATCGTGTGCTCGTGCTTGAGCAGGAGGCCAAGCAGAAGCCAAAGGAGGTGCGGCGGCGGATCCGGCCCGAGCAGTAGAGCAACACGTGCATTGTGCGGACAGTGACGAGTGATGATAATACATACATGACGAGCAGCAGGACAGCAGGAAGGAGATGAAGCGGGAATGTATGGGACAGGACGTGATCAGGCACCCCACTCGCCGGCGCTGGCGAGCTTCGCGAACGCGCCACCTCGGCGCTTGATGAGCGTGTCGTAGTGGCCCTGCTCGACGACGCGGCCGCCCTCGAGTACGAGGATGCGGTCGCAGCGCTGCATGAGCTGCAGCTTGTGCGTGACGACGAGCGTGGTGCGGTGCTTGGAGCGCTCCTCGAGCAGTGCACGCGCGACTGCGTCTTGCGTCGACGGGTCAAGCGCGCTGGTGCACTCGTCGAGGATTAGGATGGGAGCGTCGCGGCGCATCAGCGCCCGTGCGATCGCCAGGCGCTGAGCCTGGCCGCCAGAGAGCAGACTGGCGTTCTCGCCGAGCGACGTGTCGTAGCCGGAAGGCAGCTTCTCGACGAAGTCGGCGGCGCAGGCCTCCCGTGCCGCCAGCTCCACCTCGAGGCGCGGGGCCGGGACGTCGCCCGTGCCGACGTTCGCAGCGCCGTACGCGATATTGTCGGCGACGCTCATGTCGAACAGATTCGGGTGCTGGCTCACGACGGCGAGCCGCTCGCGCAAGAAGTTCACGTCGATGTCGTGCAGCGCGTGTCCGTCGAGGAGGATCTGGCCACTGGCCGGCTCGTACAGCCGCTGCAGGAGCGCTGCAATCGTGGACTTGCCGCTGCCGCTGCCGCCCACCAGCGCGACCCGCTCGCCGATGCCAATGTTGAACGACGTGCTCTGCAGCACCGTCACGTCGGGCCGCAGCGGGTAGGCGAACGACACATTCTCGAACGAGAGGCCTCCGAAGACGGCCGGTGTGGCAGCGCCAGGCGTCTCACTCGTCGCGTCGGGCAGGCTGACGAGGTAGTTGAGGTCCGTCGCAGCCTGCACCGACTTGGAGATGCCCGGCAGGTACGCCATGACCTGGCCGGCGAAAGTGATTGCGAAGATGATCAGGTTGAACGTGACGACCATGCGCTCAAAGTCGTACGTGCCGCTGATGATGAGGCGTGCGCCGACGTAGTACATCAGCGCCTCGGCCGAGTACGTCAGGCCCTCGCCGAGGCCGAAGCCGAAGCCCGACACGGGTGCGGCGCGGAGGGCGCAGCGCTCGGCATCGGCCACGGCATCGGCAAAGTTGGCGCCGAAGACGGGCTCGAGCGCCATGGAGCGGATGCCGCGCGCGTTGGCGACCATGTCGTAGAAGCGCTTCGCCACGGCCTCGCGCTTGGCCTTGTTGCGGATCTCGTGCTTCGTCACGACGCGCGACTGCAGCGCCATGGCGACGACGAAGATCGGCGCAAAGGCCAGGCCGACCAGCGTCAGCTGCCAGCCGATCGCCATCGCCCAGATCAAGCCGAGCGCCACCATGGCGATGACGACGACGAGCTGTCCGACGATGCGGCCGACGAGAGCCTGCGCGTCGTCCGCGTCCTTGACGATGCTGGTCACGATGGCGCCGGCGGTGCTGCTTGGCTGGTCGAACCAGCTCTTATCCTGCGCGAGCACCTTGCGGTACGACTTCTCGCGCAGGCGCCGCACCCAGAGATCGCCAGCCACCTCCATGACGAAGAAGCGGAGGAAGTTGAGAATGCCGTCGGCGAAGGCGAGGCCGACCACGATGAGCGTGTAGAGCCTCACCTCTTGACCTTGGTTCTGGCGGCCCATCGTCGCAAGAAGCTTGCCGAGGATGAAGGAAAAGACTGGCGGCACCGAGCCGGCAGCCACACAGGCGATGAAGCCGGCGACGAGGAGGACCTTGTACGGCTGCGACACCCAGGCGTCGCACAGCACCTTTCGGAGGCTTCCCGGAGGCGCAAGAGGCGGTTCGGCGTCGCTCTCCTCGGCATCGAGCTCGTCCATCTCGAGCACGGTCGCAGAGCCTTTCTCCTTTGGCAGCGATGTGCCGTCCGCCGAAGCAGTGCTGCTGAGGCTCAGCTCGCTGGCTGTCCACTTGCGTCGCGGCGGAGGCGCCGCGTCGTCGTCCATCGTCGTCCACTGTCGCAACGGTCGTCGCTTGCTTGCCGCGGCGCTGGCGCTGGTCAGCCACTCGATCGTCCCTTCGTCCTCGTCCAGAGCGCGCTGCTGCTGCTGTTGCGGAAGGCGCAGTGGCCTCAGGCCGGGCCGAGCAGCCACCGGCGGAGTCTCCGCGCCAGTGTAGCGGCCGTTCGCGGCGCCGCCGGCGTACTTGTTCCAGGCATACGAGCCGACGCTCGTCGTGCTTGCGCGTAATCTCTCGTCGGCCGGTGCGTCGATCGGGTTGATGCTCAGCCCGCGTGCCCAGCGCTGTGCGCCAGACAGACGGCGAACGTCGAAGCTCTCATCGGCCTCGAGAGCACGACTCGCTCTCGCCTCGAGACCAGTCGGGCTCCGCAAGTCCTCTGTCGCCTCCGTGTCGTGGCTGTGGCCTGCCATCTGCATCTCGGCCAGCGCCTGGAACGGTCCCGGCCGACTGCCGAGATCGCTGCGGTACCCCTGCTGCGCCACCACGCCGCTGTCCATGAGGTAGACGAAGTCGTCATCGCCGACGCTCGACAGGTCGTGCGTGATGATGACAGTCGTGCGTCCTCGTCGCCACGCCTTGACGGCCTCGTTGACGAGCAGGCGACTCGTCGGATCAAGCGCACTCGTCGCCTCGTCGAGGATCAGCACGCTCGGGTCGCGAATCCGAGCGCGTGCGATGCTGAGTCGCTGCTTCTGTCCGCCGGAGAGACTGGCGCCGCGAGCTCCCAGCTGTGTGTCGTAGCCATCTGGCAAGCTCTGGATGAACTCGTGCAGCAGCGCCGTGCGGCAGGCGGCCACAACGTCCTCGCGCGGCACGATGGGCACATGATTGGCGCCGACCCGTGCGATGCTGCCCGACTGCTCGAGCACGCCGCAGAGACCGAGACCGACATTGTCGTGGACGCTGAGATCGAAGATGATCGGCGCCTGGTCGACGCTGGCGACGTTCGAGCGGACCCACTCGGGGTCCAGAAAGCGCACGTCTTGATCGTCCAGCTCGAGCGTGCCCGATGTCGCGTCGTACATGCGAGTGAGCAGCTGAGCGACGGTCGACTTGCCGCTGCCGGAGGCGCCGACAATGTACGTGCTCTCGCCGGCGGCGATGTACATCGACGCATCGCGCAGAACAGGCGCCAGTGGCCGCGAGGGATAGGCGAACGTCACGTTGCGAAGCACGACCTCGCCGTGGCATCGGGACGGGCGGATCTTGCGCATCGCCGCGACCGTGCCTCGCACTGTGGCGCGAGGCGGCCGAGATCGCGACACCGGCCCTGTGGCGCTCTTCGTCTGCTCGTTGCGAGAGGAGAAGTGCGGAATAGAGTCGATGCTCATGGCCACGGCGTGCGTGCGCGAGCCTCGTGCCGAGCCCTTGGCGCTGCGCGGCGGCGGCAGGGTGAAGTTCGACGGCTCGTCGCCGCTCATCGGGCTCTTGGGCAGGGAGTGAGAGTGTGCCGATGAGTGGCACGACAGCGTCGGCGAGCCCGGCTCGCGGCTCTCGACAGCAGTGCCGGCCTCGCTTGCAGGAGGTGGATCGCGGATCGTGGAGGCGCGGGCCGGCTCGTCTGCGCTGTCGCACAGAACACGCAGGCTGGCCGCGGCGACCTTGCCCTTCTCGACGATGCTGAGCGTCTGGATGACGAGCTGCAGATGCGAGCTGGCAAGCAGAGCGCTCCAGAAGACGGTCATCACAGTGCCTGGCCGGACCTGGCCGCTCTGCACGAGGTGCGAGCCGTAAGCGAAGCCCGAGGTGAACATGGCGAGCGTCAGGGTGCCGCTGAGGCCGATGCGCATGCCCCAGATGGCCGCGAGCCGAATGTTGACGCGCTGCACCGTCGCGAGAAAGGTGCGGAAGCGCTTGAGCTCGCGGGCGGCGCCGTTGAACGCCTTGACGGTGGTGATGGCGTTGACGGTGCGCTCGACGTTGCCGCTAGCGTATGCAGTCAGCGCACGCTCGCGGCCCATCGGGCCCGCGGCGGCAATCTCGCAGACGATCGTCATGACCGTCGTTAGCGGGATGGACGCGAGGATGATGAGCGTCAGGTCCCAGCGAGACACCAGCGCCAGGACCGTGCAGGCGATCATTGTGGTGAGGTACTGCAGCAGCTGGCCGGACGTCTGAGAGGTGGCGAGCCGGACATCATCGACCTCGCTGAGGGATGTGTGAGCTTCGCGCTTGGAGCCCAGAGCCACGCCACTCACCGGGCAAAGCGAGCCATCAGGCCGCCGGCGCCAATGCTCGAGTCGCCACCGTCTGCGCCGGCAGCTGAGCCCGCCAGGCCCATGCCGCCGTCGAACCAGCTCATGCGCTTCGTGCTGCAGGCCGCGTACACGTCTGTGCGCAGGCCGCCGGCCACGCGCTCGCCGACCGCGATCCAGGCGCTGATCATTGCCGTGCTGAGGATGACGGTGCCGCCGGCGAGCGCGCAGAGCTGCCAGACGGCACGCAGGATGCCGCGCATGAGCTCATCCTTGCGCTCCTGCGGCACACCTCCGGGCGCGAGGCCGCTGGGGTTGTAGGCGGTGAAGTAGTTGAACGCATCGCCGAGCACGCGAGTCATGAGCGGCGGCAGCGCGCCGCTGATGATGCTGAGCAGCGTGGCGAGGAGGAAGAGCGGCACGTAGCGCCGCGGCATGCCGGCGAAGAGCAGCCGCAGCGTGCCCTTGCGCGCGACTGCCTGTGGTGCCATGGTGGCAGCGTGGTGGGGCAGCTGAAGGATGTGCGGTGGCTGCGAAGTTGCTGGGTGGGATGGTCAGTTGAGAAGGAGTGAGCCGCGTTGAGCGAGCACGGCTCGGCTCGTGGATGCATGCTGGGCGAGCGAGCGCACGGCCTGCAGCCTGACGCTGTTCATTGTCGTCGGCGACTCGAACATCTCTTGTGCTCGCACGGCGTGGACAAGAACAAGGACGAGCGAGGACAAGGGAGTGGAGGAGAACAAGGCACGAGGCACGCACGCCGCGCCATGTCCTGGCCGGGAGGCGTGGGAACATGACGAGGACAAGAGCTCGCGCCACGTGGCGCTGCTCGAGGACAAGGGCCGCCGCACCATGCCTCCGCCTCGCGTGTCGCAGAGCAGCGCAGCGCCAGGCTCCCATGACCGATGGCGAGCATACCGGCTGCATGAACTGAGGCCGAGGTCTCACGGCAGCCGCTTCAACCCTACGCGACGCCGCTCCGTCGCTCGCTGTGAATTAGAGGCGAGCCGTGCGCGAGCATCGGGAGCATGGGTGGCGTCGAGGGGGACCGTGGCGCCCCGACTCCAGCGCAAGTCGCCGCATCCGAGCGCACAGAGCCCCACGGCTCGACGCTGAGGCCGCCCCCATGAGCGCAAGGGAACGTGTGGCCGACACGCAGGAGCTCTTGGGCTGGCATGAGCAGGCGGCTCGAGCGCCGACTTGCGCATCCGAGCTCTCCTGGCAGGAAGGAGCGTCATGCCGGCGGTCCGAGCGTCGCCTCGTGCCTGAACCCCAGGCCGGGAAGAAGTCGCAGGCGGAAGAGGCATGAGATATGATGTGCACCGCCACTGGCTGCCGCTGTCCGCACGTCGCTGCCTCATCATCGTCTGCTTCGCTAGCCTGGGTACCATGACAGCCATGACAGCCAAGCGTGTGTGCGCGAGGCATCTGGAGATGCCGACGGATCGCTCTCGCCACCTCGAGCGCCACGCCCCCTGTGCTCGCTGGAACGTCGCTCAACACGCGAGCCGCGGCCCGGTGCCGAAGGTGGCGTCGCGGCGGGATGCTCCTTTGTCCTGCCCTGTGGCTGCGCTGCAGCATCATGCATGCAGCAACGGAGCCGCGCCTTGCCAGGGGCTGCCGAGCGGCGAGCAAAGAGCGCGGGGCCACACCCTGAGCAGCTTCGACAGAACAGACAGCACAGCAAGAGGTGTGAGGAGACGGCGGCCAGGAGGCACGCGCGCCGATATTGTATTATTAGAGGTGATGTGTTGTCTGGTGTGATCGTCCGAGCGAGACCGTTGGCCTTTTATAGAATGTGAAGCGTGACAAGGAGGCACAGAGGGGCACGAGCGGAGGGAGCTTGTGGTGGCAGGGGCAGGAAGACGATGGCGGTTGTAGTACAGCGGCGAGCCGGCGACCGGAGCGGGCTCAGGGCAGGGCAGGGCAAGCAGAGAAGGGCGGGTGTGAAGCAACGGCCAGCGGCGGAAGCATGGTATCAGGTAGATGAGGGAGCGTGTGCAGGAGGGTGAAGGCGGCACCAGGCGCCTTAGGCCCAGGTGTTGTACGCGGCGGCGTAGTGCTGGCCGGCGCGGAGGTGCGGCTGGTAGAACTTGACCTGGTCGTCGTACGTGCCGGCCGGCTCGCCGTCGTACGACAGCGCCTTTTCGTTGGTCCACGGGCTCGAGCCGAGCTCCGACGGCGGCGTCTCGGGCGTGGTGCAACTGCTCGAGCTCGAGCACGAGTCGCCAGGACTGATGCCCGAGTCGGACGAGTCGCACGACGACGAGATGCTGCCGCGCGACGACGAGAGCGAGGCGACCGACGGCGAGAGGTGGCTGTAGAACGCTGCCGTCTGGCTGGCGGCCGATGCCGCTGCCTGGCTGAGCGCCACGTTGTGTGTCGGCGTCGTGTACGGCCGCGAGCGCTCGCGGGCGCCGTAGGGCGTGGCGTACTGCGGGTGCGCCGCAGCAGAGGCGCGCAGGTCGTGTGCGGACACGCTGGCGCTGCGTGCGAGCGTGGATGCGGTGTGCGAGGCGAGGTTGCTGCAGGAGGCCGAGGCGGCGACGCCGTCGTGCGGGTAGCCCGAGATGCTGGCCCGGGCGACACGCGAGGGCCCGGCGCGGTAAGCCTGCGACGGCGAAGGCGGAGATGGTGCGGCAGCGGCGGCGACATGCTCTGGTGCGGCCACGGCAGCGGCGACGGGCTCAACTGCCAGGCACGGCGACGGCAGGCATCCATCGTCGAGGGCCGCGACGAACTCGACGAGCTCCTCGTTCTTGACGTTCACCTTGAAGCCAAGGTAGCCAAAGAGCTCACGCTCCATCTGGTTGACCTCGCGCAGGCTGAAGAGGCCCTGGCCGACGATGGTCCAGCTCTTGTTGCTGTACGTGTCGTCACAGCTGCTCTTGCTGGCGAGCATGAGCGCCGAGATGAAGAGGCGGTGGCCCGACGAGCCGCGGGCGGCGGGGAAGCGCTGCTTGAGGCGGCGCAGGAGGAAGAGGGCCTGGTGCGTGACGGCGAGCGGCAGGCGCGTGCGGTGCAGCGCGTAGGCGATGAACTCGGAGAGGCGCGGCGCAGCACGGGTGGCCGACGGCGAGGCGACCGACGAGGACGTCGAGTCGAGCGGGCAGGCGAAGAGCGCCATGATGACGCGCTCGCAGAGCTCGGCGAGGTCTGTGCGAGAAGGTAAGAGGCTGCGCTGCGTGGCGGCGGGGCTGCCGGCTCGACTCACCACGGTGGCCGTAGAAGCGGTCGCAGTACTCGGCGGGGCGCGACGACTTGCGCGGTGCCGCAGCGGCGGTGCGCGACGACGAGGCTGCACAGGCGGCGACGGGCGCCGTGTAGGGCGCGCCTTGCGGCCAGGCAGGGGCGACAGCGGCAGAGGCCATGGTGGAGCGGGGCTGGGGGTGGCGCGGACGAGGTGGCGTGCGAGGAGGGCGGCTAGGCGGCGTCGGTGCTGGAGATGGGTGGTGCTGAGGAGGCGCGAGGTGGATGGCCGTGGTTGATGGTGGACGGGCGAGGGCGAGGGCGAGGGCGAGGACGAGGACGAGGAAGCGTGGATGGGGAGCCGGCGACGTGTGGCCGCGGGAGGAGCGCCTATAAGCATCTCACGGCGCGGGCAAGGCGAGGCCGCGCGGCAGCAGCAGGAGCGAGGCAGCAGCGGCAGCAGCAGCGTGACGCAGAGCCCAGGCGGCGCGCAGGCACGGCAGCAGCGCTCTCCGCTCTCCGCCCGCCAGGCGAAACTCGCCCTAGCCGCGCCGCTCAGGCTCCGCTCCGCGCGCGCTCACACGCTGCGGCGCTGTGCTGCGTGCGTGCCGCCGCGCGTCGCGTCTGCGGCGATGCCGGGCCCAGATGCAGGCGGCAGGCGGGCGGCGGGCAGCGGCTGCCCGGCGCGGGACCGGCGATCAGCCCTGGCGCAGGTGCAGGCCCAGAGCCTGTCAGCGCAGCCGCCGGAGCACGCCCCCTGCACCACAGCACGGCGCCGCGCAACGCGGAGCCTCAGGCACCCGGCCAGGGGCGCCGCCTGCCTGTTCGGGCCTGCCCCAGTGCCGCGCGCGGCCCAGAAGGGCAAGTCTTGCTCGGGCGCAGCAGCTGGGCGCCTGCAGGTGCGGTGCAGCGCAGCAAGCCGCGCGCAGGTGCGGCAGAAACCGAGCGGGTGCTCTCGCAAAGAGCACGGGCGCAGAGCGGCGCGGGCCAACGCGGCGTGCAGGCGTGCAGCAGACCAGCGCTACCGCCTGCAGGCTGCAGGCAATGCAGCGCTGCATGCTGCACGAGCTCTCCTGCGGCCGCGCTAGAGAGACCTTCTGTGCTCGCACGCAGCTCCGCCGCTGCGTGAGTCCGGCCGGGGGTGTCACCTGGCGCGCGCCCAGTGTCTGGCGGAGCGGCGGGCGCTGCATGACGCGCGCACCGCCCGGCAATACAATCTCGCGTGAGTGCGAATACAAGGTGTGGCAAGGCCCCTCGCGCGCACGCCACGCATTCTTGAATAGCGCTCTGTCTCGCGCAGAGGGGCGCTGAGACAGGCCCCACGGCACCGCATCCAGCGCAGGGGCACAGATGGCTGCCCTGCTTCCGGCTGCAATAAGCCTATTACGGGGACTACCTGGAGCAATGGAGGCGCGGCAATGAATCGAGATGGCACAGATTGGCGCATCGGTCGCCGCGGTAGGGGCTTGCTACACGCCGGCCAAGGGGCATCGCGCGCGTCAGCCGCGTCCGAGTCGCGAGTGGGCGCGACGCGTTCGCGGCGAGATGAGCGCCGCAGCCGGCCGCCCGTGCGCCGCTTCGAGGCTGGACGCCAAAGTGGTGCTGCCGGCTGGGCACAGCATGCACCTGGTGCAACACTAGCCGCTGCTGCGCCGTCACTGGCCGCTGCAGCGCCGGCTGCTGATGCGAATTGCAAGCGGCTGCGAGCGCAACGCGAGCGTCGCGCAGGCGCGTTCGGTACCCTCGCCGGAGGCAGATCGCCTCCTCGGTGGCCCCTCCGGCACCATCGCAACTTGCGGCCAGCGGCTGCCTTTCTTCGCGAGGCATAGCGCCGATGCTAGGGGCAAGACATGGCCTGCCTTCCGAGAGGTGCCGCTGCACGCTCGCGGCGCCGCATGCCGTCGCCGCACGCAGCCCTATCGAGCAGCATCCGTGCAGGCCCTGAGCAGCGCGCCGCCTGCACCTTGGCAGCGCACACGGCGCACTCTCTCACCCCTCGGCGCCCGAACAGCCCCCCGCAGCACCCGGAGGCCGCCGCATCTAACCTCCTTAGCGGACCTTTGCCTCAGAATGCAGGATGCAGACGCAGCGCCGTGACGCCCGCGCTACTGTGCGGCTGGGGCAGACACGATGCGCTAGCTGCGGGGACGACAGCGACAAGCGACAGCGATAGCGCGGCAGCAAAGCGACAGCCGCAGCAGCACAGGGCCCAAACCATCGCTCGGCAGCGCTCTTGCCACCTCCGCATGCCACGCACCGCCTAGTTCGCCGATGCGAGTTTCCCCCTGACGTGTGCCTCTCACGCGGCCGTTTGCGCCTGTGTCCCTGTGCACGAGTGCGCGATGTCTCGCGATTCCCAGCCTGGCCAAGGAAGGAGGAGGTGCCCCTGCGGCGGCGTTACTTGTATTTCGCTTTTGTGCGCTCGCGCCGAGGCTTCGGGCGGATCCGAGAGCAGGGCCAAGGACCAGTGACGCACTCGCCGCAGCGCGGGAGCGGTCGCAGAGGAGAGCCAGCCGGGTGCGGCGACTCGCCCGTGCCGCGCCGATGACCTCCTTGCAAGCCGTTGGGCTCGGCGCGCGTCGGCAGCGCTGCGAATGGCCTCCTGCGCCGTGCCTGCGGTGCGATGCTGCGGGCGGTGCGTGGCCAGTCGGGGGGCGGATGCTGCCGCGCTGCTGCACTGCTGCAAGGCCAGACGTTAGCGCCGAGAGACGGGCCAACCACGCCGCTGCGGCATCGCCCAGCATCGCAGCAGCGGGAGGGAGCAGAAGGGCGGAGTCCCAATCGCTCGTCCAGGGGTGACGACAAGGGCCCAGCACAGCACAGCGCTGCAGCGCGCAGGACACGAAGGCGGACTCCGCCCTCGAGGGCTCGCACGTCGCACCCGGTGCCGTGCCGCAGCCGGGCTTTCGCTGCGGCGGAGCACGTGGCCTGCGAGCGCGCTCTGCGCCCGCGCCGTGGCGAGCCAGCATCGCACGATGGCCTCGACACGGCAGCCGTGCCAAGCGCAGGGACGTCGATGGCACGATGGAAAGGACGAGGCATGTGAGACGCAGCTGTCTCGTAGCGTGACTCGGGTGGGGCATCATCGCGCGTGGAGAGAGAGATCTCCGTCGTGGGCGCGCGCGCGCGAGGGCGCTGGCGCTTGCCGGAAGCTCCTCGCATCGCATCCGTGCCTGGTCTCACTGCGCTGAGCACCCTGTCACGTTCCTGGTCTCACTGGCCGCCAATGGTGAGCCTTCTCTCTGGGGACGGCTGGATTTAGAGCACCCGCGCGCCGCGCGCGGCGACGCAGCAGTGACGCCAGAGGTGAGACGCGCGCCTTTTGCGCAGTTCGGCTCAGCGCCGGGCCAAGATGCTGGTGAGACACGCCCTCGCAGGCCGCATCCGCGCGCCAGAGCACCGGAACTGTTCAGCCAGAGTCTGCCCTGATGCTGAGCCGTGCCTGTGCGGCGCGGCGTGAATCTCGAGCCGGCGAAATACACCGGCTGCCCTTCGTCACACGCTCGCATGGACGATGCTGCCGTGCGCCGGGGAGGCCCTCGCCCAAGATCGCCGCAGCCGGGAGCCGGGCTGCAGGCGAGACTCCTCTCGCAGAGTTCTCCATGCCGTTGCGTCCTCAGACGCCGCAGCCGCAGTCAGGAGCATCTGCTGAGCGCTGAGCTCGCTCGAGGACATGCGAGTCGGTCGGAGGCGTGCGAGCGTGGCTTATGCCGGGCTCACGGCGGGCTCGGAGCACACGACGCTCCGAAAGTCCACTCTGGTGGCTGGCGCACGGCGCAGCGGGCGTCGTCCAGCTCAGCGTCGAGCGGAATGCGCCGGTGCTGCGGCGTCCGAGGCACACCGAGAGCAAGCCGGCGCAGGCGGACCACGCAGATGAGTCCCCAGGGTGCATCTCCGTACGAGGGGCAGCTGCGGTGGCGGACGACGGAGCTGGGGGTGGCTCTTGCTGCGGCACAACGCAGAGTCGGCCGGGAGCGCAAGGCGCAGTTGCCTCCGGTCGACTCCTCCGCTCGCACGGGCAACAGCAAATGGTGAGGCCCTGCTGTAAGGTGTGGCAGAGTCGACAAGGTGTGGCTCCCGCTCGCCCCCTGTGGCGTTGTCTCTTTTGCTGCAGCCACCGGCGGGGACGGGCGGGCCTGGGAGCCGCAGGCAATCAACAGAGCGTCCCACGTGGCGGGCCTGCGTGCCTGCGTACGGTTCCATGTGCCTGCGTCGTCGTCGGAATGTGGAAGAAGGCTCTGCGCTGCGAAGGCCTGTGGCGAGAGGAGGTGGGCCCCAGGGTGCTGTGCTCCGACGGCGAGCACGGCGAGCAGCGTCCGGATGCGGCGCAGGCATTCGGCGTCCGCTGCGGCGGCGGCGGCGGCGGCGTCGCGCGCGTGTGGCTGCCGCACCGGCGCCGGCGCCGACACGAGGCCCAGGTGCAGGTCACACGCGCGTGCGCCACAAACTGCGGCTCCTGTGCGTCGTCGCCCCGCCTTGCGCTCACGTCGAAGCAAATGTCCGGCTCGGGAGTGGGAGGCTGGGAGGCTGGGAGCCCATGAGCATGGCGGCGTGGGAGCGCTCCGGGCTGCATGCTCGCCGCCACAGCAGCATCGTCGGGCGAGCAGCACGCACTCTCCGCCATTGCGCCGGCGCAGCACGGGAAGCGTGGCGCCGCCTCCCAGCGCAACTCTGGGTGCTGCATCCAGCTTGCAGCGACGAACAGCTCTGCGCGGCCGCGACTGCACCACGTTCCGTCTTTCGTGTTGCTCGCCGCAGCAGTAAGGCTTCCGCGCGGAACGCCGGATGCTCCCGCGGGGAGCGTGACTTCGCGGCAGGGTGCTGCCGCTGCGGGCTGGCGCCTGCGAGCTGCATCTGCACCTTCTCGTTGCAGTCACTCGGCCCTCGGGCTGTTGGACGACGAGCCACGAATGCGCCGAACCACAGCCTCGGCACGGCACGTGAGAGGCTCGGATGTGCGGATGCGCCGAACCGCAGCCTCGGCGTGAGAGGCTCCGATCCGCGGCAGCGAGGTGCAGATCCTTCGTTGAGGTCACATGCACGCGGTGCCGGCAGAAAACTCGACTGCGAAGACCAACATTTGGTCACGGCATCGGCTCAATGACGCGCCGCAGGCGTGCCTTGGCGCCCTGCCGCTGTGCTCCGTGCGTTGCAGCCAGCATCGCATCGATCACAACTCACCGGCAGCGCAGCGGCTTTGGTGCCGGAAAGGGTGCAGCACAGCGCTCCTGCACGCTGCGGCAGCGCATCGCTAGCACCACGGTCTGAGGGCTAGCCGGCAGCCATCGAGTCTGGCCGAGGCACATCGGCATCGAGAGGGTGACCCGAGCTGCTGGCGAGCCCGAGATGGGGTCCATGCAAGCTGCCGCCACGTGCGTGCTACAGTCACTCCCGAGCGTGACAGCATCGCGCAGAGAACACGGCGGCCTTCACGCATCACCTCTCCGTAGGGCCGTCGCCGCTCGAGAGCATGCGCCTGCAGCTGCGGAGGTGATGGCTGCACGAGCACACCCGGCCGAAGCACATTGCATCCTGTCATGCAGTTCGTCGCGTGATCGCCGTCTTGCAGCGCATCACCTCCCAGCCAGGCGGGTCGCGGGCCGCCAACAAGATCGGCATCTCGGAAGCCCACCCGCCAGCCCTGCAGCACCCTCGGCGCTCGCGCCGGGAGCACTCCGACGGGAGGCGTCCCGGCGACGCCTGCAGCTTGCTCGCACACCAGAAGAAACGTCCGGTGCGCAGTGTTGGTCTCTCAATGAGGCATCGGATGCTTCCCGTTCTGCTTCCGCAGGCCGTACTCCACATTCCAGGGCTTGTGATGGGTTTGCTCGGGCAACTCGCAGCCAGAAGCTTTGCCGTGCGCATCTTCCGCGGGCCTCGTCGCCGTCTGGATCGCAGCGGCGCAGCGCAGCCGAGCCTCCGTCGGCTGCGCCGTCTTCCCGCGCCACGGCGCCACCGCCGCCACGCGCTCCCGTGCGGATGCGCTGCAAGGCAAGCGTCCACCTTCTCTCTTCTTGCTCTGGCTGTGCACAGCTTATTTCGCAGCAGTTCAGGGTCCGTTCTCGCGACGCTTCTTGCGCGTCCGACTCTTGCGGCCTTGCACCAGAAGAGCGCTCCGAGGCGCTTGCGGGGCGACTCGGAGGGCGTCACGTGAGTGCGCGAAGCCGCCGCCCGCGGCGTGAGAACATTGCCTCCGGCAGCGCAGCCGGCTGCGTCTAGCCTGAGAGATGATGATCATGAGGGCCAGGACAGGGCAGTCGGGCTCGAGCTCTCAGGTCTTCCTTCGTGCGGGCCGATGTTCTCTCAGGCTGGTCGTTCTTTCCCACTCGCTGTCGTGAACGCGCATGTCAGGACGTGGGCTCGTTTGGAGTCGACCGACTCTTGCAGGACATCGAAGCCGAACTGGATCTGATCCTTGAGGGCAAGCTCGTAAACTGCAGGCCTCGTGATTATAACACCAAAAGCGCACGGTCAGGGCTGCTCTGCCGTGCGCTATGGCAGGAAGGCGACTCGAGTGTGGAGACGGGCAAGGCAGGCCGGCGTTAAGCGCGCGCGGCGCGGCGATATCGCCGCCGATGGCCGAAGCGGTGCACAGCGCGCGCCGCCTTCCGCCGCCTCGCATCTCTCACTGCCACCACCACACCTGCATCGCCATGACGCCGGCCGCCACCATGCCTGCACTCGCCGAGGCGCCGCCTGCAGCTGCGCTGGCTGCTGCCACCGCTGTGCCTGCCGATGCTGCGCGTGCGCGGCCCGACGCCGTGCCAGAGGTGCGTGGCGCCACACGGCCTGGCCCGTGAGGCATGCCTGCTGACTGCGCTGCACGCAGAACGCGCCCGAGCACTGTCCCGGCATCGATGCGCCCACGGCCGGCACGTCGTCGGCGTGCCAGGGCTGTGCCAACCAGTCCATCTGCGCCACGACGCCCAAGGGGCCCGACCCGGACCTGCCGCGCATCCAGGCGCGCATGCAGGGTGTGCGCAACAAGATCCTCGTCATGAGCGGCAAGGGCGGCGTGGGCAAGAGCACCTTCACCACCATGCTCGGCAGGGCGTGTGCAGGACAGGCCAAGCAGGTGAGTCAGATGGCCTCGGCGTGGAGCAAGGTCTGCCTGGCGGCGAGGGCATGCGGACACGGCATGGGCAAGAGTGGACGAGACCGGAGCGAGCTGGCTGCTACGGCTGTGCAAGCTGCTGCTGCACTGCATCAGCCGCTCGGCACACGTCGTGACTGCTCGCTGCTGCTGCACCGCACGGCCCATGTCTCGTCCAGGCCCATCCGGCCTGCGATGGAGCTGGATCTTCGGAAAACGGGCAGGAATCCCACTCCTGACGCAGTGCATGCGCTGACGCGTTCACAGACGGCGATCATGGACCTCGACATCTGCGGTCCGTCGATTCCCCTGATTCTCGGCCTCTCGTCACACTCTGTCCACGCGAGTGCATCCGGCTGGCAGCCGGCCTTCGTCTCTGAGCACCTCTGTGCCATGTCGATCGGCTTCCTGCTGCCGTCGACGTCGAGCGCCGTGATCTGGCGCGGCCCAAAGAAGAACGCGCTGATCAAGCAGTTCCTGCTCGACGTCGACTGGACTGGCGGCCTCGCCGACGACTTCCCGGCCGAGGGCTCGAACGCTTCGGCGCCAAACCTCGACTACATGCTCATTGACACGCCGCCGGGCACGTCCGACGAGCACCTCAGTATCGTCTCGCTCCTTGCGCCCACCGGCCTCTCTGGCGCCATTCTCCTGACGACGCCGCAGGAGGTGTCGCTGCAGGACGTGCGCAAAGAGATCTCGTTCTGCCGCAAGGTCAACCTGCCGATCCTCGGCGTCGTCGAGAACATGGCCGGCTTCGTCTGCCCCTCCTGCCACGGCAACAGCGATGTCTTCTACCCCAGCACGGGCGGAGCAAAGGCGTTGTGCGAAGAGCTGGACCTGAAGTTCCTGGGCAGCGTGCCGCTGGACCCAAGGATCGGCAAGTGCTGCGATCTTGGGTGAGTGACTCATTCGCGCCCCTGCAGTCCACCCGCTCACACTCCATGCGCTCGGGCAGGGAGGACTTCGTGTACGAGCATCCCGAGAGTCCGGCCGCGCAGGCCTACGTCGACATCATCCGCAGTGCGTCGCGGGTCCACCTGCTCGCCACGTGCTCAGCTGACCCTGACGCCCGCCTGCAGAGGTGCAGGAGATGTGCCCCTGATCCCGCTCGCAGGCCGTCAAGACTCGCGTCACGCATTTGTACAACATCCCGCATCATCTCATTGCCCCCAGTGCCTCCTACACCTCCAATGCATATCGCATGTGACCTGCGCGCACGCTCGACGGCATCTCGTCCTGCTGCTCCTCGTCAGACAGCGGGTGTGTCGCCGACCGAGCAAGATCGCTCCCTTCTGGCTCCCCTCGCGCCTTCTCGCCGCTGTGATCAGGCGAGAGCTGCTGCGCTGCTGGGAAGGCCGTGCCTGCGACCTCGGCAAAGGCCTCTTCCGCGAGCTGCAGGAAGTGCTCACGCTCGTCGAGACGCGCGTTTGCGAGCTCGCGCACCGGCATGCTGGGCGTCAGACCAGCGCGATCCAGGATCGCAGCCCGCTGTGCGCTCAAGGCAGGCGCTGCGAGGCGCTCGTCTCGCTGTCTGCTCTCCGCTGCGGCTTCTTCAGCTTGCGCGACTTCGCGAAGCAGGAGCTCGCCGAGGTCCGCGCCGTCGAGAGCTGTACGAGGCGACTGCTCCATGTGTGCGGCCAGCGCTTCGCGAGTCCAAGTCCAGACCTGGTCCTTGGCATGGAGCGTGGCGAACATCTTGGTGATGGCCTGAAAGCGTGCGACGATGTCGACGGGCTCCGGCTGCATGCTGCAGCTTGTTGGATCGGAGGTGTGTTGACCATCGAGCTCAGAAGCCGCGCTTGGTGCCGGCGCCGGATTGCCCAGTAGCCACGTCGCCCACTGCGGCACGGGCGCAGGTGCGGGCTCCGGCGATGCTTCTGGCTCCGGTGCTGGCGTCAAGGCGGTGTACACGAACGCCTTGACGCGCTCGCGCTTGAGCAGCTCGGAGTGAAAGGGAACGCGCCAGTCTCCGCGCGTACGCCGGGACAGGCCCGCGTGGCTCACGTCCATCGCCTCGACGGAGAGCGTAAGCTCATCCATCACCTCGTCCGGCAGACAAGGCAGCTGCGGGTTCTCGCCGCCGACAGCTAGCGGGCGTGCTGGGAGCAGGACACCGAGCGTCCGGCCCCAGAAGTACGCCAGCTCGCTCGGACTGTCGCGCGTGTTGCCCACAGCTTGCTCCTTGAACTTGTTCTCGGCACTAAAGGTGCCTCGCGACACGGCCGCACGGCCGAGGCGCAGGACGCGGTGCAGCAGGCTCCGATCTCGCTCTCGATAGAGGGCATGAGAGAGAGCAGCGACGAATGCGCTGCGCTGCAGCTGGTGGATGCCGCTCTTGATGCGGTGAGCGTGGATGCTGCCAGGTGCGTGCGCCCCCTCGAGCGTGCCGTTCCTCGGACGGTCCTCATACGAGAAGCAGGACAGATCGAGTCGGAGCATGGACACGAACTCGCGCATGGCAGCCTCGCTGTGGCCGCTGGCCAGAAGCAGGCGCAGTGCGAAGTAATTGCTGCGTGCCTGACGGCGCAGCTCGGTCATCGCATCCGACGGGCTCTCGCAGTAGAGCTCGGACAGCTTGCTTGTCAGGCCGAGCAGATGCGCCACGTGAGTGTCCACCTCGCTGCGCACGCTAGGCACGGAGCGCTTCGCGTGGAGCACGGGCTCGATGATTGCGAGCTCGAGATGGATCAGGGCCACGAGCGTGCGCGCGACTGTGGACGGCTCGCCATCTGCGACCGTCTCACAGTAGTGATGCCACTGCTCGCGCGCCACAGTTCTGACCTGGTCACGGACCGTACGCCAGCGTCGCGAGTCGACGATTGCGTCTTGCGTCTTGCTGTCCAGAGCTTGGGCGGTGAGCATGTTCATCGCCGGATGCACGCGGCGCGCAAGAGAGTCGAAGAGCTGGCGCATGAAGCGATGGTCCGGCCGGACGCTCGAGCGGCGCAAAGCGCGACACAGCTTCTCCAGCCGTGCCACGCAGTCTCTGCCGAACAAGGCCGCGTGCATCAGCGCCTTGCGTTGCATGCGAGCGCTAGTCGACCATGCGACCGAGTGGGGCTTCAGCTCGTCCGGTCGCAGACTGTCGCGCCGCAGCTGCATCTCTTCTGGCTCGAGCGGTGCTCGCAGCGCAGCATCGGCGTTGAGTGAGGCTCGAAAGTACGCCAAGTCGAGGCACTCGTGAGCCAAGGACTTGTCGTTGAGCGCGCCGCCCACTTCGCCCACGAACAGGCGCATGGATTCGGTGTGCTCGGCGACCGAGGCCCAGTGGCCGACGTCCACGACCGCAGTGATGACGCGCGAGTTGACGGACCGAAATGCGAGTAGCACAGCGCGCACCTCATCGAGCTCAGCAGACACCCAGTGGTGCTTGTGCATCATCGCCAGCGATGCGGCGCGCATCCATCGGCGACAATGACGGCCGAGCACGAGAAGCGCGAGCCGATGGCCGTGACGCTCAGCGCTCTCCGCTACGAGCTCGAGCTGCTGCATGTCGTGCAGCGACCATAGCTCGCGGGCACGCTTCCGAGCATCTTCCGTCGAGCCCTCGCTGGCCGGCACGTGCACGAGTGCAAGGGACAGGGAGTCGTGTCGCCAAAATGTGAGAGTGAACCGCGACAAGAGCTTCGCGACGGCACGATCTGCGGCGCTGCTCTGCAGCTCGAGTGGCCGTCGCGTCATGGAACGGCTCGAGCGCTTTGCCAAGTCGCCGGAGGTCGGCCAGAGGCCGTCGTCTGGAAGAGCCATACGAGCAGGTGTGGCTGGGCCGATATCTGCTTCTGGCCGCGCTCGCGCATCACGACCTCCGCGCACATGTTCTGGCCCAGCGCCCTCTGCGTGCGCAGGCTCTGCCAGCTCGTCGGTGAGCTTGACGACGTCTGTGGCCAGCCAGCCGATACAGGCACGGAGGCGGGCGAAAGGATCGAGCGCTTCGTCGAAGAGACCACGCTCGGCTGCCGAGCGCCTGATGCGCGCCTGTAGTGCCTCGCCGTCGTCGGCGCCGTTCAGCTTGTCTTCCAGCGCTTTGATCGCTACTGGAGGCGAGCGAGCGGCCTTCGCTGATGACGCAGCAGCCCTACTTAGAGCCCTAGCATCACGCGCTTGGGCAGGTTGCCGGCTGCTTGCGGCCGTTGCGGCTGCGTCGTGCACGGAGCGCACATGCGGACGCAGTGGATGAGAAGACGGGCGCGGCGAAGAGAAGGCCGAGGTCTGGCTGCGCCATGCTGGCGGCGCCGCGGAAGTGAAGAAGGCGGGCAAGAGAAAGGCTGGCACCGCTGCTGCCTCGTCTGTCGATGGCGCCACGGGGTGCGCAGCCGTGCCTCGCTCGTGCGGGCCGGGTGCAGCGAGGCGAGCGAGCCGGCGCGTGAGCTTCGAGGCCGAGCACAGCAGCTGCGACGACGGCCCGGCGCGCGGCGAGGGCATGGCTGCTGCTCAGTGCAGCGCAGCGAGATGAGAGGAGGGCGGAGTGTGCGGGCACAGCATCTGCGCAGAGGCCCACGAGGCCGGCGGGAGTGAGGGTGTAGAGCCAGGAAGGACCTGAGCCGCACAGGGCACAGAGCAAGGCAGCTCGGTGTGCGCCGCATGCACGTGACGCGCGCCGGTGCATCCAGATCCCCCGCTTTGCCCAAGAGCGAGCGCACGCGGCTATCTCACCCTGCTCCCGACCCTCACCGCTCCACACCGCTGTCCCTCCCGGCGCCTCTCTCGCCGTCTCAGCCGGCAGTGCGGCCACGCAGCTCAGCGCACGCTACGGCTCGCAGCCCGTGCCGCACGCTCCGCGCGTCCCCGCTCCGAACACCGGCCTCCAGTCGCTCCACCCGGCGCAGCGCTCGGCCGCGAGCCGCATACGCTTCCTCGACGCACCAGCAGCAGATTCGCTCTCTCCGCACGCATCCGCCAGCATGTCGCAGTCTCGTACCGCAGGCTCGCCACCCATGCGCTCCACGGGCCACGGCGTGCCCGGCGGGCCGCTCAGTGTGAACCCGCAGCTCGCCCACCACCACGCTGGCCCCAGCTCGGCCGGGGGCACGCCCAGCGGCACGGCCTCGCCGCGCCCACATGCGCCCAGTGCCTATCATCCGCGCGCGTCCATCGTCCTTCTTGGCATGCGAGGGGCAGGCAAGGTCAGTAAGATGCGGAAGCAGTGCATGACTGGCCGCTTGCGACTTGCGGGTCCAGCTTGCGGCAGAGCCCTGGTCTTCTGCTGACACTCGCGTGCCTGCAGACCACTCTGGGCCTCATTGCTGCTACTGCTCTGCGGCGGCGCTTCATCGACACCGACTCCGTCTTTGAGACGCAGGTGCACTGCACGATCGGCGAGTACGTGGCGCGCCACGGCTGGGCGGCCTTCCGGCACCAGGAGGCCAACGTGCTGCGGCACACACTCGGCCGCCATGCGCTCGACACTGTCATCGCCACGGGCGGCGGCATCGTCGAGACACACGAGGTGCGCGAGCTGCTGCGCGCGACGCGCGACGAGTGTCCCATCATTCTCGTGCTGCGCGAGCGCGAGGCCGTGCAGCACTACGTGCTCGGCGAGACGCACTCCAGCCACCCAAGCTACGGCGAGAACTTCCTCACCGTCCTGAAGCGCCGCGAGCCGCTGTTCCGCAGCTGCGCCTCGCACACCTTCGTGTCCTTGACTGCACCCACATCGCCGGGCGAGCCGCACCCGCTCAAGCTGAAGCTCATCGAGATCGAACTGCTGCGGCTGCTGCGCTTCGTGCTCTCCGATCCCGTGTCGGCCACGCCGCAGCTCATCCGTTCGCCAGCAACATCCAGGCACGGCTCGCCAGCTCCCACGCCCGGAAGGCACAGTCTTGCGCACCTGCTTGCACCCGCGCCGAGCTCTCGAGCAGACGGCCTCACGTCGCCTGGCGCACCGGTGCCCTTCTCGGTGCCGCCAGGCGCGTCGGACGTGACCAGCCGGACACACTTGCTCACGCGGCGCACGACATTCCTCTCGCTCACGCTGCCCGACCTGCGCAACGTGTCGCCAGCCAAGTTCGACGAGATGCTGCAGGGCATCGATGCGCTCGAGCTGCGCGTGGACCTGTGGGATGCGCTGCGGCCCGCGTCTCGCGCAATGCGAGCAGGCTTGCCCTCGGACGCGCCGCCGCCGGAGGTCGACTTCCTCGAGGTCGCGCTGCAGGTCGCACACGCTCGCCGACTGGCGCGTGGCCTGCCGCTGCTCTTCACGCTGCGCTCGGACCGCGAAGGAGGCTCCTTCTTCGACGACCGCGACCTGACGCACCGAGACGCCCGCTCTGCCCACTCTCAGGCGCTGTACTTTGCACTCGCAGAGCTCGGCCTGAGCATGGGTGTCGAGCTGCTGGATGTCGAGCTCGGCTGGGTCGAGAGCGGCATCCGCTCGCTGATTGCCCGACGTGGCCGCACGCGCATCGTCGCCAGCTACCACGATATGCGCGGCGATCTGCGGTGGGACTCCGAGCTCGCCTTCCAGCTGTACGACCGCGCGGCACGGCGCTTCGGCGGCGTGGACATCGTCGAAATGGTCGGCTTCGCCAAGCCCGAGCGGCCGGAGCAGAACTGGCATCTGCTCTCGTTCCAGGCACGTGTGCTCACGCGAGCCGCTCAAGACCCTGCGCGCAGTCTGCCGCCGCTCATGGCCATCAACATAAACGAGGCCGGCCGATCGACGCGACCGTTCAACGGCGTTCTCTCGCCGGTCAGCCATCCTGCTCAGCTGATCAAGGCGGCACCTGGTCAGATGAGCCTGCGAGACATCGGTCGCGCTCAGATCTCGTTAGGTCTGGTCAGCCCGAAGCACTACCTCATCGGCGATGGGCCTGGAGCACACAGCAACGCAGCAGGCAACCGCATGCGCGCAGCACTGGATGCCATCGGCATGCCGCCGGACGTGCGCTCCCTGTCGGCCCAGGAGCTCGACGAGATGACGGTCAGGGAGGACGCGCTGCGTGCACCGCTGTCCGACGCACACATCGGCGGCATTCATCTCGCTGGGCACACATGGGCAGCACAGGTGGCCCTGGCCAACGCTCTCGGTTCGGCCAATCTCTCCACGAGTCTGGCCAGCCACGCTGTCGGAGCAGTGGATGTCGTGTACCGCGGCGAAGTCGCAAGCGACCTCGTCGGCACCTCAAGAGGCGCACTAACGCCGCACGGCTTCTGCGCCCTCGACGGCCCTCTCAGCGGCGACCACACGCTGGCCTCTGCGCTCGAGCGTGTCTTCACTCGCTTCCTCAGCCCGATCAACGTGCCTGGCGCATCCGGTACCGCTCTCGTCGTCGCAATGCCGCTGTCACCCAGTGCCGACGTGCACGAGCGCCGCGGCCGAGACGTGGCACTCAAGGCCGCCGTCTGCGCTATGGCCCGCCTCGGCTACGGCCGCTGTGTCGTGGTGGACGATGGCGAGGCTGACGGCTCGGGCAGCGAGGACAGCTGGTGGGGCCCGCACGTGGCCGCTCTCGTCCAGGCAGAGGCGACCAAGCTTCTTCGCGCCGCGACGGCCAACGTCGGAGGCGCCAACGGCCTCGCGAGCTTGGCGCTTGCGCACGGTCACGTCGCTTCCGGCCCGGAGGCAACGCGATGTGCGGTCGTGCGCTTGCCGCGCTCCGCACTTGCAGACATCAGCGGTGCGCTGATGGCCCGTGCCGGACAACCGGAGTCCTCGCACAGCAGCGCCAACCCGTCGGGCACCAACACGCCTGGCATGCCGGCAGCTGCAGCACACGACGGTCCCGCCTCGGCTTCGGCAACGCTGGGCAGCGACAGCCCCGCTCTCCCGCGCGCCGCGGCTCCGCGACACCTGCAGGTGCGCCAGCCGCACGCCGTCGCCCTCGTCGGCGGCTCGGACGAGGAGCAGCAGCAGGCTCTGGTCACTCTGCGTCCCGAGGCGCCTTCGGCGGGCACGTACGACGCGGCCGTGCTGCCGCCGCAGCTCTGGGCCACCAACGCCGGCGGCACGCTCGTGCGCGTTCCCACGTCTGGTGATGCGCCGCTGTACGAGGCAGCACCCGGCGCCCGTGGTGCTCCTGCCTCGGCCAGCACGGTGCACACCCTGGAGAAGGACGCGCTGCTCGAGCGCAGCGGATGGCTGCACATCAGCCCTCACATCGTCGAGCTGGAGCGCCTGGAGCAGGGCGTCTTCGAGGTCTGGACACGCCGCCGAGCCCCACGCGCCAGCATGCGCACCCCTGCAGCTCCCACACCCCTCGCATGATAGACACCGCAGCACAGCGCAATCTGATACCCTTGCCGCACGTCTCCCTGCCCCTGTGCGCCGCACGCGGTCTCTCTGGAACGGGTCGATTGCGTGGGTGTGGTGAAGAGTGCGCATGGTCGTGTGTCGAGGAAGTACAATGACGAGAGGCATGCGAGAGCCTGCACAAGGGGCTCGCGCTGCCCGCCGCCATGGAGAGACAAGGCGAGAAAGTGGAGCCATGCGCAGGCCTACGGACACGTCACGCGGCCGGCCGCCCGCAGCAAGGCATTACCGTGAGGCTTTTACTTGGTCGGGCTGTGCGGACGAGAAGGTCAGACACGAGCTGTGGCTCGGCGTGCGCGGCGTCGCGACTCACATGTAACGAGCGACACCGCCGAGACCCGGCTTGCCGTGGTTGACGGGCATGTACGTGGGCGAGAACTCGCCGGTGTAGTGGCCGACCATCTCCGGCTTGACCTCGGAGTTGTAGAATTGCTGTGCGCGAAAGAGCGATGAGCGCGTGCTCTGGAGCGACACGACGAACGCTGTCCCCTCCTGCGAGGTCCTCCTCTGCTGGTGCTGCTGCCCGCCGTCGGCGAGCGGCATGCAGGCTGCCGCAGACAGCACGCAGACGTCGCAGCAGCATCTCAACGCTGACCCCTACGCGCCAGTCTCTCAAGCCACCCTCAGGCCATTCGCTACACCCTGCACACGACCCTCCATCGCTCGCGCCCCGCTACTCACCTTGCCGTTGTACACGCCAATGACGGAGCCGACCATCTCGGGCACAATGATCATGTCCCGCAGGTGCGTGCGCACGACGGCGGGCTTCTCGTTGGCGGGCGCCTCCTTCTTGGCCTTGCGCAGCTTCTTGATGAGGCCCATGGGCTTGCGCTTGAGGCCGCGCTGGAAGCGTCTGCGGGCACGGGCGTGCACGAGGGCCATGAAGTCCTCGTTGCTCATGTCCAGCAGCGCGTCCAGCTCGACGCCGCGGTACGAGAACTTGCGGAAGGCGCGACGGCGCTTGAGCTCGGCGGCCTGCTCGGCATCGTAGGAGTCCCTGCAGCACCGGGCGTGTCAGCGCGCGCTCTACATCACCTCTGGCATCCATCCTGCAGCTGCAATCTCGCCAGCACCACGCCGAGGCCCGCCACACGTCGCCCACTTCCAGCGACAGCATTTCCCGCTCCAGCAGTCCCCTCCAGCTCGGGGCTCCTCTGAGGGCGACAGCTGCCGCAAGCTGGCATGCTCATTGCTGACTCCGCACAGCGCAGAGCTCCGGCCGCGGCACGACGACGAGTTGAGGCGAAGGGCCGCACGCTACGGCGAGAGCAGCGGCGGGCGTGGTGCGGAGGGCGGGCATGCATACTAACATGTTGGGTGGTCTTGACGAGGGGGAGGTGAGGTGATGGCTGACGGGAAGGGCGCGGTGGGGCGGCACAGCTCGACCCAGCACAGCGAGGCGGCGGCTGCAAGGCTGGCACAGGCGCCATTTGCGGGCGTCGCACGCTCGACGCGCCGTTCTTGTCTTCGCGCGGCCGGCTTTGCCACGTGGCCACAGCCGCCGCGCGCGAAGAACGGCACGGCGCCAGCGCTGCGTCTGCGCCGCGCCGCAGTCGGCGAGAGCGTGGGACTGCTTCTGGGCCGCGCCCTGGCAGCGCACGCCGGCCGGCAGGGCTGGGCAGCTCCGTGCCTCCCTCTGCCTTGACTGCTCACCACCACTCGCCTTCAGTGCGTAGCGCCCCTGCTGCACCCAGCTCTTCACGGCGCCCCTTGCTGACTCCTCGCTGCGCAGACCAAAAGTCTTCTTCGGATCAAAGCCTAGCGCGGATTTTCGGTGGCACTCAACCTCTCACACCTCTAACCTCACGTCAAAATGAAGCACATCGCAGCCTACCTGCTCCTCACCGTCGGCGGCAACTCGTCGCCGTCGGCCGCCGACGTCAAGGCTCTCCTTGACACCGTCGGTGTCGAGGCTGACTCTGACCGCCTCGAGAAGCTCATCTCTGAGCTCGAGGGCAAGGACATTGCCTCGGTGAGTGTGCGATGCGGGGTGGAAGGGCTGGTGCGGTGAGATAGCAGGCCGCAGTGCGAGGCGAGGCAGGCAGGGAAGCGCAGAGGCATTCACACTGGCAAGGGAAAGACGCCATGCCCTGTGTGACCTTGCTGGCACAGCCGTCGCACAGGTGGTGCCGGAGAGATCTGCTTCGTTCCGCATGCTAACCCACCATCCTCCAGCTCATCTCCGAGGGCTCTGCCAAGCTCGCCTCCGTCCCCTCGGGCGGTGCGGGCGGTGCCGCCCCGGCCGCTGCTGCCTCGTCGGGCGGTGCCGCTGCCGCTGCCGACGCCCCGGCCGAGAAGGAGAAGGAGGAGGAGAAGGAGGAGTCCGACGACGACGTGAGTGCCCCGCCTCTCTTGCGTGCCAGATGCGCATTGCTGACGCCGCTCTGTCCTCTCACAGATGGGGTGAATACTGCCGCTTGCACCTAGCCCACGCACTGAACACAGCTGACATGTTGCCCCCGCCCACAGCTTCGGTCTCTTCGACTAAGCGTCTCGCCATCTCACGATGTCGCGGCCAAAAGGCGTGTGCGGCGATCATGCCGGGCACGCTCCGTCATCCTCCGCAGCTTCCGCTGCAAATCACACTCTGCGGAGCGCTTCCTGTTCTCTCGCCAGCAATGTGACTCGTGCGAGCTGTTCCCATGCGAGTGACTGGAGTGAGGCGGAGGGCAGAGCACGGGCGCGTCGTTGGATGGCATCACATATTGTCGCATCTCGAAGGGCTAGCGTAGAGGTACATGCAGAGAGAGCGTCGGGAAGGGGCGCGCGCCGTACGGCCCCGGCGATGGCGCCGCGTCGCCGCGGTCCGCCGAGAGGATGTGGTGTCCGGGTCGAGCCTGGCGCCCGTCTATGGTGTCGATGCGTGCCGCCGGCCATCATGCCACGCAGCTGGCCAGACGCTTGAGCACAGGCACGTTGAGATACGCCGGGCAGTACGTCTCGATGCCCGTGACGAGGCGCGGCAGCGGGATCTCGAACGGTCCGCTGCAGGGGGGTGGAGGTCAGCATGCGTCGAGGCTGGACTGTCAGTGTGCGACTCACGCCTCGTCGACCTCTGGCGGCAGCAGCAGGTGGTCGTTGCGGTCGTTGGGCACGACGCGCGACGCGACGGCCTTGAGGATCTCTGGCGAGATCGGGTTCTCGTAGTCGGCGACGGAGTACTGGCTGATGAGCTTCTGGATCTGCGTCGGCGTGAGCATCCAGCAGACGTCGTAGATGATGTCGATGTCGCCGAGCGTCGCCTTCTTGAGCTGCAGCAGCTTCGTGGCCTGCATGAGGTGCTCGAGCTGCAGCGTGCCCTCGGGCATGTCGTGCGACTTGCACCACTCCTCGAGCCGCGTGCTGTGGGAGCGCGTCGTGAGCACACAGATCGTGATAGTGTGACAAGGCCGCGCACATGTTGTACTGCACCTGCATCGCCCGCTTCCAGGAGCAGAAGTTGCGCCGCATGAGGATGTCGCTGGAGAGATGCGTCAGTCAGCGCGTCGTGCTGCACACCAGGCCTCCACTCACTTGAACGCTGTCACGCCGATGAGCTTCAGCAGCTCGCTGATGCACTGGCTCGTGACGCTCGGCTCGACGTAGTAGCTCTTGAGGCTCTTCCACACCTTGTTGAGGATGCCGAGCACGTCGTCCATCGTGTACGCGGGCGTCGAGTTGCCCGAGATGAGGCGGTTGAACAGCCGGCCGCCCGAGTCGCTCGTGACAAAGCCGGGCAGCGACTGGCTCTCGATGAGCGCGGGCACGACGATCTTGTGCAGGCGCTTCTTGGCCTCCTGCATGAACGTGTGGTAGATGTTGTACTCGAGGCTGTCGAGGTCGTGCTTGACAATCGTCACCAGCCGCTCGTAGTCGCCCCACTCAAAGGGCCGCGCGGCACCGTCCATGCCCGGGCCGATGCCCTGCAGCATGTCGGACTCGGCGATGCACACGAAGGAGAGCACCTCGTGGATGTTGGAGAGCCAGAAGATGCCCGGCACGATGGCGTCCTCGCCCTGGAACGTCATGACGTGCTGCTGCACCTGCTGCATCACGTTGGCCAGGAAGCGCTCCGACTCGCGGATCATGCCGTACTTCCACAGCTCGTTGACCGGCAGGCTGATGGCCACGTGCGCCGGGAAGAAGACCTCCTTGGGCGACGGCGGGTTCTGCAGGCTCGGCGCCGGCGGCCGCAGGTTGCGGATCATCGTGTCGAGCTAGGAGCAAAGGGTGAGCTGCAGTCCGGCACAGGCCACACTCCACCAGACTTACCACATCGCGGTCGAGGCCCTCCTCGTCCTCGAGAATCGAGACGATCTGGTCCTGCGCCGCGCTCTCCTCGTCGTAGTCCTCTGGCCGCGGCCCTTGCCCGGGCTGGAAGGCCATGCTGACGTGCCGGTTGGCGTGCGCGACACTGCGCTTGGCTTCCGTCATGTCCAGATCGGCCTCGACGCCGTTGCCCACCGACTCGCTCCACGGGCCAACCTCGGAGTGGCGCCGTGGCCGCCGCTTGCCCTGGCTCGTGAAGCCGTCCTTGCCCGTCGACATCTGGAACACTGGCGGCGCGGCGTTCTCGATGCGCTGCGAGTTCTTCGACAGCGTCGCCAGTGCATTGGCGCGGTTGACCTCCGCGCGCAGCGTGGCAACCTCGGTGCGCAGCGTCGTGATCGTGGCCGTGTCCTCGTCGGACGTCTTGCCGATGCCCTTGAGCGCCAGCTCCTTGGCCTCGATGTCCTGCGCCTGCGCCTTCATCTGGGCCTCGAGCTCGCTGACGCGCGCCTCGTGCTCGGCGACGCGCTTCATCGACGCCTGGTGCTGCGCCTCAATGTCGCGCTTCTCGGCCATGAGCTGCTCAAACTCGGCCAGCGGCACGGTGGGCAGCGCCAGCTGCTCCTCGAGGCCGCGTGCACGGCCGTCGATCTCCTCGTGCTTGCCCTGCCAGGCCTTGACCTGCGCCTCGAGGGCGCGGATCTTGGTGCTGAGCTCCTTGTTGGCCTTTGTGCGCGCCTGCAGGTTCTGCGTGAGCTCGACGACCTTGTTCTCGAGACGGCCCGAGACCATCTTGAAGTGGTTCGCCGACTTGGCCTCGTTGCGCAGCCCGATGAGCTCCTTCTTCGCCAGGCGCCGGCGGTAGCAGCTCTGCAGGTGGATGATGCCCTTGCGCTCGTGCGCAAACTGCCTCCGCGCCAGCGCGCCGCGCAGCAGCGACTGCAGCTGCGTGATGGCGAACTCGCGCTTGTCGGCCATGAACGTCGAGCGGATGCGCATGCCGCGCGCCATGCTCTGCACGGCGACGACGGCACGGCGAGCGCGCAGGAACGACTGCCGTGCGAGGAAGGCGCGCGTGGCGCTCTGGATCCGCACGGCGGCCGAGTCTTGCCGCAGCCGGTGCACGAGGTGCTGGGCCGAGACCATGCGCCACCACGTCTGCACGCGCACCGTGTCGACGCGCAGCTTCTGGTAGCGCTTCTGCTCGTGATTGCGGCGCAGGTTCTTCTGGATGAGCGTCACGAGCGCGTTGAGGCGGTCGCCGCGGCGCTGCTCAAAGTGCGCCAGCATGCCGGCGCGGAAGAAGATCTTCGACAGGCCGATCTGGTACTTGTCCTCGTCGGTGATCGTGGTGCGCAGGATGAACGTGGCGAGGTCCTTGACCTTGTCCATCGTCGACATGTCCCAGTGCTTCGACGGCACGAGCATGTAGTAGCGGTCCGCAAAGTCGGCAAACGTCCAGCGCGACGGGTAGCCGGCGCAGCTTATCCGGATCGTCTCGAGCACGCCGCACGCGCGCAGCTGGCCCAGCACGTTCTGCGGCTCGACGCCCCACGCCTTCTTGGCCTCGTTGGGCTTGATGCAGCGGATGTAGTGCACGTTCGTCGCCTCCATCGTCGTCATCAGCGAGACGAGGCTCGCCTTGAACTGCGAGCCGAGCGTCGGCTTCTTGACCATGCCGCCGGCTCCGGCGCGTCGCGGCGCGGGCTTCGCATCTGCGGCGGGCGCCTCACCGGGCTTGCCAGCTGCCGGCGCTGGCGCGTCCTTCGAGGCCTGCGCGATCGCAGTGGCCGTCTCGAGCACGTCCTTGAGGAAGTTGTTCGTCGTGTTCGAGAGCAGCGCCAGGTGCTCGTCGGGCACCGTGTCGCGGTTCTTCTCCAGGAAGCCCTCGCTCTCGTACGTCACGTCGAGCGCGTAGTGGCACACGGTGAAGCTCGTCTGCCCGAAGCGCGGGCGCTTGAAGCTGTCCTTGAGCTCCGGGCGCCGCTCGAGCTGCGTGAAGAGCTTCTGCAGGAAGCTGGCGTCCGAGCCCGACGGCAGGCGCGACTCCTCGTCGAGGAGCGAGAGGATGCCGAGCTTGCCCTCGATCATGTCGATCGTCGGCTGGTTGTCGGCAAAGTCGATGAACGTCCACTCGATCTGCTCCTGCAGGTACTCGTCCTGCTCGAGCTTAAAGACGTGCCGGTTGAACTCGTGCTGCAGGCGCTCGTTGGCGTAGTTGATGCAGAACTGCTCGTACGAGTTGACCTTGAAGCGCTCGAAGCCGTAGCTGCGCAGCAGTGTCAGCACGCGGGCGCGCCGCAGGACACTCGCCCACTCACATGTCCAGCACACCGATCATCGTGTCGCGCGAGCGCGAGCTGCCCAGCGCCAGGCTCTCGTTCATCTGGTCGACGAGCCAGTCGAACAGGCACGTGTAGACGTACTTCGTCACGGCATCGCGCACGACGATCGCCTGCGCCTGGCTCAGATTCGAGACGATCTTCTCGCCGCGCATGACGATCTGCTTGCGCAGCGTCCACTTGCGGAACTCGTTCATGTCCACGCCGAGCATGCGCGTGGCCATGAAGAGCGCCGGCTCGTCCTCGGACAGCATCGCATCGTTGCGGCTCGCGCCGATCTTGACGTTGCCGAGGTGCAGCAGCGCCGCGAGCAGGCGGAAGATCTGCCACTGCCGCTCAATCGTCACGCCAACAGTGCTGAGCGCCTTCTGCGTCGCCTTGAACTCGTCGGCGTCGTTCACGCCTGCGATCACGGCGTTGCCGCCCTGGTTGAGGTAGTGGAACTTGGTCGCCTCGTCCAGGCCGAGATCCTTGCGCTCGGACGACGGCGCGCCGGCGCAGAGCTGGTAGAAGATGTGGAAGTTGCGCTCGCTCGACTCCGTCGGCTGGAACACGAGGCGAGAGCGCTCGAGCAGATACTGCGCGCAATGCGGATCAGCTGCCGGCTTCCTTCTGCACCGGCGCGCGACTCACTGTGCGGATCTTGGCGCCGACAATCTCATGCCGCTTGTCGAAGAGGATCTGCGACCAGCGCGATGAGCATCACACAGCACGCCGCACCTCTCGCGGCCAGCGCGCGCTCACCTCGATGTACTTGCCGAAGCGCGACGAGTTGTCGTTGCGGATCGTCTTGGCGTTGCCGAACGCCTCCATGATCGGATTTGTCGCGAGGATCTGCTCCTCCGTCTCGGACATGCCGCTGGGGCCCGTGTTGCCGCCGCTGCCGGCCTTGCGCGACCCGGGCTTGTCCGGGTCCTCCACAGTGGCAAAGTAGCGCATGATGAACTTGGCCGAGACGGTCTTGCCGGCACCACTGCGGATGCGCGCCAAGTCAGAGGCGGATCGCGAGCCGTGCGCGCGCATGCCACCTCTGAGCTGAGAGCTCTGACCGCCAGCCAGACCGCCCTTTCTGCGCCTGAGCCTCCTCACAGGGCAGCCAGCAGGTCTCGGTTGCCCCTTTCTAGATGCCGCGCACCTCCTCCCCACTCCAGACGCCGGCACTCACCTCTCGCCGCTGACCACGATCGTCTGGTCCTTGTGGTCGCGGATCATGCAGCGGTACGCATCCTCAGCAATGGCGAACAGGTGCGGCTCCAGCTCGCCGCGCTTGCGCCCAGAGTACGCCTGGATGATCTCGGCGCTGTACAGGTTCAGCGAGTCAAACGGGTTGACCGCGATGAGCACAATGCCGGAGTAGGTGTAGATGAGGCGCTGCGAGTAGCGGTTCAGGATGGCGTGCAGCACTGCAGGGAGGTGTGAGCAAGAGCGGAGCGCAGGGCAGATGCAGCAGCACACACCTGCTGGCTCGTTGAGATAACTGAGGTTCGTCAGGTCGTCGGTCGCCTCGAGCAGCGGCGGATTCCGCAGCGGCGGCAGGATCTCGTCGATGGCGCCCTGCTCCTCGAGCTTGGCAAGGCTCGTCTTGACCTCGCGCGTCGCGCCGCCGTCGTCGAGGGTGAACTCAAGCACCACATCGCCGGACGCGGAGGTCGAGACGGCCTTGGCCAGCGTGGCCGAGATCCAGCCGAGGTCCTTGTCCGTGAACCAGGCCTTGGTGCCTGGCACATAGGCCGAGAGCGCCCGGGAGGCTGCCATCGTGGCGCGAACGTGCGGAGCGGCGCAGCGAGTGGTGGTCTGCGTGAGCCCTGCTCAGGCGATGCGCACGGAGCGACGCGAGAGGTCGAGTCTGGGCGGCGGATGCGGATGCGCCTGCGCAAGAGGAACCCGACGCGCGCGCTCGCACGAGCCGCCGCAAGGACAAGGGGACGCGGAGAGGTGCGCCGACCCCAGAGCAGGCCCGAGGTGGGTTAGAAGCGTCGTAAGCCGGCCAGGAGCGCAGAGTGTGCGGACGCTGTGGCGCGGCGTCGTCAGGAGCGACACGGGAAGAGGGAGGGCAGAGACGGGTGTGCAGAGGCAAGAGCAGAGCTTGAGGAGGCCGGAAGGTGCAGGCGCGCAAGAGGCGCGCGCCGCGGCGTGCTGGCGTGGCTGGCATGCAGCGGGAGGAGATGCGCACAGTCGCCCAGTGCCTGCCGTCGCGCCCGGCACGCAAGGGGGCGCAGCGGCAGGCCGCCGGCGCCGCGGCGCGCGTGGCACAAGAGCCGAGCGCCGCCCGCCGCACGAGCCGCCCGCCACGGCGCAGCCTCCGCCGCACCTCCGCCAGCGGCACCCCCTCCCGTGCCGGTGGACGTCAAGGTCTTGCTCGCGGCTCTGCCGTCCCAAGTCGATCTTCTTTTGCCGTCGATATCATGTGGTAGCAGCCATGATTCCTGTGCTGGACAGTAAGGTGCGCTCTGCGATGCTGAGAGCTGTCGCTGGGCGACTTGTGCACTCGTCTTGAGGCAGTGAAGCACATACCACGAGCTTTGCCTTCTCGTCCCCGTGCTTCCTGCTCCTCGACTGGCACACTTTTAATGTCTCCCAGATGGGTGTCATCGGCAGCTCATGCTCTGATGACCCAAGTGCGTCCATCTCGTCTCTGCAGCGTCGGTCAAGAGGTTGCTCTGGTGTGCATCCGCTGCTGCACAGACGTGGGTACGGCGGACTCGCGTTCTTCTGACCGCCAATCGCCCGAGAGCGCGGCCTGAGCACTCGATACTCCAAGGGTCGTCTTCCTCTGCCTACAAGCTATACAAGTCGCGAGCATCGACCACACGTCAGCCCAAGCCGAGCCAGCATCTCCCTGTGAGACTCGAGGCATCCTCCTTCCCAGCGTGCAGCCAGCGATCGCACGCATGCGCGTGGGAACAGCAGAGCCCAGCCGCACCGCCGGCATCTGCTGCCGCCTCGTGCGCCGGCCATGAAGCGCTGCGCCTCGAGGCCTCAATGCTTTGCCTCGCAAGTACCAGGCAGTCCACGCTGCTCTTCACGCTGCCACGGCGCTCGACGTCAATCGCGAGAGTGCTGGTGCTGCACCATGCCAGATGGCGAGCTGCGCGGCTCGGCGAGCAACACCTCGACGCGTCGCGCCGCCCACGCGTAAAGAGCGGCGGCGGGAGCGAGGCACTTGCGCTGTGTGCCGCGCTCTGCAGCAGCTGCTGCAGTCAGCCGCACGCGCCAGTCGCGAGTGCAGCAGCAGCTCCCTCTCGACTCCACCCCATCACCTCGCTCTCACCCGCTCAGCACTGCTCCACGCCACGCCTACTCGCTAGCCTGCGCCGCTCATCTCGCTCCCGGCGTCCATCAGCAGCGAACAGCGCCACAGTCGCCCCAGCCCGCGGTGTAGCGCGGCGCGCGCTGGCCCAGCATGCACATCAAGACCCTGACGATCCAGGGCTTCAAGAGCTACAAGGACCAGACGAGTCTGGAGGAGTTCAGGTGAGTGCGGCCGCGCGGGAGAGTGCTGTGCAGCGGGCTGAGGAGGTGGTGCTTTGGCAGCCCGGGAAGCAACGTCATCGTCGGGCGCAATGGCAGCGGCAAGTCCAACTTCTTCTCAGGTGAGGCGCGGCGGGCTGGTGTGTACGGGCTGCGGCTGACGTATTGCTGGGCTTCCCTTGCGCTTCGCTAGCGATCCGGTGAGTGCCGCTCTTGCCAGACAGCCCGTGGCGCTGCTTGCTGACGCAGCCGCAGCTTCGTGCTCTCCGATGCGTACACGTCCATGTCGCGCGAGGAGCGGCAGGCGCTGCTCCACGACTCCTCGTCGTCGGTGTCGACGACGCTGAGCGCCTTCGTCGAGATCATCTTTGACAACTCCGACGGGCGCTTCCCGACGGCGGCCGGCTCAGGCTCGGGCAGCGGCGCCGAGGTGGTGCTGCGCCGCACGATCGGCCTGAAGAAGGACGAGTACTCCATCGACCGGCGGAGCGCCAACAAGGCCGACGTGGCCAACCTGCTCGAGGCCGCCGGCTTCAGCCGCAGCAACCCCTACTACATCGTGCCGCAGGGAAGAGTGCGTGCCAGAGCACGTCAGGCGCAAGGCTGCTGCTCACCCCGTCCATCCCACAGATCACGCACCTGACGAACATGAAGGATCGCGAGCGCCTTGACCTGCTCAAGGAGGTGGCGGGCACGCGCGTGTATGAGACGCGGCGAGCAGAGAGTCTGAAGATCATGGACGAGACCGGTGAGTGCAGGCGCTGCAGCCAGAGCGCTGCGGGTTGCTCACAAGCCCGCGCAGACTCGAAGCGGACGAAGATCAACGAGCTGCTCGAGTACATCGAGGCGCGGCTGAGCGAGCTCGACGAGGAGAAGGAGGAGCTAAAGCAGTACTACGAGAAGGACAAGGAGCGCCGCTGCCTCGAGTACGCGCTGTACTACCGCTCGCTGCAGGACCATATTGCCAAGCTGGAGGAGGTGAGCGTGCTGAGGCGGCGGACTGAGTGCAACACTGACCACCTCGCGCAGCTGGAGGACAAGCGCCGCGGTGAGGCCGACGCCAGCAACGCCAAGCAGCGCACCTTCAACGACCGCGAGAAGACGCTCTCGGACCTGAAGAACGAGCTGCAGACTCTGCAGCAGGAGGCCGAGCAGGTCAAGCTGGAGAAGGAGTCGCTGCGCAACGAGCGCCGCGAGCTCGTGCGTCAGCGGGCGCTGCTCGAGGCCCGTGTCGGCGACGATGAAGAGGGCGCTGGCAGCGCCGCCAAGGACGAGATGGAGGCGCAGCTGGAGCGCGTCGATGGGCGTATCAGCGAGCTCGAGGGCGAGCTGATGGGCCTGCTGCCGACGTACGAGGACCAGCGCCAGGCGCTGGACGAGGCGCGAGGCACGTAAGTCTCCTTCCGGTGTGCCGTACGAGTCAGCGGCTGACTCTCGTGTCAGGCTGGAGGAGGCGAACGCACGCATCAGCGTGCTCTTTGCTCGTCAGGGTCGCAGCGCGGCCTACACGACGCAGGCGGCGCGCGACACGGCCCTCAACACGGAGATCGCATCGCTGCGTGCGCACGTTGAGCGCGAGACTGCGCGGCGGACGCAGTGGGCTGCCGACCGCGAGACGGAGCAGCGCCGGCTCGAGACTGCCCGGGCGGCTCTGGCAGAGAAGTCTGCGCTGCTCGAGGAGCGGCGGCAGTTCAACAAGGAAGGCGCGGCCGAGTGGGAGGAGCTCAACGCGCGCCGTGACGAGCTGCTGGAGCGGAAGAAGTGCGTATGGCTTGGTGATGCCGCAAGATGCTGCTTGCTGACGCGGTGATGCTGTACAGGGGCCTCTGGAAGGAGGAGACCAAGCTCAGCTCGACCAGCACGTACGCCAACGAGAACCTCGTCACTGCCAAGCGGGCGCTGGCCGGCACGATGAGCCGCGTGCGTGCCGTGGTGCTGTCGCCGAGACGCTTCGCTGATGCCCGCTCCCTCAGACTACTGCCATGGGCCTGCAGGCTGTCGAGGAGGTCTCGCGCCGCCACGGCCTCGACGGGGTGCACGGCCCGCTGTACTCGCTCTTCACGGTCGACGACAAGTACAAGACTGCAGTCGAGACGACAGCTGGCGAGAGGTGAGTCGCAAGCAAGCAGCCTCACCTGGACCACCACTGATTTGCTCCCACGCAGTCTCTTCCACATCGTTGTTGACACCGACGAGACGGCTGCGCGCCTGCTTGACATCATGACGAAGGAGCGCCTCGGCCGCGTCACCGCTGTGCCGCTCAACCGCATCAAGAACAAGGACGTCAACTTCCCGCAGGCGGCCGACGCCATCCTCATGATCAAGAAGCTCAACTTCGACCGCAAGTACACGGCAGCTCTGCAGCAGGTGCGTGCGACGCGTTTCGGTGCGCTGGCTGAGCTGACCCCTGTGCTGCAGGTGTTTGGCAAGACGATCATCTGCCCGAACCTCGAGATCGCCGGCGCGTACGTGCGCAGCCACAGCCTCAATGCCATCACGCTCGACGGCGACAAGGTGGAGCGCAAGGGCTCGCTGCACGGCGGCTACCACGACCCCAAGCGCTCGCGCCTGGACGCCGTGCGCGACGTCAAGAAGTGGGCCGATGCGCATGCCGCATCGTCCGCGGCGCTGGCCGAGATCAAGACGGCCATTGACAGCGTCGAGCAGGAGGTCGCCTCGATCGAGGGCAGCCTGCAGAAGCTCAAGTCGCGCAGCACGCGCGCTGCCGCTACGCGCGACGGCCTGATCAACGACATGGCTGCCCTGCGCGACGAGGAGGGCGAGGCGCGTCGGCGGATAGAGGTCCTGCTCGACGCCGAGACGCGCGTCGAACGTGACCTGGCGAGTGCGCTGAGCGCAGTCACTGCCATGGAGCAGGAGCTGCAGACGCCCTTGACTGCCGGTCTCTCGAACGAGGAGGTGGCCGAGCTCGAGGAGCTTAACGCCCGCGTCGATGCACAGCAGGCCGTCGTTGCCGATCTGTCGGAGCGGCTTGGACAGGTGAGCAGTAGCAGCGGCTTCGGAGGCTGCAGTCACTGACCCGCTTCTCGCAGACCTCGAGCGAGAAGCGCACGCTCGAGATCGAGCTGAACGACAACCTCAAGCGCGAGCGCGACAAGCTCGCCGCACAGCTCGAGGCGCTGGCCGGCGAGGACTTGCTCGGCGCCGGCGGCGCAGGCGTCGGCGCCAACAGTGCAGAGTCGCGCAAGCGTGAGCTCGCCAGCGCGCGGCGCCAGATCGAGGAGCGCGAGAAGCGGCTCGAGGGTGAGTCAGTCGTCGCATGCGCAAGGCCCCGTCTGACGCCTGCACACAGCGATCGAGAAGGAGCAGGACGAGCTGCAGAAGAAGATCAAGTCTGCGTCGGAGCGCCACGAGAAGACGCGCAACGAGCAGGTCAGCGACGCGCGCGAGATTGAGCGCGGCGAGAAGAGCCTGCAGCGCTACCTCTCGCAGAAGCAGATCTTCACCGCCAAGAAGGACCAGGAGAACAAGAACATCCGTGACCTTGGCGTGCTGCCCGACGAGGCGTTTGAGAAGTACCTGCGTACGAACAACGAGAAGGTGAGCGTACACAGGCGTCGCTCTTGTCAGCCAGGACTGACTGAGAGGCACCCCGCAGGTCGTCTCGCGCCTGCACAAGGTCCGCGACACGCTCAGCAAGTTCACCAACGTCAACAAGAAGGCCGTCGAGCAGTACAACAGCTTCACGAAGCAGCGCGACCAGCTCATCCTGCGGCAGAAGGAGCTGGAGCAGTCGGCCGAGTCGATCCAGGAGCTCATCGAGGTGCTCGACCAGCGCAAGGACGAGGCCATCGAGCGTACCTTCAAGCAGGTGTCCAAGTACTTTGCCGAGGTGTTTGACAAGCTCGTGCCCGCCGGCAAGGGCCAGCTGATCATGCTGCGGCGCGCCGAGGAGGTGAGCAGAGCGTGATGCAGCGCCTCCGACCTTGACTGATTCGTCTCGCAGAACGAGGCCGACGATGACGATGACGACGAGCACGAGGCCAGCTCAGTGGAGAACTACACCGGCGTGTCGATCAAGGTGCGCCAGGCGCTCTCGAGTCTGCAGCCCGCTCCTGACACCCTGCACGCACAGGTCTCGTTCAACTCCAAGGTCGACGAGGGCCTGCTAATCCAGCAGCTGTCCGGCGGACAGAAGTCGCTCGTCGCGCTGGCCACCGTGTTCGCCATCCAGAAGTGCGACCCGGCGCCCTTCTACCTCTTCGACGGTGAGTGCAGCTCGCGAACGCATGTCCGCGCTTTTGCTGACGAGCCTCCGACGATGCAGAGATCGATGGTGAGCGCGCAGCGCGCGTGGACTTTGCCATGTGCCCCACTGACTGAGTCCTTCTTCGCCGCACGCAGCCAACCTGGACGCACAGTGAGTGTGCTCGTTGCTGCCGGCCTCGCACCTGTCCTAACGCCTTGACCCTTCAGATACCGGACTGCCGTCGCTGGTAAGCTGTCGTCGATGCCCGCCTGCTCTCTCGTGCCAGTGCTGACCTCTCCCTGTAGCGATGATCCAGGAGCTGTCCGACACCGCACAGTTGTGAGTCTACGCAGCGCCCGTTTGCTCAGCCTCGTCTGACGCGCTCCCCGCAGCATCCTCACGACCTTCCGACCCGAGCTCGTCGAGCGTGCAGACAAGCACTACGGAGGTGCGTGCCGACCCACTGATGCGGCCCTGGCGTCGCTGACGAGGGCTCCACACAGTGCTCTACACGCAGTCGAAGATCTCGACGCTCCGCAGGTGAGTGCTGCGACCCACGCCGTCATCGCCCGCCAGCTGACGCCTCTTTGTGCAGCATCACCAAGGACGAGGCCTCTGCCTTCGTCGAGGCCGCCGCCGAGCCGGCCGCCGCAGCGTGAGCTGTGCGCTGCGCCCGTCCCCTCTGCTGCCCGCCTTCTGTTTGCCCTGTCTGTTCCGGCCGTGTCTTGCCGCGCGAGCATGCCTGCCGTGTCTGTACTCTATCCCAACGTCATCAATGCCCCTGCACTTCGCCATGAAGGTCACGCTGGATCGGGATTGGCGGCGCTCTCGCCGCGACGGCCTGGAAGGGGCGCGTCGCGGCCGCGCCTGCGCGGAAGGCTACATGAGGGGATAGGGTGACTGAGGTGGTCGATGGCCGCGGCGGTGAGCTGGATGGTGATGTACACGATGCGAAGTCGAAGCAGGTGACGCGGGAATGTGGCTGTCTTGAGCCGTGAATGGGACGCGAGCTGCTGAGCATCCTGTCAGAGACGGCGCCAGCGGAGCATCACCAGCCGACTCACCGTCGTCGCTCACTCGCGAAGGTAATCGGCGCCGAGCGCCTCGGCGCAGCTGCGGGCACGCGCCTCCTGGGCCTTACGCGCCGTGTCGGACATGTTGTCGTCGTCGTCGTCGTCGTCCTCCTCCTCCGACTCCGTCTCTTCGCCCTCCTCGTAGAAGTTGAACTCTTGCTCCTCGCCGTACGCGTCGCAATTGTTGATGAGGCGCATGAAGAGCTCCGTCTTGCTCTTCTCACGCGTGCTGACGCGAGGCTGCACTTCCTCCTCGGCGTCGGTGAGGTTGCTCCAGTTGTCCGGCGTGTCGCCGCCCATCGCATCCTCCCACTCCGTCGCCTCGCGCGAGTCGGGAGCCGGCGCGTCGACGCCGTCATTCTTCTTCTGCTCGACCTGAGCTGCAGCCGGCGCCGTGCCGCTGCGGTTGGCCTTGCCGTCGTCGCCCGTCTCGCGCTTGCGCTTCTGGCGCAGACAGATGCCGCAGGCGCACTCGCTCAGGAAGGCCGACTCGGCGGTCCAGACTGCACAGGAGCGTCAGTGGCTGGGGTGACGAAGGCAGCGGCCCTGAGGCGACGCACTTTCCTCGATGACGGCGCATGTGGCGATGCCGACATCCGAGTAGCTGAACGGCAGAGCCGGGAGGACGGGCTCCTCGTCCTGCTTCGCTGGCGCCGTGGCGAAGCCCTTCTTGGCCTTCTTGTTGCGGTGCCAGAACGGCTTGTGGCGCAGCAGAACGAGCAGGCCCTGCACCGTCGTGCGCGCGGCGAAGTCGGAGGCTTTCTGTCCGTGCTCCTGCTGCAGGTGGCGTGCGATATTGTGCAGCGGCAGGCCGAGGAAGTGTGGCAGCACCTCATCGGTCCAGAGGATGTCCGCCTTGGTGCGCAGCTCACGACTGGGCGCCGATAAGTGCCACTGGCGCACAAGACGGCCCTGTGCGTCGCGCTCGACGTGACCGGTAGGCATGCCCGGCCCGTACAGTCCCTCATCGATGGGCAGGGATGGCAGAAGCAGCGGACCGGACACCACCAGCGGCTTGAGCGGCATCTCGGACAGCTCATCCTCGGAGAACCAGAGACCTAACGCGGGCGCGTCAGCGGATGAGCTCGCCTTGGCGCGGCAGCACGCACCATTGAGGAACTTGTCTCGACCGTGGAAGGAGAGGCACTGGCGACGCGCAGTCTCTCTGACCTCTGGATCGTTCCACGCGGCCTCGGCCGTTTCCTCGTCGTCCGACTCCTCTTCGACGTACGCGAGCATGGACGGCATCAGCGCGCTGCTGAGGCGAGCTCGGTTCAGGCGCGTCCGGGCGCGAGACGCGAGCTCCTGCTTAGTGGCGACGTCGCGCCAGTGCTTGAAGTGCCAGAGGCTCGAGAGCCAGAACTGCAAGAGAGCATGCATCAGATGCGTCGCCTTCGAGTAAGGGGCGCAGACGCACGTGTTCCATGGCCTTGCGCGCTGCGTACACAGCTGTGCGTGCGCCCTCCCACATGTACGCATACACCTCGAGGGACTCGCAGTAGGCCGTCTGGTGCAGCGGCCGCTGGCCGTATCTGCCACCGAGCAGGGTCAGGACGCGTCTGGGCGAGCGCACGCTTGCTGGCACTGACTTGCTCATGAGCTGGAGCTCCAGCTGGTCCTGACGACAGTCGGAGCACAGGTTGGCGTCCATCTTCTTGGAGAGGGGAAACGCGATGTGGTCGAAGCAGATCGACATGCCACGGGAGTCCGTCTCGATGAGCAGGCAGTCGTGGCTGCGGAACTTGCGCATCAGCAGCGGCGGACACTCGAGGCAGCAGACGACGTACCACGACAGCCACTTGCGAGGGCCGGGAGCGGTGCACAGGCGTGCGTGCATCGGACACATCTGCGCGTGACGCTGGATCAGCTGCTGCTGCTGCGCAGGTGGCCGGCTGCTCTGCGCACCGGCACTGTTCCGAGCGAGAGGGTGCTGCACAGCGGAGAGCCTCAGCGCCGACACGAGCAAGGACCGCACCGCACTCACAAGACCGGCTTGGACATGTAGCCTCTGTCCGGGATGAACTGGCCGGGAACCAAGCACACGACGCAGCACGTGTGCCTCAGCACGAGGCGCGCCAGCTGGAACGGCGAGCCGGGCTGATTGCCCAGATCCGTGCGGCAGACGAGCTGGATGAACGTCATCCACGACGAGCTCGACTGAAACACTGCGAGGGTCATGAGCGTTAGTGCTGGGCCGCGCAGGCTGAGGACGGGACTGACCGGCCGATGCGAAACGCTTCGACAGCTGACGCAGTCCGAGGAACCAGGAGCGCCAGCGGAAGAGATCAAAGATGCGTCGCTGCTGGTAGACATCCTTGGGCGCCGGATGGCCGACGTAGGGCCCGCCCGGCAGCAGACGATTCTCGGTCGGGGGAAAGAGCGCGTCGGGTCCGAGCTGGTCGACGATGAGCTGCAGCAGCTCGGCGCTGATGTAATTGATCGACCACGACTCCTGGCCAGGCGATAGGCCACGCGTCTTGCCGCGCGGTGCAGTGTGCAGCTCCTCGGACGACGGCACCTTGTCGAGCTTGCGCCACGGCGTGCCTGCACGGCCGGCCCGGTGACGAGGGTGGGTCTCCGGCGGCGGGGTCGAGAGGTCGTCGCTCTCCGTTTCGTACTCTTCAGGCTCGCTGACCTCCTCCAGAAACGCCTCGGCATCGTCGTTAGCGTAGCGACGCGTCCACGGCGAGTCGTTTCCGCTCTCGTATGCCTCTCCATCGCCGTCGCTCACCACGCCGCTGTCTGCTGGCCCGAGTCAGCACACTGCGAGAGCGACCAGCGGCAGCACTCACCCTCGGCCGACTGTACGCTCATCTGACCCGTCGAGTTGCGCAGCAGTGTCGAGCCCTGATCCTCGCTCTGGGAGCTGGCGCTCAGCAGGCTGCTCTCCGTGCTCGAGTCGCTCTCTGACGCCGCCGGCCGGCTGGTGCTCTCGTCGCTCGTGCCGGGGCGCGACTCGCGAGGCAGTGCCGCGAGCGACGGCTCCGCAGCTGCCTGCGCCGCCTCGATTGCGTCCTGGACCTGGTGGAAGAAGATGTTGCTTTCGAGCTGGCCGCCCGAGGTGCTGTCTAGCATGTAGGACGGGCCAGGCACAGCCTCGGGCTCGAGCATGTAGGCCGGCGGCGGCGGCGGCGGCGGCGGCGGCTCGGGCATCTCTGCGTCGGCCAGCACGTCGTGCACGCCAAAGGCATCCTCGACGGCCTCGAGGCCGCCATCCTCGATGAGCGCCGGCTCGATGTCGACGAGCTCGACGGGCACGTCGGAGCAGGCGCTGAGGTACAGCTCGGCCTCTTCCGACGACGAGCTGTGCGTGCTGCGGCCCAGGTCGCTCGTCGAGGCGCGCTCGATGGCTTGCGCCATGGCGCTGTTGAGGTGACGCTGCGGGTTGCGCTGGGCAGTTGTCAGCGTGGAGAGGTGCGAGGCATGCGTCGCTGTCGTCGTCGCCTCCACCCCGCCCCGCGCATGGACCCTCGCCGCGAGTCCAACACCTGCACGAGGCTGTGCCGTCTTGATGCTGCTGCACGTCCCGATGCAATTCTCCGCGCTGCGCCATGCCATGCCGCCAGCCACACGACACGTCCAAGCCGCAACGCGGCTCGACTCACACGGCTGTGCGCGGCGGCGCCCGTGCGCTCGCAGAGGTCAGACGGCAGCTGGAAGACAGGGGCTGAGAGGGTGTGTGCGAAAGTGGAGTAGGGAGAGATGGGAGAGGAGAAGTAAGGTCCTTGCGGCACGGCACCTCTGCCGCGCACCCACAGCAGCAGCCCGAGGCGGCGGCAGGCACGCCGCCAGCCGCCGCGCCGCGCGTCGACGCGCCCGGCCGCTCCGCGTCTCGCCCCCGCACCCGTGATGATGAAGTCTCGAGCGAAGTTGCGTCGCAGGCTGGAGTGGGGCGATAGCAGGAAGTCAGGGAGCGCAGGCTCACTCGCACTGGGTCTTTCTTTCCACCATCATCACCGGTGCTGCCGATAGCATCTGCACACGCACAGCCCGTTTCCCCTCTCCATCCGTCCGTCTGCGTCGCACCCACATGGCGACGCAAGTGTCCGGTGCTACGATGCCTGATACCCTTGAGTGGTTCGAAGTCAATGTGAAGGATGGAGACGGCAACCACATGATCTTTCGAGTTCGCGCGTCGGTTCTCGTCAGCAAGATCGGCGAGGCGTGGGCCGTCCGCTTCGGCATCGCTCCCAACGGCCCCGGCCGCAAGAGCTACAAACTCAGCTTTGAAGGGACTCGCCCCGCGGCTGATGCTACTGTTGGAGACGTGAGTCCAGAGCTTCGACGTGGCACTTCTCGAAGGTCCGACCCAGCGCGGGCGTGGGAAGGACGTGCCCGCTGGTCGATGCCAGGACGTGGGTGCCCCGCACAATCGTGCGTTGGGATACATACTGCGGCCTTGCCCGCGGTCTCCTTGGACATGCACTCGCATGCTTCCACTTTCGACTTAGACTTAAAGAAGTGCAAGCTCACACACTGCTTCAAACAAGCTCCTCAAAGACAACGAGTACAACCAGCCCTTGACCCTCTGGTTTCAGAAGTGCCAGTGCGGATGCTAGCGCTCTTCCATCGGGCCGAATGAGCTCCACAGCCCTCGACTTCCAACGCAGATAGTACCGCTCCTGCTCTGGTCATCACCCGTCTCGCTCTTCAGTCTCCTCCTGTGCCTGCGCGAGCAGTTCGAGCCCGTCACGTCAGCACGCGTGCCACACTCTCGAAAGGGCTCTCGCTTGCTGATCTTGTGACTTGCGTGAGCGCCTTGTGTGGCCGAAGCGAAGGACACAGCGACTTGGAATGGCTGAGGTTGAGGAGATGGGAAATTTGCACAGATGAGGCTCAGGCCGGCCTCTGTGATGCCGCTCTCTGCTCATCGAGCGGTCGTCACGTTGCGGTGCAGGTGCCGGCGGCCGCCGCGCGCAGCCGTATTCAGTTTCGCTTTGTAGTCGAGTCCTCCACCTCGATGCTTGCTGAAGAGGGTGTGACACACGAGAAGGAGGCTTGCTTGCGATGCGCTGGCGCCAGCTCCTGCTTCCCGACCACGAGCCCCCGCATCCCGCAGCACCGCCTGCACGCTCAGCTCTCACACCCAGCTCTCCACACCTCCCTCCCGCAAGCCGTCCAGCATGGGCGTTCGCAACGCCGGCGCCATGGTCGAGGCCCAGAAGCTCGAGAAGCTCAAGATCAAGATGGTCGACTGCGCGAGCGGCCGCTCGTACGTCTACACAGTGTGCACGGCGACGTCCATCAGCAGGCTCGGACAGATGTTCGGAGCCAGCGACGGGTGGGGCGGCCGCCTCAGGATCTTCGACGACGGCCGCCGCTGCCAGGAGCACGAGACTGTTCAGACCGTGAGTCACGAGCTTGCGGGCGAGATCAAGCCGGACGGCGTGGGTGGAGCGGGAATTGCGATGGCTTCCTGTGCCAGGTCGTCTCGTGGCTCGACGAGCTGTGTGGTGATCGTAGCGCCTCTGACTGTTCCGGCACGCCTCGCTTTCTTGGCCGTTTGCCGCGCAGTGGCTGACTTTCCTTCTCTGTTCAAGCTACTTGACGACGCGCGCGAGCACGATGAAGGTCCTGACTCGGACGGTGTCTACAGGCTTGACGTTATGAAGTGCATGTGCGGATGCTAGTGCTCGCCTGCCGCGCGAGATGGTCTCCAAGGCCTCGATCTTCAACACCGGCACCTCCTCGCCTTCGCTTCAGCCCCATCTCACGACGCACCGCTCCTCTTCTCGTGCGTCGCGCTCACAATTGAGCCTGTGTCACCAATGTCACGACGCACTTCCACACTCTCAGCCTGATCCCCTCTCTCGCTGATGTTGCCGATTTGCGTGAGCCGTGCTTGAGCAGCCGAAGCGATGGCTTCAGCTCTCGTGGTCCGCTAGCCTTGTGAGCTGTCGACAGATGATGCACAGATTCGCCTACTCCGCTTCAGCCAGGTCAGCCTCGCCGCGCGCGCGGGGCCGCGCGTGTCGAGACGGGCGGCGGCGCTTTCCTTCCCACCACCACGAGCGCGCGGCCGTCTGCGCAGCCGGCCAACTGCCTAGCGCTCTTCTCTCCTCAAGCTTTCGCCACGGCCAAGATGGGCGTCCGCAAGTCCGGCACGTCGCTCGAGGCCGAGTCGGCCGACACGGTGATCGTGACGGTCAAGACCATGACTGGCAGCACCTACCACTTCAACGCCTCTAAGCGCGCCTCAGTCGGCAAGTTTCGCCGTCGCTTCAGCGAGCACACTGGCATTCCGACGGACCAACTGCGTCTTGTGCACGACGGCCGACGCATCCAGGACGATGAGATGATGGACAAGGTGAGCAGGGCTGATCTGTTCCTTGCGACGCGAGTCTCGTATCGAGTCAGGTGCACGTGCAACCAAGCCAGCCAGGAGCAGAGATCCGCTCGTCGGCGCTTCTAGTCTGTATCTGAACGCTCACACTGCGCTGCTGAACGACTTGAGCCGCGTGGTTTGCCTCTCGCCTCTGCTCGTGAGCTCACGCACCTCGTCCGCTGGCAGATCGGAGACTTGGCGCAGGGCGACGATGCAATCACGATCTACGCCGTACTGTGCATGTGCGGCTGCTGAGGGCGTCGATTCGAGCCGAGCAAGTCCACGGCAGCCGTCGTCAGCTCGGCGCTCTGTTCCGCTCCCGTCCCCATCGTCACGACCCAGCTAGCTCTTCTCCTTTCCTCTAAGCCCTCGAGCTCGAGTCTGTCACCCAATGTCATGACGCTCCACTCCACTGTTTTCGCTCTCTCTTTACTCGACGTACCTACAACGTGCCTGTGTCCTGGGTGAGGTGGCAGGCGGCCGCCATCAAGGCTTGAGACGTCTGCTCGCACTCGGAGTGCATCACGAGCACAGATGTGGTGAGCTTTCGCTCGCGGTCTACTCTGCTGCGCAAAGACCGAGAGAGCAAAGATCAGAGCAAGGAGCTCCAGAGGAACATGAGGCATCAGCCTCAATGCTCAAGCCAGGCAGGTGAGAGAGTTTGAGCCCAGAGCTGCACGCTGGAGAGAGGGCGGCGGCTAGGGGTCGCGATGCGCGCCGCGCGTCGGGATGACGCGCGTCCAAGAGCTGCCCCTTTTGGCACTTTACGCCCTGAGTCCCGAGCAGCATGTGGCAGCGCAGAGTGACGAGACCCTTCGCAACGAGGCGACAGCCTCTTGCTGTCCCACCACCACCATCCTCACCAGCGCCGCTGGCCACGCCTCTACGCACCACACCTGCCCACACCCCTCTTATCTTCGCCATGCCCGCCGCGCCCACGACCGCCAACGCGGAGTCGCTCGCAGCCGCACGAGCCGAAAGCTTCAAGGTCGTGATCGTAACCCACACTGGCTCGGAACCTTCCTTCAAAATCACGAAGAGCTCTACCATCGGCGAGCTCCGCGCCGCGTACGGCGAGTGGCAACACGTACCTGTGAACCAGATTCGTCTCATTCACCACGGCCATGGCCTCGCCGATGAGATCACGGGCGAATATGTGAGTGGCTTGCGCAGCAATTGTTTGAAGGAAGTCCTCTCGCTAGGGCGGACGGGAGCGGTCGCTGTCTGCAGAGTTGCATTGAAGGGTCGCACAGAACGTGGCGGCTTGGGCGCAGCAGCCGTGCGACGGGGATCAGCATCGCGCACACTCGCCATTGGCATGCGCGTGCTGTGGGGAGAGCCACCCTTGGCACCTGACTGTTAGCTGACCCGAAGACCTCACTCTCGACTACAAGCTCCTGTACGAGAAGGCCGCAGGCCGAGGTCTTGATCGGTGGGGCCGTATTGTGATCGACGCCATCGTCTGCCTGTGCGGATGCTAAGATGTTCCTCTCGGCGCCACTTGGATACGTGAGTGGCTGTGTTGCTGTGCTTCACTGCTGCCGCTCTTGATGGGGAACGGGAATGCCGAGCTGCGTCGTAGAGCATGCCTGCTGCTGCGTCGTGCTCGTCGCAGTCGGCGCTGCGCGAGAAGCAGCAGAGCGTATCGAGGACGAGCTGGCCGCCGGCCAGCTGCGCTGGCTTGTTGACACTTGAGGCTCCTGTGTGGTGGCTCGCGTCGCCTCGCACTTGCTCATGAGCTCACACTTCGCATTCGCCGCAAGCTCCTCAACGAGGTGTCGCAGGCCGGCAACGAGTCCGACGGCGTGCTCGTCATCACCTTCGAGCTCTAGCTACCCAGCTGCTGTCGAGCGCTCGCAAGCCGCACAGGACTCTCAACTCTCGTCTCATCACCACGTGCGGCCCGCTTCTGGCCCCGTCATCGCAGCCCGGTCCGCTCTTCTCGTACCCAGCACCTTCGCGCACAGTGCGCGCCTCAATGTGACCATGCTTAGCCGTGCGCTGGCGGTGCTGACAGATTTGAGCTGTCGTGGTAAGATGCCGCGGCTGCAGTCCTTCGCTACGTCAGGGATGATCTTGCTCGTCGTCGTGGTTGAGCGGCACGGATGTCGGTGCATGCTGCGCACAGGCCACGCGCCGCTTCCCCGCACTTCGCGTCGAGGTGGAGGAGCGGGCCGGCGCGACGTTGTGAGCCGATGCCGAGATGCGCGCGCGCACATCCTGCTTCCCGCACACCACTACCTTTCGCGCCGCCATGACTGCCATTGCCGCGACCGATGCGCTCACCGGGCTGCGCACGCCCTTCGTCGTCGAGCGCGTGACGATTCCGCCTTCCGATCTCGACCCGTCGCTCAAGCTGCGCGTCATGGTGCACCACTCTGGGCGCAAGCCGGGCGCACGCCCACTGCTGCTGCTGCACGGCCACCCGCAGTCTAGCATCATCTGGCGCGATGTGGCGCCGGCGCTGGTGGATGACGGCTGGCACGTTGTGGCGATGGACTTGCGCGGTCATGGCGGCAGTGATGCGCCGCCGGTCCGCACGCGTGATGGAAAGGACGAGCCGCCGGCCGAGGAGGGCAAGTGGCGCTACAGCAGTAAGTGCGCGAGTCCCAGCCTCTGCGATGTGCTGCTGAGAGCTCCTTACCAGAGCGCGAGATGGCGCGCGACTGTATCGAGGTCATGAAGCACTACGGCCACGAGTCGTTCTGGGTCGTGGCACACGACCGCGGCGCACGTGTGGCGCACCGCCTGAGCCTGGACCACCCCGAGGCGGTCAAGAAGATGATTCTGCTGGACATTGCACCCACGCTGGTGAGCGGCATGCCCGCAGACTGTTGTGCCTTGCTGACAGCGCTATCCGGCAGCCGATGTACGAGAAGGTGCGAGTCCAGCGGGACCAGGCGATGGCGGACTGCTGATCTTCTCGCAGACCGACGTGCGCTTCGCGGGCTACTACTACCATTGGTTCATGCTCATCCAGCCGTTTGGCCTTCCGTGAGCAGACAGGCATCCCTGACCTCTCCATTCCGTGCTGACCGCTGGCTGCTCGACAGAGAGGGACTGAGTGAGTAGGACGGCTTCCTCACATTCCACGCACTGAGCCCTGCTCCCAGTCACCGGCGCGCCCGAGGCGTACATCCAGCGGCAGATGGTGCTGCGGCCCGGCAGCGAGGCCGTCTTCTCGCCCGACGTCATTGCCACGTATGTCGCCTCTGTCGGATCCTGGGAACACGCACACGCCATGGCCGAGGACTACCGTGCCTCGTCGCCGCTCGGGCCCGACCTCGAGCTGGACCGCAAGGACCGCGAGGCGGGACGCAAGGTGCAGACGCCGGTGCGTTGCCAGAGGCCCGATGCTGATGAGGCTTGTGCTGATGCTGCCTGCGCCAGACTCGCGTGCTGTGGGGCGCAAAGGGCATCATTGGCTCGCTCTTCAATGGCCTGGAGCTGTGGAAAGAGGCGTGCGTCGATGTCGATGGCCACGCCACGGAGAGTGGGCACTACATCCCAGAGGAGCGTCCGGAGGAGATCATCAACGAGGTGCGTCGCTCACCGCGCATCGCCGCGGCAGACGCTCGCTGACACTCTCGCACAGGTGCGCAGCTTCTTCTAGGCGGCCTCTCATTGCTGCCAGCAATGCCATCAGATCGAAACGAGCTAGGTATTGCAGCAGAGCACGGGCAGCACACACAGAGGGGTCCTGCGGCAGGCGCGCAGTGGGTCGGGGTCATGACGGTGGGGAAGATGGGGCGCAAGACGAAGCGTGGCGAGCTCTGCGTCAGGGCGACCTGGATAATAGACAGGCAGGTCTAGAGAGTGAGGGAAGAGGAAGGGGGCAAATCACGCATCGGCCTTGGCCTCGGCGTCTGCGCTGCCGACGACGCCCGAAGCGACTGCCGGCGCAGCGTCCGCCTCGTGCGCCGTGCCGGCGTCCGTGGCGATGGAGATGATCGAGTCGTCTGCGCCGCCGGCGTTGGGGTTGGGCGACATGGAGCCGCTGGCCTTGCGTGCGCCGCCGGCGTTGAGCGTCTGCGTGACGCTGCGCGGCGGGTTGCCGCATCTGTGCGTGTGTGTGAGCAGCTGCGCTGAGGTGTGCTCGAGGTGGCACGCCACACTCACCGGTCCTTGCCGTAGGCGATGCGACACGTCTGGTAGTCCGGGTGGTTCTTCATCGCCTCGATGGCCTTGATGGCGTTTTGGATGTTGCAGAAGTTGACAAACGCCTGGAGCGAGCAGTGTCAGCTTTGCGCGCGCAGGCTCGCAGCATCTTCTCACTCACGCAGTTCTTCTCCCGCAGGCTGTTGACGAGCTCAATCTCGCCATACTCGCCAAAGTCGCGCCGCAGCTTCTCGTCGTTGAGCACGTCGGCATTCTCGATGTTGCCGACGTACACGTTGCGGCTGCCGCCCGCCTGCACGGCCATGGCGATGGCCGGGCTGAGCGGGCCCGAGTGCTTGCCCCAGCCGATCTTGAGGCGGCGGTTGTGGATCATGACGCCCGAGTAGGACGCGAGATGGAAGAAGGCCAGCGCCGTGTTGGCGTCGACAAAGGTGAGGAAGGCAATGTGCTTCTCGGCAATGTAGCGCACGTTCTGCAAAATGCCGCCGCGCACGTGGTTGCAGATCTCCTCGGTCGTCGTCTCGGGGTGAATGTTGCCGAGGTAGACGGTGCGGTTGCCGATCTGCGAGAGGGCCGTCGAGTTGGGCGCCGCATTGGCGCCGCCGCCGAGCATCGCCGCAGCTGCAACGCCAAAGGCCGAGCCGCTCGACGCCGAACGCGCCTGCTCCTCGGCGTTGGCGCTCGAGGGCATGCCGAGGCCGAAGCCCATGCCCGGCGGCGCGCTGGCGGGACCGAGGGCGCCAAACGCCGCGTTGGGCATGCCGGGAAAGCCGACGGACGTGGCGCTGAAGGCCGTCGGGTAGCCGAGCGACGCCGCGGCCGCCATGCCCATGGCCGCGGCCTGGTTGTTGTGCTGCTGGTTCTGCTGCTGGCTGCGCGGCACGTACGCGCAGCGGTCCTTGCCGTAGTTGACGCGCTTGCCCGTCCACGCCGGCTCCGTCGGCAGCGTCGCGACGACCTTCATGGCGGTGGTGATGGAGAGGAAGTGCACGAAGCCAATGTTCTTGTCGCGCACAATCTTGACCTGGTCGATGGGCCCGAAGCGCGAGAGATCGTCGCGCAGCGACTGCTCCGTGACGCTCTCGTCGAGCTGGCCCAGGTACACGTTGCGCGTGGCCTGGCTCTGCTGCACGGCCATGGCGACGGGCGTGGGGCACGTCGACGGCTTGCCCCACCCGATCTTGAGCTCCTGGTTGTGCAGCGACATCTTCTTGACCGACGCGTCGGCGTGGAAGGCCGCGGCCGTGCCGCCGTCGAGGAACGAGATGAAGGCGCAGTTCTTCTCGGCCAGGATGCGCACGTTTTCGATGGGCCCAAACTTGACCTGGTTGAGCAGTTCATCGACGGACGCGTCGGCGGGCAGGTTGCCCACGTAGACGGTGCGCCCCGTCTGGTTGCCCTGCGGCGGCGCAGACATCATGCCCATGTTCGGCACAAACTGGCCCAGGCCCGGGCTGGCGCCGAAGGCGCCCGGCGAAAAGTTGGCGTACATGGCGCTCATGGCGCTCATGGGCGACTGCAGCTGCGCCTGCTGCTGTTGCTGCTGCTCGTGGCCCGGCATGCCCGGCATGAGGTAGGAGACCGACTGCGGGCCGGCGCTGAGCGGGCTAAAGGCGCCGCCGTTGAGGCCGCCCATGAGCGCGTTGTTCGACGCCAGGTTCAGCGGCGCCGGCGCGTAGGCGTGCTGCACGAACGGCGAGCTCGGCGCGGGCGCGCCGGGCGTCTGGCCGCCAGTCGAGAGGCCCATCATGCCGAGCGAGATGCTGCGGTTGCCGCCCTGCTGCTGCTGTTGCTGCTGCGAGTACAGGTTGGCATGCTGCACGCCCGGCGAGAGGTCGCCAAACGTCTGGCTGGCCGGCGCCGACGTTGGGTAGTTGAAGGCGGGCACGTGGCCCTCGGAGACGAAGCGCGCCTTCTTGTTGATGCCGTCGGCAAGGCTGCTCGGCAGGGCCGCCTGGCCGAGCGGGTCGAGCGAGCCGTTGCCCGCGCCGCCGGGCGCCGCCAGCACGGCGGGCGAGGCGTCGTACGACTGCGAGCTCGTGCGCTTCATCATCTCGGCGAGGAATGGGTTGACGTGGAAGAGCAGCTGGCGCAGCGCAAAGTTGTTGTCGACCAGGCCCGGGCCCGAGACTGGCACCTGCGGAGGAGCGGCGGCGGCGGCGCTCGGCGCGGCACGCGGAGTCTTGAGCTGCTCAGCACTCGCGCCGTCGAGCGAGACCTTGCTGAGCGCGGCCGTGGCGCCCATGATGTCGGGCGTCGACGCAGGCATGTTGCGCATGGGTGGTGAAGTGCGACGAAGGGAAGAGGAAGGCAAGGAGTGAAACAAGAACGGGAGAGAGGACGTCAGCGAGAAGGAGATGGCGAGAGGGAAGGTGGCAGCAGCAGCGGCTCTGCTTAAGAGGTGCGGGCACCGAGATCCGGGCGTGGGCGAGAGCGGCGACGCGCTGCTGGCCAGCCGGCGGCGGCTCTGACGCCAGCGAAGCGCCCCCTCCGTGTGCCTTGGTACGTATTTGGCGCAGCAGGCACCACGCACGCCGGCAGTGTGGTGCTTCAGGAGCGGCCTGATTGGCGCCGCAAAGTGCCCTTGCGCCTCGGGCGGCGGCGTGGCGCTCATGCCGCGCCCTGAGCCGCCAGCCATGGGTCTCTCGCACGTCCAGCAGACGGTCGCGACGAGCTGCAGCGAGCGACATGCTCTTGTGCAGCCCACCAGAGAGCCGTGGTTGTGATCGAGGTCGGACGCGCTTTGAGGCGGCGCGACTCGAGCGAGCACGACGTCGCGCCTCGGCCTAGCTCTGACCCACACCGATGATAGCCCCTCGCTCTCTCCTGTCCAGCGCGAAGTGCAGCGGAGTCCTTGCGCCCATCCCAAATGGAGCTCGCCATTCTGATTCCGGCAACCGCGGCTCCCGAGCTCGGCTGCGCCCTCGATTGGGATCGGAGACGCCGCTGCTGCCGAGGTGTCCCGCACGGAAGCCGCACGTGCTCGCAGCCCTGGCACTCACACGTGGCGACACGGCCCCTACAAGAGACGGACGGGCAAGGGGATCCAGCGGGGATGAGACTGCCAGAGTCTTCCGGGGAGAGAGAGTCGAGATGCAGCTGCAGAGTAGAGCCCGCGCAGCGGAGAATGCGAAAGCGAGCGAGCGAGCGCCGGCGAAGAGCGGAGAGGCGCCAGGCGAGAGACGGACGAGATGGAAGAATTGCGCGTCCGAGGGCAAGGAGAGAGACCCGAATGAGGGAAGAGAGAGGGGAAGGAGAAGAGGGGTGATGGGTGCGGGACGCTGGAGCGGCAGCAGCGGAGCTCGTGCGGCACAAGCACCGCCAGCTGCAGCGCCCGGCGTCCGTGCAGCGGCAACGCATACACGGCACCACGCGCCTCTCGACGTGCCTCTCTCTCGCTCTGGGGGCGACAAGTCGAGTCGGAGCTCCCGCTCCCGACGATCCCACTCGACTGCAGCTCAGCCGCCTTGCCGCCTTCTCGGCTCGGCGCGTCGTCGTTAGCGCGTCCACGCGGCCGCCGCGGGGAGGCCGAGAGAGCACGTCTCGGCGCTCAGACGGCAGGCGGCAGGCTCCCATGCCGCTGCGGCTGTGCGCTTTCGCCGCCTCTGAGACGCGTCTTAGCGTGCCTCGAGGTGCGGGCGCAGCGCCAGCGCCTCTCCAGAGGTCTCGCCGCACGGCGTCGGGCAGGCACACGCCGACGCCTTGGACAGCGTGGCGCCGCGTCCGGCGCCGACGTTCAGCTCGCCGTGTGGCAAGGCAACGCGCCGCCCACAGCCGCCACGCTGCGGCAGAGAGACACGACGGGGATCAGCGAGCCGGAGTCCGGCAGAACATGAGGCGTGCGGGCAGCAGATGCAGCGCTGCGATCATGCAGCGCTGCAGGGCAGATGGCGGCACGGGACGACGGCGGGGCGCTGGACGTGCATGCATCGCTGACATTTGGTCCCCTCTGCTCTCGCTTCCCTCCTTCACTCCCTCTCGCGCTCAAGACGTGATGAGCTCGCTGCCCTCCTCTCGATGCCGTTCAATCAATCATCTTCGCCGGGCGCGCTCCACCGTGCTCAGCTAGACGCTTCGCATGCATCTACGAGCGCCTGCGCAGAGAAGAGCGTCAGTCAGTCGATCGCGAAGCGCAGCGACTGTGCCATCACGCACTTCTCGTCCTTGGCCTCGGTCTCGCCCGTCTTGGCGGGACGACGAAGGTCGTCGCGGATCTTGGACGCAGACTTGTCGTGCTTGCGCTCCGACGATGTCGACGACGTTGAAGCTGCGTGTGCCGCGGGCTTGCCGGCCGACGCAGACTTGGCGTGCTTGCGCTCCGACGACGTCGACGAGGTCGAGGCTGCGTGTGCTGCGGGCTCGCCGGACTTGTCGCCTCCCACCGCCGTGTTGGTCTCTGCCTCTGCGAGCTTCTTCTTGGCGTCGCGGATGCGCTGCGCGCTCAGGATGAGCTCCTGCTCCGCCCACTTGCGGATGTAAGCGTCGCGCGCCTGGCGGTCGCCCACCAGCGAGGCGATCTCAGCAAGCGTCTTCTTGACTCCCTGCACTTCCTCAACTATCCCCGCAAGGCCCTCGTCCGCCCGCTCTTGCGTCAAAGGCTCCGCACTCGTGATGTCGATCACTGCGACGTCCTGATGCGCCTCGAGCTGTGCGCGGCACTCCTCGAGGATCTTCTGATGCTCCTCGTACTCTGCGCGGCACCTCTCAGCGACCCAGAAGTACTGCTCGTTGATGGCGAGCTCATAGTGCTGCCACTCGCGGATGTGCGCGTCGTCCGCCTCGAGCGCCTCGAGACACTCTCGCCACGAGGCAGGCGTCCTTCCTCTGGGAATAATGGGCTCTCCGCGATCGAGCTTGATGGGGTTGAGCGTGCTCTCGTCAGTCTCGGCGCGCTCCTCCTCGCTCAATGGCGCAACGCCGTATGGGCCCAGCGGCAGTCCGAACAACTTGCGAAACTCGCGACGCAGTGCGATGACGTTGCGCGCGTAGTCTACGAATGTAGTCTGGCCGCCGGGGGGAAAGACGAGCCCGGACAGGGCCGCTTGCGCCTCGTCGATGCTTGCAGACGGCTCGACGCCAGCCGGGCGGCTAGCGAGCGGTGCAGCATTCTCCCACCTCGCCTTGAGCACATTCAAGAGCAAAGGTCGCAAGGAGCCTGTGACAGCTGCGCCGGCAGCGGCGCGAGCGTCGGTCGTGCCGGCAGCGCCAGGAGCAGGAGCCGAAGCCGAGCCAGCGGCGGGAGAAGCAGCTGCGCCGGCGCCAGCGGCGGAGAGAAAGTCGAACGACGACATGGCGTAGATGGCGAGCGCTGCGATGAAGGCGCGAAGAAGTAGCGATGCACGTGGAGCGAAGATGCTGCTTGAAGGTGGGCGCTCGAGCTGTGCAGTGGGCGATCAGGAAGAGGTAGAGGGACTAAAAGAGCAAGGCTCACGAGCGATCTTGAGGGCGGTGATGCGTGTGCGATGGATGCTTATGGTGGTCGGGAAGGAAGCTCGGGCAGACCGCAGTCGTCGTGTGCGCGCACGTTGCTTCGCTTCTGCCTGACAGCACTTCGAGCCCTGTGGGCTGTCTGGCCTTCACGCGCTTGCCGCGCTTGCCGGCGCACGAGACGGCCTCAAAACACCTCTATGCGCTGCCGCCTCTCGCTGCGTGCCTCGCCAACGATTGCGCTATCGCCTCGTTGCCAAATCGGTCCTCGCTCAAAGCACTCTACGCGTCATTCGCAGGCGGTCGCCCCAACGCGCGTTGTCGAGCAGCAGGCGAAGGCCGCCTGCGAGGCCGCCTCCGAGTAGTCGAGCCGCAGCGTCAGGCACACGCTCAGGAGACTTCCGAGCCGGCTACAGGTCTTGGCGAGCGATGTACCTTGCGTAGTGTTGGGGCCACGTGCGCATGTGCATGGCCGCAGCAGGCAGCAGCCCCATCACCGTCCGCATGGTCTGCACCTGCTCGAAGCCTAAACCACCGCATGCCGTGCTCGCGCGTCTCCCAGGCCAAGTCGCAAGCCTCCCAAGGGCGTCCAAAGCGTTCGGCTCCCACACACCAAGGTCATATAGCGTGCAGCAAGGCAGTGGCGCAAAATCCAGTACGTAGCCTAGGTGGCTAAAGTCCAGGCGTGAATTTAAGCGAATACAGTCGTCATTGCGGACGGCGCCCGGGCTTGCAGACCCACAGAAAGCTGAGAATTCGGTTCGAAACCCGTAAGGCTCCGCTCACATTTGCTGTCAATCCACAGGGACTAGCAGCAAACCACCTTGGTATTTCTGCCCGCGGCGCTTACGAGCGATGCCGCGCCTTGACCCGTACTTTTTTTTTTTTTGGCGCTGATCCTTCTGTACCTGCCAAGAGCGACAGGACGGGAGGTCAAGCGAGAAGGACAGCGCAAAGCGACGCAGAGGAGCGAAGAGAGTCAGATCTGGGGCGATCACGTGGCGCGCACCGCCGCACGGACGTCTTGCTCCTGCACGACCCGAGTCCCGCCGGGGCGCGCCGAGGGCGGGAGACAGGCGGCGTGCCCGGCGCCGCGTCTCGCCGAGACCTTCGCGGCGGGCGGTGGAGTTGGGTGCGCTGGCGGTCGAAGCCCTTCCACCGCGCTGCCCGGGCTTCCTCCCCTCCACCACACCACACCTGCCCATCATGTCGCTCTCCAACAAGCTCGCCCTCTCGGACATCGACGTCGCCGACAAGCGCGTCCTCATCCGGTGAGTCGTGCGTGGGGTGTGCGTCGGCGTCGCTGACACCCGCGCCAGCGTGGACTTCAACGTCCCCATGGACGGCAGCACCATCACCAACCCGCAGGTGAGCAGTGATGCCAGGCGATGATGGGCGGCGAGGTGGAAGACGCCATCTCGCAGCATGCCGCTCTGCTGACCCCGCTTGCAGCGCATCACCGCGGCCCTGCCGACGATCAAGTACGCCATCGAGAAGAGTGAGTGCGGAGCCAGGCGCGCTGCTGCCGTGCGCACGACGTGATGAAGCATTTCGCGGATGTAAAGTGCCCATGTGGCCGAGTCCGAGAGCGCAAAACCGTGTGGATCCTTCCGCTGCCTTCCTTCTGATCCTGCGCCGGCGCGACGTGTACCAGCCATCTGCCCTGTCGCACCTCTGACACCCTGCTACAGAGGCCAAGGCGATCATCCTCATGTCGCACATGGGCCGCCCCGACGGCAAGCCGACGCCCAAGTACAGCCTGAAGCCCGTGGCGGACAAGGTGTCGGAGCTGCTCGGCAAGCCCGTCGAGTTCCTGCCCGACTGCGTCGGCGCCGAGACGGAGGCGGCCGTGGCCAAGGCGTCGGGCGGGCAGATCATCCTGCTCGAGAACCTGCGCTTCCACATCGAGGAGGAGGGCAAGGGCGTCGACGCCGACGGCAACAAGGTCAAGGCGGATGCGGAGAAGGTCAAGGCCTTCCGCGCCAGTCTGACCAAGCTCGCCGACGTGTACGTCAACGACGCCTTCGGCACGGCGCACCGCGGCCACTCGTCGATGGTCGGCGTGCAGCTCGAGCAGCGCGCCTCGGGCTTCCTCATGAAGAAGGAGCTCGACTTCTTTGCCAAGGCCCTCGAGAGCCCCGAGCGCCCCTTCCTCGCCATCCTCGGCGGCGCCAAGGTTTCGGACAAGATCCAGCTCATCGAGAACATGCTCGACAAGGTCGACAAGCTCATCATCTGCGGCGGCATGGCGTTTACCTTCAAGAAGACGCTCGACGGCGTGTCGGTGAGTGGAGACGGGCAAAGGTCTGCGTGGGCTGTGCCTGACTTCTGCACAGATCGGCAACTCGCTCTTCGACGAGCCCGGCTCCAAGAAGGTCGGCGAGCTCGTCGAGAAGGCCAAGAAGAACAACGTCGAGCTCGTCTTCCCGGTCGACTACGTCACGGCCGACAAGTTTGCCAAGGACGCACAGGTCGGCAGCGCCACGGACGCCGAGGGCATTCCCGATGGCTGGATGGGCCTCGACGCCGGCCCCAAGTCGCAGGCCCTCTTTCAGGAGACGATCAAGAGCGCAAAGACGATTCTCTGGAACGGCCCTGCCGGCGTGTTTGAGTTTGAGAACTTCGCAAAGGGCTCAAAGGCCATGCTCGACGCCTGCCTCGAGGCCGAGAAGGCCGGCACGACGGTCATCGTCGGCGGCGGCGACACGTGAGTATGGAGCGCCAGCGTGTGCCACTTGCACGGCACTGACTCGCCCCCACAGCGCCACCGTGGTGGCCAACTACAAGGCCGAGGAGGGCATCAGCCACGTCTCGACCGGCGGCGGTGCTTCGCTGTGCGTATGCCCATCATCAACCTCTCCTGCCCGCATGGCTGACGTTGCCTTCTCCCCACAGCGAGCTGCTCGAGGGCAAGACGCTGCCCGGCGTTGCTGAGCTCAGCAGCAAGTGAGCGCCTTCAAGCGTCTCCCATTCACCTCGTGCGCTGAGGCGCGCCCCATCACACCCCAGCGGGCACGCACGACTCTCGGCCAGCTTGTAGATTCTCCCTCTTCTCTTTGTCACGTCTGTATCTTTCCCCGCCCACCAAAGGCAAACGCTCCTTTTGACTAGACTGTGGCGTGAGGTGCGCGAGATGCTGTGGATGTGCTGCATCAGCGCAGAAGGTCTAGCCCACAGCGGCATCGGGGACAGGTGCGGGTCCGGCAGTCGGCGACACAGCATGCCCGTGGCCCCTCGCACCGCCCTGCACCTCTCGTGCGCAAAGGCCTACGGCATCAGTACCCGCTGCACTGTGTTGCCTCTGGCGATGCCCTTGCTTTGCCGCCTTCAGACGACAATTTGTGTATGCTGGCGGCTCTGCTCGGCGGCTGCCCCGGACCTCGGGCCGCGCCACGCCGCGGACAGGGTGACGCTACACGCCTGGTCGTCGCCGCCTAGACCTTGCAGCCAACTCTCCTCGCAGAAGGGGAGCACTGAGGGCGCATCGCACCGAGACTTGACTCTTGCTTGTGCGCTGGTAGCAGGCCATATGCTATCACATGATGCTGCGTTGGGCAAGAGGGGTGGCGCCGCCCTGCACCTCAATTTCGCGCGACGCGTGCCTGTCCGCCATGCGCACCCCTGCACCTGAAGCGCAAACCTGCCGAGAGATCACCTCAGATGAGCAGACGCAGGTACAAACAGCGGCATCAACGGCTCGGCAGCCCCTGTGACGTCTGCGAGCGCACTCTGCGTCGGCCGAGAGGCGCACAAGGCAGGCAGCCCGAGCCCACCGGACGCGCGCCGCGGCGGGCCCCATCGGGGCGCACTCGCTCGCCCGAGCAGGCTCAAAGAGGCAGCCAAGGCCCTTATACGCCTGCGCAGTCACTCCTTTCCCTCCCGCCACCACCACCTTCGACTCCTCTTCTCTGCTCGCCCTTGCCCAGCTACGCAGCCCTTCACGCCCTCACCTTCGGCCCGCTTGCTCCGCCGTCCGCCTGGCCGCACCTCGTGCCCTCGTACGCCGCGCCACAAAGAGCCACCAGCTCAGCTACAGCGTGAGCCTCGTCCTGTCGCTACCTGTCGATCCAGCGCTGAACCTCACTTCGCAGCGCAATGAGTCCCTGCCGCGCATCCCTGACCCCGATCCGTCTGCCCGCTCCCGTCGGCAACCCCGAGGCGGCGGCGGGCCTGCAGGACCTGGCCAACGAGCTTCACCGCCTGCACCACGTGCGCAAGGAGACGTCGCAGCCCATCTTCAGCACGGCGCACAGCGCCTACGAGCTGCAGACGGGCTTCTACGACTACACGCGAGCGATCTTGGTGCACCCCGACGAGGCCTTTGCGGCCAACGCGCCTCTCAAGGCGCGGCTCGAGAACGCGCTGCGCGCCAAGCTGCAGGTGTCGCTCGGCGAGGTCTCGTGCCGTGCGCTCGTCAAGACGCTGGCGTCGTACTTCAAGTTCGCCAACTCTCCGGCACCCGCCGTGCCGACGGCGTGGAACAAGGCGGTGGACGCAGAGGAGAACGTGCTGTGGCTGTGCCACTGCATTCGCTACCTGCCTCGTCACGTCGTCGCGACGCTGCTGCGCATCTCGCAGCAGAATGGCGGCGCCGAGGAGCGCGAGGCGGCGCTCCGTAGCGCTGATCTGCCCGAGCCTCTCAAGGACCCCATTCCCACCATGCTCGCTTCGGAGCCGCTTCACGGGCGCCATGACGATGTGGCTGGGCTCGCCCATCCAACCGCGCCGTTGAGTGGATGCCAGCGAGTCTGAGAGGGAGTCTTTCGCCCGGTGAGTGCATGCGGCGCCTCTTGTCGGCTTCGAGTTGCTCGCCAGAGGCATACGCGTTCAGCAGCACGCATGCTCATCCTCTCCTCCTCGCAGCGCATCAAGCTCCGCAGCCTCATGGCTCACGCTCGTCATCACGCTCGTCACCACGTTCATCATCACGCCCGTCATCACGTCCACAGTTCCGTCACACGTACCATCACCAAGTTCAGCGCCTCTGTTCCTCGTTCCTCACCGTCCGTTCAAGCATCTCTTTCACGCCGTTCCTGAAATGTGCGCCAGAGTGAATGGTGGCGCCTTGTGTGACTTGTGCTGCTTGTGCGATCGAGCAACCTTGTTCTGCTGGGACGAGCGGTGCAGTCCACTGCCGTGAGCTCGACATGGCTCAGAGGCTGGCAGTCGCGCTCGGCAGTGCACGCCACTCATCAGGGTCTCTGCCTGAGCCGCGCACCGCAGCGCACCAAGGCGTGCCAGGTCTTCTGAGTGCGCTTTGCACAGAGGCGCGCGAGGCTTGCAGTCTGCTCAGCATGGTCATGGGGACAACGAGGCTCATACACCCTAAGAAGACGCTGGACACGCGCTCCGGCGCTAAGACGCTGCTCCCGCTGCTGCGCGCTGCAGGGGGCCGTGGCGGGAGTTCGAGGGAGTGTGAGCGTGGGCTGCTGATGCCGTGCTCGCGCTGTGCGCCGGCGCTCGGCGCGTGCCTACCGCCGGTTCGCGCAGCGCACGCCTAAAGTCCGCGCCGCTGTCAGGCACGACGTCTCCGCTCGGAGCTCGGCCCTCGCCCACCACCTCCGCCCGCTGCTCCCCACTCGCACACCCCCTTCTTACCCACCAGCAGTAAGAGTGCCGCACATCTCCTGGACACCGCTTGCACATCTCCTCTACACCACCCGCACGCCGCCTGCACGCCACTCGCTGCCCCGCCGCCGGCGCGCCGTGCGCCATGTCGCACATGCCCTCCTCCGGCGGCGCCTCGTCGTCGTCGCTGCCACACACGCCGCACACGCCGCACCCGCTCATGCATCGCGCCGTCTCGCCGCCCACGCCCGCGCCCTCGCCGCAGCCGAGCGCGCTCGGCATGGCGCGCCTCTCGTGCGCCGACGACGCCGCCAGCCTCGGCAAGCACCTCGCCCTCGTCTTTCCCAAGCTCGACGCCGCCGAGCGCAGCGCCGTGCTGACGAGCCTGCTGGGCCTGTGCAGCATCCGCGAGCTCTCGCAGCTGCAGACGGACATCACCGCGCGCCTCAAGATCGACTTTCTCGGCCAGCTGCCCATCGAGATCAGCCTGCACATCCTCAGCTTCATCGACGACCCCACGACGCTGGCGCGCGCCAGTGGCGTCAGCCGCTTCTGGCGCTCCCTCGTCAACGACGAGCACACGTGGAAGGCCATGTGCGTCAAGCACGCCTTCCGCTACCGCCGCATGAGCCTCGGCAGCATCTCGCTGCTCGGCAGTGCGGGCCTCGGCGGCAGCGCCGCGTGGCCGGCGCCCGTCGGCAGCACCTCGTACTCGGCCAGCGATGCGTATACGTACGCGCGTCTGGCGCCGCTCGCCGAGTCGGCCGACTCGTCGCGCCGCGACGACGACGATGACGACGAGCAGCTGAGTCACGCGCGCGACGACGCCGACGCCACGCTGCTGGCGTCGCTCTATCAGCGCTACCGCGCACGCGGCCTGGACCCGTCGAATGCGCTGCACGAGCTGCGCACGCTGCACGATCTCTTCCTCGCCAAGCAGGAGAGCGACGACGCGCTGGGCATGCGGCGCGGCAGCATCGACATGAGCGAGGCAGACCGCGCCTTCTACGCGCAGCTCGAGGAGATTGTGGCCGAGGAGGCCGAGGAGCGCTACGGGGCGCCGCAGCAGGCAGCCTACGCACAGCCGGCAGGCTCGCGCTTCATGCAGCAGCCACGCGATGGACCCTCACGCCCGCAGCCCTTCTCGCCCGCCGATGGCTCGGATCCGTTCGGCGACGATGCAGAGCCGCAGCTGGCCGAGCCGAGCGGCAGCGCCAATCTCGGCTGGCTCGGCGCCGGCTCGTGGGCGCGCACGTATGCCGGACCCGCCTCGTCGACGCTGGCCTCCTTTGTTCCTCGCCTGGCGCCTCTGCGCTCTGCCGTCGGCATGGCGCGCCCGCCGACGCTCTCTCGCGCGCCGGACGCTGCGGCGGGCAGCAGCTCGCGCGGCATGGAGGTGGACGAGGACGTGTTTGCGCAGGGCCTCGGCCTGCCTGTGTCGATGAGTGGCGTGGAGGACCCGCTCTATCCGACGGCGCGCATGGACGACATGCACGTCACGCCCGCCGCTCGCCGCCTGGTGGCCGACGCAAAGAAGGCGCGCCGCCGCAGTGCTCCGGGCGCGGCGGCTGCGCTCGGCGAGCCGTCGGGCTCCTCCTCGAGCCTGGGCATGGGCCGCCCCTCGTCGTTTGTCTCGCACAGCGGCGAGCGTGCGGCGACGTTTGCAGAGGGCAGCGGCGTGCGGCCGTTCAGCTACAAGACGCACTTCAAGCTGGCCTACTTGACGGGTGAGTGGCCGCCGTGCGTCACACCCTCATGCTCCCCCACTCACACCCGGCAGACTCGAACTGGCGCCGCGGCGGCCGCATGCTCACGCAGTACACGTCGGGCGACAACGGCGCCGTCGTGACGACGCTGGCGATGGACTCAGAGTGGATCGTCGTCGGCATGGCCAACGCCAAGATCCACGTCTTTGACGCACGCACCGGGCTCTATATGCACACGCTTGCCGGCCACGAGAGCGGCGTGTGGGCGTTGACGCTCGTGTCGCGCACCGAGGGCGCGCGCTCGCGTCCCGGCCTGGCCGTGTACAAGGGCAAGCATCGCGACGGCGCGCTGCGCCGCGTGCCGAGCTTTGCGGCTGGCGGCGACCTGGAGCTGCTCGTGCACGACCAGCGACCAAGCGCTTCCGCATACGCTGATGATGACGAGGCACGTGCTGCGGCAGGACCTGCAGGCAGCACCCTCAGCAGTCCTGGCCTCGGCGGTGGCGGTGCCTTCTCGGCGCTGCCGAAGCGGACACATAGCGCGATGCCTCTCGGCGACGAGGGTGCACCGGGGCGGAGCGACGACGAGACGCTCGAGTGGTTTCATCGTGCGCGTCGGGCGATGCTGCGCAACGGCTCGAGCCCGAACCGCCCGGAGAGCCTGCGCGAGCCGACGGCCGCCGAGCGTGCGCGCGAACGTGCGGCGGCCGAGGCCGAGGCCGACGCCGGCGCGATTCGCGATGCCGTCATGGCCGACGGGACCGGCCGTGTGCCGCGGCATCTCGCTGCGCAAGTGCGCGCCAATCGTGCGAGGCACCTCGGCGCCGACAGCGACGAGGCGGCCGACTTTGATGCTCGCGCCGCCGCGGCCGCCGCAGAAGACGCCTCGCTGTGGGGCAGCGCCATGCCGCAGCAGGACTCGACGCGCTCCCGCACGGCCGGCTCAAACCCGTGCGGCAGCGTGCGGGGCTTTGGCAACGAGGATGCCCTCGTCATCACGGGCGGCTGCGACCGTGACATTCGGGTGTGGAATCTGCGCACTGGGTGAGTAGCCCTGGGGGTGATGGGACAACACACGCGCTGACCACCGCCTCAGTTCATGCCAGTACGTCATGCGCGGCCACACGTCCACGGTGCGCTGCCTCAAGGTCGTCGATGGACGACCACTGGCCGTGTCGGGCGCGCGCGACAGCACAGTGCGCGTGTGGAACATCGCCACGGGCCAGCTGGTGCATCAGCTCGTGGGACATCAGCACTCGGTGCGCTGCATCGAAGTCGCCGGCAATCGCGTCGTCAGCGGCAGCTACGACTGCACGTGTCGCGTGTGGGACATCGACACGGGCGAGTGCGTGCAGGTGCTGCGCGGACACTTCCACCAGATCTACGCCGTGGCATTCGACGGCGTGCGCATTGCGACTGGCAGCCTGGACTCGACGGTGCGTCTCTGGAACGCCAATACTGGGTGAGTCCGTTTGTCGATGCAAAGCGCAGCCCCCCATGCCCTCCTTATTCATCCTTTCCCTTGCCAGCGAGTGCGTCTGCACGCTGCAAGGCCACACCTCTCTCGTCGGCCAGCTGCAGTTCACCGACGCCCATCTCGTCACGGGCGGCAGCGACGGCCGCGTCATCGTCTTTGACCTCAAGACGATGCAGACGAAGCACCGCATCTGCGCCCACGACAACTCCGTCACGTGCCTGCAGTTCAACGACCGCTTCATCGTCACGGGCGGCAACGACGGGCGCGTCAAGCTGTGGGACTTTCAGAGCGGCGCCTTCATCCGCGAGATGGTCGAGCCGAGCGAGGCCGTGTGGAAGATGGCATTCAAGGACGATTGCCTGTGAGTTTGTCGCCCCCCTCCCCTCTCGCCGTCCTCCTGCCGCATCATGCCTGCCCTGCTGACTGTCTCCTCTCGCAGTGTCGTGCTGTGCAAGCGCGACAGCAAGACGTCGATGGAGACCATCACCATGAAGCCCTTGCTTGACTCGTAGCGCCCCCGTCCGCACCTCTCCGCTACTACTCGACCTCTGTGTATTACTTTCTCGTCGCCGATGATCCCTGCATGGCTCTCTCTCCGCTTTCCTCGCTCCCGCTTACTCTCCTCTTGCGCACCCGTGGTTCATACATCACCCCTTGTCACCTCTACTCGGCCTTCTACCGGAATTCCGTCTCTCTCTCTCCATCACTGCGCTCCTCACCTGCGCCGCTGCTGAGAGCGGAGCCGCGCGTGCGGAATGCGGCGTCTACCTCCGTCAGGCGCGCAACTCTAGCGCGCCTCCTTTTCGCCGCCTCTGCCCTTCTCGGGGGGTTCCCCAGCTTCGCCGCTGCTGACCAGCCCTGGTAGCGCACATCGGGCGCAGCGGCATCGCTTTCGCCGTGGGCTCATCGCATTGGCAGCATGGAAAGGAGCGGTAGGGCAACGAGTTGGGCGTAAACAAGGGGTGAAGGAAGGGGGGGGGGGAAGAGAGTAAGGGGACGGCGAAGGGAGCGGGTCTAAATGGCCGATCCTCCCGAGCTGAGCTGGCGATTCTCATGCGCGGCCAGCAGGGTGCCGTTTTGGAAGCGCTGCACGCCCTGCGCCGTGCTGGAGCCGGCATTGGCATAGGTGATGTTGTGGCCGAGCTGGCGCAGGTATGCGGCCGTGGCGTTGCTGAAGCCTTGCCAGTTGGGAATGGTGGGCGACGTCGTGTCTTGCCACTCGAGGACGGTGGAACTGGCGAAGGGGCGAGGAGGGCGAGGGAGGGGGG